AGGGAGAAAGATGGGTCTTTTTACTCCCGTTAGTCTCGGAAACTCACGGGCAGTTCTACCCTGTCTGATAGGATCACAATGAGTTGGCATCAACTCAATGGTAGTGAGTCTGGTTTGGTTTGGTTTTATACGCCTGCTGTCTTTTGAATGAAAATTTAGTTATGAGTTAGCTTCATTTTCAGAGACCCGAAGAGTGACTAACAGGGTGGGGGGTTTCACCGATTTCTACTGCACCAATAAGCCTAGTCCTTTTTGTTATTTATTTTTCTTTAGGAAACAAATGGAGTATGTGACCATACCAAAGGCAAATTAGAAAATAAGCCCATTCCTTTTATGCTAATTGGTTTTGTTGCATATTTTTTTCCACCCTATATAGGACCTCCTAATGTGTAGTTGGTAACGGTAGCCAGGCACCATCTAGTTATTCTGAGACCCTGGTCATTGATACTGATGTTTGTATGGTCTACTGGAGTGTGTGTGTGTGTGTGTGTGTGTGTGTGTGTGTGTGTGTGTGTGAGATTTGTGGGCAAGTCTGCTTTTCCAAGCATGCTATTCTTTTCCAAGAACTGATATCTCCTGATAACATGTCCAAAATATGTGAGATGTAGTTTCATTTTTAAGGAACATCCTGGTTGTACTTCTTTAAAAAAAAATCATCTTATTGAGTCCATTGTGTCAAGCACATTTGTACATCTGTTGCCCTCATCGTTCTCAAAACATTTACTTTCCACTTGAGCCCTGGGTATCAGGTCATCATATTTCTAAAGAGTCTTCCCTTTTCAGACACATACTGAGACTCTTTTTTTTTTAATAATTTTATTCGGGGCTCATACAACTCTTATCACAATCCATACGTACATCAATTGTGTCAAGCACATTTGTACATTCATTGCCCTCATCATTCTCAAAACATGTTTTCTACTTGAGCCCTTGATATCAGCTCATTTTCCCCCTCTCTCCCCACTCCTTCCTCCCCTATGAACCCTTGATAATTTATAAATTATTATTTTGTCATATCTTACACTTGTGCTTGACACAATGGATGGATGTATGGATTGTGATAAGAGCTGTAATAGCCCCCAACAAAATGATTTTAAAGGGGCAGGGCGCAAGGCTATGATGTATAAGAATTCAAAATGGGTGATAAATTTATTAAAAACATGTTTACTTGTTTTTTACTTTGAAAGCTTTAATTAGCATACAAAATTACACTAAATGCCAAACAGGTTGTAAAGGTAGGGTAATGAGTAATGTATTTTTTTATTGATTCAGATAAAATCACTATTAGTTTAAGTCATATTAAAATTTGTTTAGTTTTCATACAGAAGTATGAAACCTTTTACCATTTATGGATGCAATACATTTGTATTATTTTATTTTTATCTCAAATCAGGATACATTTTACAATTGATGTTGGGGTTTTTTGAGAAATGATTATATGATTTATTATTTGGATGTGTTGATGTAGACATACTCCTTAGGGTTTTTAGCTTGTAGTTTTTTTATCATTTTATTGGGGGCTCATATGGCTCTTATCACAATCCATCCATCCATCCATCCATGTGTCAAGCACATTTGTACATATGTTGCCATCATCATTTTCAATACATTTTTTTTCTACTTGAGCCCCTGGTATCAGCTCCTCATTTGTTTTCCTTCCCTTCCCTCCCCCCCTCATGAATCCTTGATAAATTATAAATTATTATTATTTTCATATCTTACACTGTCTGCTGTCTCACTTCACCCGTTTCTGTTCGTCACCTGGAGGGGTGTATTATATGTTGATCATTGTGATCAGTTCCCCCTTCCCCAACCTTCCCCTATCCTCCTGTTACCACTATTTCCGTTATTGTTCCTGGGGGGTTTATCTGTCCTGGATTCTCTGTTTTGAGAGCTCTTATCTGTACCAGTGTACATGCTCTAGTCTAGCTGGATTTGTAAGGTAGAACTGGGGGTGGGAGGAAGCATTAAAGAACTAGAGGAGTGTTGTGTGTTTCTTTGGTGCTATACTGCACCCTGGCTGGCTCGTCCCTTCTGTGAGGGGATTTCCAATTGTCTATAGACAGTTGGGCTTTGGGTCTCCACTCTGATCCTCCTTGTTCGCATCAATATGATTGTTTTGGGTCTTCTGATGCCTGATATCTGATCCTATTGACAGCTCATGATCACATAGGCGGGTGTGCATCTTCCAAGTGGGCTTGTTGTTTCCCAGCTAGGTGACTGCTTGTTTAGCTTCAAGCCTTTAAGACCCTAGATGCTGTATCTTGTAATAGTGGGGCACCATCAGCTTTCTTCACTACATTAGCTTAAGCAGCCATTTTGTCTTCAGTGATTGTGTTAGGAAGGTGAGCATCACAGAATGCCACGTTATTAGAACAAAGTGTACGTGAATTAAGGGCGTACTTGAGTAGAGGCCCAATGTCCATCTGCTACTTTAATACTTAACATATAAGTATATGTACATAGATCTACGTCTATTGTTATATTGATTTTGTGTTTAATGGAGAACGTATTCCCTCTCAGTGGTACAGAAAGTTTGTGGGTTAATATCTGATTAAGTAAGAGTTTAAAAATTAGGCTCAGCATTCAAATAATAAGAAAGTGGCATTAGTTTCCTATGACTGACAATTGTGGGACACACACACAGTGTTAGAAAGTGTGTTAGTCTGGGTAGACTAGAGAAACAAATTCATAGACATTCACTCATATGTGTGTAAGAGAGAATTTTATATTAAATAACAATTGTACATTAAGAAAACATCCCAGCCAAATCCAGATCAAGTCCATAAGTCCGATATTACCCCATATGTTGATACTAGTTCATAAATTCCTCTTTAGACTCAAGCAGCCATGCAATGATGCTGAATGCAGGAAGATCACAGACCAGTGGGTGGAAAGTCTTGTGGATCCAGTGGCGGTGGAAGCATCTCAGCACTGGCGAGGGTCTCCTTGTGCCTCCTCCAACTCCTGGGCTATAATTCCATCAGGGTCTCCATGTGACTTGTCAGCAGGAAGAGCAGAGTGTCTGTGTATATCTGGCCTCTAGTGAGCTATTTATCTTCATAGTGCCTCCAAATGAGAGGTCATCAAGCTGGGACCTGATGAGAGGCTAAACTCACCCTTCCGCAAATTGACAGGAGCTTCTGTAACTGCCACAGAAAGTATGTGGGAAAATAAGCACCCTTAGTGTTGGTTACTTTGATAATATTTGTCAATGTTGCCAATTTTGTCTTTAGCAATTGATCCTACAGGTATACTTATATATTTGCAAAATGACTGTGCAGAGATATACATGCATTATTGGTTAAACACATTAACACATCTAGAAACCCTGTTGGGTTGTTAACTAGAAGGTCAGTGTTAGAGTAAACCATCCTCTTTAACAACCGTGGGGGATCCATAGGCGCAACTGTACAGTATAATATATAAAGGTTATAGTAAAGTGGTGGAAGATAGGAAAGTAAAATAATGGAGTAAGACACATTTCATGGTAGCATGCTCACCTCAGCTCCTCTAGGTGGTCCACATGGAAGTGGGAGAAGAGAGCGAGTCTTTACTATTTGAGGGCTTTTATAGGTAGCCATAAGTCATGAATATTCAGTAGTTACATACGTCACAAGGTGGGTGGTAACCACAGTAAAGTCCCTGAGCTCACAGGTGAGGAAACCTATTACCTGCATTGGGAGAAGACATGAGAGGGGCTGGGTGCCACTGTGGGAGGAGATAACAAGAATGTCTGCTTCTACAGGGAGACAGAATCAACCATGTGCTCACATTAAGGCAGCATAACTGTTAGGGAGAATCTGTGGGAATATATTTAATGCAGGATAATGTACTAGGACTTTATCTGTAACTTACCAAAGTGGTGGCTTTCCTACCGTGGAATACTAGCTTTCTAGATTGCCTCTGTTATAAGTTAGGGAATATAGTCCTGATCATATTTACCTCAGTGTTAGTTTCTCACAGGTCAGCAGTTTGAATCCACCAGTTATCCCATGGGAGAAAGATGAGGCTTTTTGCTTCCATGAAGACTTATAACCTTGAAACTCCCAAAGCAGCATTTCTACCCTGTCTGGGAGGATTACTATGACTCAAAATTGACTCCATGGCAGTGGCTTATATGATAAAATGCTGTTAACCATATAGAATGAACTCAATGATACATTGTTAAATGCAGTTTAGAGGAAGGTGGAGGAAAATATATACATTTGGCTAACTAACAGATGGGGCTGTCATGAGTCTGAGTTGACTTTACAACAGCGGTTGTGTAAGAGAGAGAGAGAGAGAGTGTGTGTGTGTGTGTGTGTTTGTGTGTGTGTAAACACATCTGAGTAAGAATACACGATTTCTCTAAATAGTCAAGAAACTGATAGAATTTGTTGTCAGACAGAACTAAATGATTGGGAAACAAGCATGTAGGAGATTTTGCTCTGTATACATTTAAGCCTTTTGCATTTAAAAAATTTAGATCTTAAACTTAATACCAAGAACTGTAAACTTATAGTCAAATATAACATGTTCCACCAAAGGGAGGGGGCGGGTCAGGATAATGAAAGGAGCAGCTGGATAAAGAAACATGTTTACAGAAACGTTGAAGGGAATTCAGGTGTTTTCCAACTCTAGTGTAATTTGGTTCTCTTATCCAGTCAGTTATCTACTCTTATGCTTGCTTCTTGCTACTCTGATTAGCTAATTATCCACTATTGACAGCTTTTTGATTATTGATCTGAATATCTTTCTTATGTAGGTAAAAATTCAACCTCAAATTGACACAGCTTTATTGTTTTTGTAATATATCCCTCCTAAAGGAGCCCTGGTGTAGTAGTTACCCATTGGACTGCTAATCACAAGGTCAACAATTTGAAACCACCAGCTGTTCCTTGTGAAACAGATGAAGCTTTCTACTCTCTTAAATAGTCACAGGGAAACTCAGGGCAGTTCTACCCTGTCCTGTAGGGCAGTGAGTTTGGTGTTTGGATTCCTCCTAAGTCAACAACAAGCCTCATGGCACAGAGGCCTAAGTGCTTGGCTGCTAAGAAAAAGGTTGGCTATTTGAACCCACTCAGAGGCTCCATAGGTGAAAGACCTTATGTCAAATTATAGCCAAGAAAACCCCAAGGTACAGTTCTACTCTCACATGTGGTTGCTCTGAATGAAGTGTTGGTGCCTAACAATAATAACAAGCTAACAAAAACTAAGCTTTGATGGTTGAGTAGTAGAATGTTCACCTTCCATGAAGGACCTCTCCTTGGGTGGCTTGCATGTTGCTACAATGTTGGACAGGTTTCAGTGGTGCTTCTATGAGACTAGGGAGAATGACCTACCTCTGATTCTGAAAATCACCCATTGAAAGTCCAGTGGAGTACAGTGACCTCAGCTACTTATTTCCTTGTGATGATGGAGCAAAGATTAGGGTCAACTAAAGGGAAGTCAGCAAAATGTACAAAAATTAACAGCCGTTGATGTATGTGGAAATAGATGTGATTCTCTTTAAACTTTTAAACTTCCATACTACCTGCTTTAGAGAGCAGAAGGAAAACACTCTGTTGTCATAGAATTCTCATTTCCTTTTCCCCCCTGAATATAATAATATATTAATTAGACGTTTACCTCTGGACTTTGGAAAAGAGAGTAGAAATTGCAGCTTTAATTGTGGAATGGTTTCATGTCTACCCTGTAATTTATTTTCTTAGAACAACAAAAAAAATGTTTTAGTAGTGATTTCATAATAGCTTTATTTAAAAAAATCATTTTATTGGGGGCTCGTACAACTCTTATCACAGTCCATACATACATCCATTGTGTCAAGCACATTTGTAGCTTTGTTGCCATCATCATTCTCAAAATATTTGCTTTCTACTTGAGCCCTTGGTATCAGCTCCTTATTTTTTCCTTTCCCTCCCTCCCTCCCTCCCTCATGAACCCTTGATAATTTATAAATTATTATTTTGTCATATCTTAACACTGTCTGACATCTCCCTTCACCCACTTTTCTGTTGTCCATCACTCAGGAGGTTATATGTAGAGCCTTGTAATCAGTTTCCCCTTCCTACCCTACCTTCCCTCCACCCTCCCAGTATCACCACTCTCACCACTGGTCCTGAAGGGATCATCCGTCCTGAATTCCCTGTGTTTCCAGTTCCTATCTGTACCAGTGTACATCCTCTGGTCTAGCCAGATTTGTAAGGTAGAATTGGGATCACGATAGTGGGTGGGGAGGAAGCATTAAAGAACTAGAGGAAAGTTATAAGAACAGAATTTGAAAGGAATTCTACCCTACCCCATGCCCCACCTTCCCCTACCTGCCCCTTATTCTCACATGCAAGTTCAGTGAGTGAGCTAGGGAGTCTTTTCTCCCTTTCTTGACTTGTTGCAGTGTGACTTCCTAATAGTTAAAGGATTTCATCTATAGATGCCATAAATTTGAAATTAATAGACATGAATGGTTTTGAACTAGTTTAGTAAAATATCCCCCAAATATTTGTGCTTGTTTATTTTGTCTGAAGGGGCCACAGATTTTTAACAAGCATTGGGGTATATGTACTTTTAAAAATGAAGATGACTGATGAGTTTGAACCACTGGCTCTGTGGTTAGCAGCTCGTAGCCCACTATGCCATCAAACAGGGCTCTTTTTGTAGTATTGAACATTCTTGTTTAAAAATATGTTGCTTTTGGTCTAACAGTATTGTAAGACAAAACAAAGACCAGTGAGGTGCTTTTCACAGCGGGTTGCCTCTGGAATATGGGTGTCAGTAAAACCATCACAAAAACTGCAGCTGAAAAGAGAAAGAAAAGAACCCATATCATTGGACATATCGATTCTGGCAAGTCCACCACAACTGATCACCTGATCTACAAATGTGGGAGTGACAAAAGAAGCATTGAAAAGTGAGAAGGCAGCAGCTGAGATGGGGAAAGGCTCCTCCAAGTCTGCCTGGGTCTTGAGAAGCTGAAAGCTGTGTGTGAGTGTGGCATCGCCATTGATAACTATCTCCCTGTAGACCAGCAAGTACTACGTGACCATCCTCAATGGCCCTGGGCATAGAGACTTTATTAAAAACATGGTTACACGCACATCACAGGCTGACTGTATTGTGCTCATTATTACAGCTGGTGTTGGTGAATTTGAAGCTATCTCCAAGAAAGGGCAGACCTAGTCGCGTGATCTTCTGGATTACATACTGGGTGGGAAACAGTTAGTTGTTGGGGCTAACATGGATTCTACTGAGCCACCCTCCAGCCAGAAGGGATAAGGAAATCTTTAAAGAAGTCAGCACCTAAATTAACAAAATTGGCTACAACCCTGACAGAGCATTTGTGCCAGTGTCTGATTGGAATGGTGACAGCATGCTGCAGCCAAGTGCTGATATGCTCAAGGGGTGGGAGGTTACCTGTAAGGATGCAATGCCAGTGAAACCACACTGCTCAAAGCTCTGGATTGCATCCCTGCCACCAACTCCCACTGACAAGCCCCTGTGCCTGCCTCTCCAGGATGTCTACCAAATTGGTGGTACCAGCACTGTCTCTGGGCAGAGTGTAAACTGGTATTCTGAAACCTGGCCTGATGGTGGTCACCTTTGCACCAGTCCACATTAACCACTGAAGTGAAGTCTGTTGAAATGCACCCTGAAGTTTTGGGTGAAGCTCTCCTGGGGACAATGTAGGCTTCAATGTCAAGAACATCTCTAGCAAAGATGTTTGCTGTGGAAATGTGGCTGGTGGCAGCAAAAATGACCCACCAATGAAAGCAGCCGGCTTCACTGCTCAGGTAATCATCCTGAACCATCCAGGCCAGATTAGGGCTGAATATGCACCTGTGTTGGATTATGCCACTGCTCACATTGCTTGCAAGTTTGCTGAGCGCAAAGACAAGGTTAATCACTATTCTGGCAAGAAGCTGGAAGATGGCTCCACATTTTTGAAGTCTGGTGAAGCTGCCATCGTTGACATGGCACCTGGCAAGCCCTTGTGTATGGAGAGCTCCTCTTTGAGTGCCCTGCTCTGGCTTGTTTTGCTGTTCAAGACTGAGACAAACAGTTGTTGTGGGTGACATCAAGGCAGTGGAGCAAAAGATGCTGAAGCTGGCAAGGTCACCAAGTCTGCCCAGAAGACTCAGAAGGCTAAATGAATACTACCCATCACAGCTGCCAGTGGTGGAAGAACAGTCTCCGCACTGTTTGTTCAATTGCCCATTTAAGTTTAATAGTAAAAGACTGGGTAATGCTAACGATGCATAATAAGCTTTCAGAAGGAAAAGAATGTGGACTATATATTTCTTTTGGTGTGTCAATTTTGTTATTAGTTTTTAAAATCAGTACTTTTTAAATGGAAAACAACTCGATAAGAAATTTGTCACTGAATTTTGAGACCCATTAAAACAAGGTTTAGGGGGAAAAAAAGTCCATGAGATTTAGATGAATGCCTCTAGGAATTGACTGGCTTCATACATGGTTGGATCCAACTCCTAAACAAACTCACTGCCATTGACTTGATTTCAACTTCGAATGACCCTATAGGACAGGGTAGAACTGCCCCTTGGGTTTCTAAGACTAGCTTCTTGGGAGTAGATCTTGGTCTTCTGGAAATTCAACCAGGAATCTCCCCTGAGTGGATTTCTGTGTATCATATGTTTTCTAGATGTCAAAATTAAATTTACAAAGGTGAGAATAAACATACTGCTGTTTTATTTTTACTTGTCTATTAAGAAATCATGACAAATCCCAATTATGGTCCAGGTACAATGACCATACATAAAGCTCAAAAGTAATGATCCTTTTTTCAAATTCTTAAAGGTAATTTATATGGCCTTGGACTGTAGAGGGCACCTCTTAATTTTAAAGGTCTACAAATATATTCTTTGGTTAGTTGATTTCTGAAAGTAAAGTAAATCTTTGTGTATTGCAGCCATTTATAATAAAAGTATTATTTTTTGAATTACCAACTCTAACGTGTTTTTGAAAATGCTTTGGTTGTAATGCTTTCTCCTTCCTCTGTAGAGTTGTCTCTGTGGGAAGTTTGTCCTTCGCCCATTGCGACCATGCCGTCGGTACTCAACTTCAGGAAGTTCTGGGTATGTAGTATGTCTGCCTATCTCCATGGAATGGCTACTTAAACCCCTTTTTAAAAGTGGAGCTTTACTGTAGTTTCTGTGGGGTAGGTACCCTCTAGAGCAGTGGTTCTCAACCTGTGGGTCGACTCCTTGAGGGGAGTGGACCGACCCTTTCACAGGGGTCACCCGATTCCCAACAGTAGCAAAATTACAGTTATGAAGTAGGCAACAGAAATAATTTTATGGTTGGGAGGTCACCACAACATGAGGAGGAACTGTATTAAAGCATCACAGCATTAGGAAGGTTGAGAACCACTGCTCTAGAGCCTTATTTACATGAGGATAAAAATCTATTGTGATGATTCTCTTGGCTCCTTGGTAATTAGATTGCATCTAAAGCAGGCTTCCCTCCCCCCCAGGTACTATCTTTCATTCAAGGGCCAGTATATTTATATTCAGGACTTGGCAAGCTGTGGCATAAAATGCATTCTTAATTTTATATTATTTAAAGGGTTTCTTATTTTCGAAATTTTTTAATTAGGGGAGAGGCACCTTGAAACAGTTCTTCATGGGTTCATAGCAACCTTATAATTACGAACATCTGAGTCTTACAAAGATTTCTAGTCTAGAGGTTACTATTTTAAAAAAAACAGTAAATAAGGTGCCTTGGTGATGCAGTGGTTAAGTGCCAAGCTGCTAACACAAAAGGTCACAGTTTGAGCATACCAGCTGCTCCACTGGAGAAAGATGAGGCCATCTCCTTTCTTAAAGATTACACCTTGGAAACCATATGGGGCAAATTGATTTATTATTGAATTCTGTTTTCTGTGGTAGATACATTGTAAACAAATCAGGGGGAGATGATGTGTAGCTGTGCTGTTCAGATTGGCTGCTGCATCAGAATCAGTGGTAGAGAAGAATGTCTTTGAGGATAGTATTAGCCCAGTAAGTAGCTGTAGGAACGCAAAGAAATCTAAATGTGTTTATTTCTTTCACTTAGATTGAGTGCTGGCAAAATTGTGGGAGCTGGACTGTTATTTGTTGGTGGAGGTCTTGGGGGCACTGTCCTGTATGCTAAATGGGATTCCCATTTCCGGGAAAGCATAGAGAAAACCATACCCTACTCAGACAAGCTCTTTGAGATGATTCTTGGTTCTGCACCTTATGGCGTTCCATTGCCAAAGAAGCCGGTAAGACTTTGCAACAACGTTTTGTTATAATCGACCTAGAGAAAAATCGTAAGTGCGAGTTGTGTTGATTTTGTTTTGTGCTGCTTTTGTTTAGTTTATTTTGTCATCTTGAAGATACACAAATTTATATTTTAATCTATAATTCAGTAGAACTTGCCAGGTATGTTTGTTGCTGATGGTTAAATTGAACTTGAAGTGTGCAGACGAGTTCTTATCCCTTTGGGGTGCTAGACATGCTTTCATCTAGCAATTCACATAAAACTGGAGAAGATGGCTCAGACAAAAATGGCCCTCAGTGCCTTCTGTGGCCTTTAGGCCACACCTTTGGAGCTGTCAAACTGCTTCAGAGCACTAAAAACATGTATGAAGAATTGTCACAGCATAGAACCTGCTTGTGATAGTTAATAGTGGCCTCCTTTAAACCCTTCAACACAACCACAAAGTGTTCAGCTATATACTGATTGGTTGACAGTATCTTTTAGTAAGCTAACTTTGTGCCTAATTTTTAGTTTCACCTTTTTACCCATTAGCCAATTTTAAGGCTAAAAATTAGCCTTAAATTCTTCATTCAAACATCCCAAACCAAACCCACTAAAAGTGAGTGGATTCCTACTCATAGTGAACCTGTGGGACAGGGTAGATCTGCTCCATAGGATTTCCAAGGCGGTAAATCTTGACAAGCCAACTGCCACCTCTCTCTCTCCTCTGTAGGGCTGCTGAGTTGAAACTCACCAACCTTTTGGTTAACAGCCAAGCACTTTAACCACTGCACAATCAGGGCTTCTTTGATTCAAACACAGTTGCCTGAAAAGAAGAAAGAAAAACAAAAAGATGGGAAAGAGATCATGGTTTTGTGACTGAGTTGGTATTGGGTATTTCTCTATCAGTGGGCACTGCGTGGACTTCTCCACTGTAGAGTGTCATGGCCTCTTGAACCAAAATATAGGAGTCTGAGTTGGGGGAGCCAGATAGTTTTGCAGGAGCAGAATCCTGAGGGTTCCTTCTAACAATCCTGGGTTTTCTTAGCTGCTAGTCGTTGTAAGACATAGAGTGAAGCCCATAAGGCTAGAGCAGAGTTCCTTGCTGCTTGCTATGGCTTCCAATGCTATTCTGTGTAGATGACTCCTTTATCTCTCTCTAGGCCAAGGTAGCCTTGGCCTACCCTCACTCCTCTTAGCCAGCCTGCTGAATTATTTTCACTTTGGATAACTCAGCACGTGTCTACTTCCCCACCTCAAAACGAATGTTTTTCCTGGCTTGCTTTTTTTGCCTTTCGTATTAAAAATAGCACCATGCTTTCAGATGAATTCTGGGGTTCATCTCAGGAGTTGCCAATATTTTACTCACTCTCCAATCTTTAAAATTTTGTTTTCTGCATTAGAAAAATGTAAAGTGTCCAAATGCCAAGATACCCCTTTAAGGACTAAGGTATGCCTGACCTAAGTCATAATATTTTCAGTTGCCTCATACGGATTCAAAAGCTGGACAAATGACTAACGGACACCAAGGAAGAGTTGATGCTTTTGAGTTATACATTAGTGAAGAATATTGAATATATCACCGACTGTCAGAATTAAAAACAAATCAATCTTGGAAAAAGAACAACCAGAATGCACCTCCGAAGTGTGGATAATGAGACTGCATCTCTTGTACTTTGAACATGTTATCAGGAGGGACTAGTCCCAGAAAAGGATAGCATGCTTGGTAAAGTAGAGGGTCAGCAAAAAAAAAAAAAAAAAAAGGAGACTTGATATAGTGGCTACAACTATGGACTCAAATATAGCAATGATTGTGAGGATGGCACAGGACCGGGCAGTGTTTCTTTGATTGTATGTAGGGTCAGAAATGACTCGATAACATCTCACAACATTTATTATTTATTTATGTATACTACAATTAATTAGTGCATTTATTGTAGGGATTTTCAATCACTTGAGGTAAAGATTAGATGATAGTGTAAACTAGTCTGAATATAGAAGCTGCAATGTTCACCCCATTTTTTTTAAATTTAATCATTTTGGGGGGGGCTTCTACAACTCTTATCACAATCCATACATCCATCCAGTGTGTCAAGCACATTTGTACATTTGTTGCCCTCCTTATTCTCAAAACATTTGCTTTCTCCTTGAGCCCTTGGTATCAGCTCATTTTTTTCCCTTCCCTCCCCACTCCCCCATCCCTCATGAACCCCTTGATAATTTATAAATTATTTTGTCATATCTTACACTGTCCTCCCTGCACCCACTTTTCTTTTCTCCATATAATCTGAGGTTATATGTAGTTGTAGTTGGTTCCCCCTTTCTACCCCACCGTCCCTCCATCCTCCCAGTATCACCACTCTCACCACTGTTCCTGAAGGGATTGTCTGTCCTGGATTCCCTGTGTTTCCAGTTCCTATCTGTACCAGGGTACATGCTCTGGTCTAGCCAGATTTGTAAGGTAGGATTGGGATCATGATAGTGGGGGTGGAGGAAGCATTTAGGAACTAGAGGAAAGTTGTATAATTCATCATTGCTACACTGCACCCTGACTCGCTCGTCTCCTCCCCCGACCCTTCTGTAAGGGGATGTCCAGTTGCCTACAGATGGATCTTGGGTCCCAAATCTGCACTCCACCTCATTCGCAATGATATGATTTTTTGTTTTTTTTGCTGCCTGTTAATGTGATCCCTTTGATACCTCATGATCGCACAGGCCACACAGGCTGGTGTGCTGCTTCCATGTGGGCTTTGTTGCTTCTGAGCTAGTTGGCCACTTGTTTACCTTCAAGTCTTTAAGACCCCAGACATTATATCTTTTGATAGCCGTGATTGTGTTGGGAAGGTGAGCCTCATGGAATGCCAGTTTAATAGAACAAAGTGTTCTTGCATTGAGGGAGTACAGTACTTGAGTGGAGACCCAATGTCCATCTGCTACCTTAACACTAAACCTATAAATATATGCACATTGATCTATTTCCCCATCCTCATATATAAATATATTTACATATGTACATGTAAATGTGGAGGCCTTTATTTAGACCTCCACAAATATCCTTTGCCTCCTAGACCTTTCTTCTATTTCCTTTTACTTTCCTCCTGTCCCACTATCATGCTCAGCCTTCATTTGTGTGGTAGTCACCTAATCTGGTGTCAATTTAAGGATTAAGAGTGTAGGGGTGGAGTCTAGGCTGTCAGTATGGAGATAGCCAATGAGACTTCTGTGGGCATGGCCTTCTGAGAATTCTGGGAAATCTGGTACTTCCTCCTTGGAGGCAGAAGACACCTCTCTCTGCTACTCCCTGGGAAACATTGTAGAACACAAGCCACATGGATGCAACCAGACCTCTGAAGCTGGAGAAGCCACAAAGAGACCCCTGCCGGCCCTGAGATGCTTACAACGCCACTGGACCCAAAGACTTTCTACTCACTGGCTTGTGATCATCCTGTGTTTAGCTTCATTGCATGTGTTTTGTGATTATGAAGAGGACTTTATAGATTGATATCGGACATATGGGCTAATACCGGATTTATGGACTTGATCTGGACTGGGCTTGGATGTTTTCTCCATGTTTAATTGCTCTTGTATATAAACCTCTTTCTTTTACACATACGTATATCCATGGATTTGTTTCTCTAGTCTACTCAGACTAACACAATTTGGGTTTCAATAATTCCTATAGGTTACATTACCCTTGATCACACCCTACCAGGCCTCCTACATCCTCCTCACCACCGATTTGGATCACTTGTTGTTCCTTTGTCCCTGGGTTTGTTAACACCATTTCCTTTACCCACACCTCCCCCTCTTCCATGTCCCCCTGGAACCGTTGGTTCCGTTGTTTTCTCCTCCAAATTGTTCATCCAGCCTATCTTATTTAGACGGACCTACGGAGATAATAAACATGCACCAAAACAAGACAGCAAAACAAACAACAAAAGAAAACAACAAAAAGCAAAATGACAAAAAACAACAACAAAGAAAGGCCTGTAGTTAGTTCAGTGACTGTTTGTTGGCCTTTAGGAGTGTTTTCTGGTCGAGTATGATGGGGTGTTACGCCCTCGCCCCAAAGTCTATTTTTGGTATTTCCTGGAGACTTTGTTCTCTGTTGCCTTTGCTGTTCTGTTGCACGCCCTTAGTGTCTGCTTCGGTGTGGTGGGATCAGATCAGGCACAATTCCCACACTGAGTCTCCAGTGCACAACAACATTTGTTGTGTGTTGTATGTAGTGGCAAAACAAGATAGGAAACAACTTGGCTGCTTATAAATCGGAGATTAGTTATAAATGATGGGATATACATTACGTAGGATATTAATGTAAGTGAAAATTATTTCTTTGACTTGGAAAAAGTAAAAAGAGCAAGTTAGGTAGTAATGTGTATACGCTAACTCTGTCTTATTTTGTTTAAAGAAATGGAAGTTATATATATGTATATATCTGAGCGTACGCTTGGAGTAGAAGGACAGTGTTGACTACTTCAAAGTGCTCTAAGGGAAAGGAGCGGTAAAGAGGCAAGTTAAAACCCACACCATTGACATATCTTGCTATTATGTTGCTTGTCACAACAGTATCTATTTCATGAATTTAAAAAGGTCACTAGAGAAGAAAAATTAAGATAATGAGTGTAATTCTAGTTTCTATGCGTGGTGAGTTAGTTTAATTGTGCCAGCCTGGCCGATAATCACATGTGGGTCTGGTTGAAAGGCGGAGGGATAAATGGGTGGTGAAGCCTCGCCTTTCTAGTTCTCGGGTCTCTTGCTTTGTGATGGTCGCACCAGGATGCAGCTGCCTTAGCAGCTCCCTGCTTCAGCTTGCAAGATTGACGTCCTACAAGACATCCCCAAGGAGAAGCCCCATGGACCTATCCCGATGCAGCCCTGGGTGCTGGAGCAGCCGTGTGGAGACCCCTGCTACTGCTGAGATGCTTGTTCGTTCACTGACTCAGCTTTCCTCCTGCAGTCGGCATCATCGCCTCTGTTTTGTGAGGTGGAGGACTTTGTGGACTGGTGTTGGGTTAATGGGTTAATGTTGGACTTGTGGGCTTGGGCAGCATTGGGTTGGGATGTTTTCGTGATGCACCTTTTCTTTACATAAAACTCTCTTATATATGAGTTGCTGTGGATTTGTTCAGAGTACCCAGACTAATACACGTGGCAAAGTTCAAAACCTTTTTTAGTATATAGTAGTCTTCTAAAAATATGAGTTCCACTGTGAAGGTCTGGCATAAAGTGGGACAACATAGGTTGTGAGTATAAACATTTCTATTATGCAGTAATTAGGAAAGACAAAACCAGCCATTACTTCAGTTGGACCATTTATTCTAGTGTGCATGAGTCCTGGAGATTAAAGAAGCAACATAACCCCAAATCTCCATTTTTACTCAGAGCCCATGAAAATAATTTGATTCTGACTGAGCATATGTAATATATACCTTAATTTAGTTTAGAAAGAAGATGGAAATCACCTTAGTATATACAAGGAATGATGCATATATAGAAGGTGTGTCATATCTGATGCACTTTATTTACTCTGTGTTCTAAGAGAAGCCCCAGTTACAACTAAAATATGATCAAATTGTTTGTAATGAAAAGCTTGAGCTATAATTTCCTGGTTACAGTGACTTCTTATAGTGTGGCTAATAAAATACATTATGTTGTACAGCTTAACTTAAAATCTAAAATCCTGAAAGATTTTACTTTTGAAATAATACAAATTACTGTATGCTTTTTTTTTCTTCCCCGTGGTATCATATCTGAAATGTCAAATGTTTTTTGTTTCCATGATTCAGTCTGGTCCACTAACAATCTCTAGTGTGCCAGAGGCTGTGAAAGGATCCAAACAGCCTACTTCATACCTCCAGAAATCACAGGGAGACACTGCAGCGTCAGTAGCAGGTACCTACATTCAGAACCATTCTTTTCAGTGGATGAGTTTTTGAATTGACTTGTAAGAAGAAGGCTCGTCCCACGAAGGGCTCTTGTGTCCCCAACTCCCCTCCCTGCAAAGAAGGGTTCCCACCTATCATTTGGGCTTTCATTTCTAGAAATTGGGCTTTATTTTGAACACCTGTTGAGTGAAGATGTTGACAGAAATGTCCCTGCTTGTAAGAGACTGTTTCTTTTTCTTTTTCCTATTTTCCCTGTTTATGTCCAGCCTTTTTGCCCATTTGGATTTTAAGCTTGCTTCTTTTTTCCTGTCGCTTCACCCATTCCTTTTCCTCTCTTTAGTCTTAGTGAGAAAATGTCTTCCTGCTGTCCTCCAGGTTTATTTACCTTTGATATAACAGTAATCTCACCCTAATTTAAAGCATTTAGCTAATTCTAAACTGATGTACATTTGAATTTCTTCGTGTATTGTTACTGCTGTTCTGATTAAATTTCTCTCAGCGGCTGTTTGCTTGAGTGTTTAGTGTGTATCAGGCATTCAATAGACAAACTGGAAAGAAAAAAAGACTCCCCTGCTAATGTCCCTTTGGTAAAATGAAGGGGGAGAAAGATGATACAAGTAACAAAATAGATGAGATGTCTCCCATGGACTCGTGTGAGAGGGAATGCTGCAATGTTAATTGGAGTGGCTAAGGAAGCCTCACCTGGAAGGTGTCTTTTGAGTGAAAACTAGAATGAGATGAGTGTGCCAGGTGGAAGTGAGCCGTTGGGAAAGCATACCAGGCACAGGGATTGGCTAGTACACGGCCTCCTCCCATATTCAGGCAGCATGACTAAAGGCTACTAAGTGGCGTCAGTAAGTGGCAGAGAGGGAGGAGAAAGCCCATTGTGGCTGTGCAGAGAAGCCTTTATGAATTTGTATTCTGAGATGGGGAGGCCTTGGAGGTGCAGAGCCCAGAGTTGCTTATCTGACTTTTATTTTAATAGGACCATGCTGGCTGTTGTAAGTCGATGATATGCAACCAAGGACAGAGCTAGGATTTAACAGGCCTTACAATAATTCTACTTTGTACCTTTGAAATGTGTCTGCAGCCTATTTTAAATATTTTTTTCTCCATTTCTTGCTTCCCCACTCACACTCTGCCTCTAGAAGTATACTGCTTGTTTTCCTCTTCCACCACCTGTTCCTCAGACTGCCTTTTTCATCTCTCGCACTCTTCAAAGCAGCTAAAGAGGAATCATCTGGTTAGCTGCGTTCCTTTGCCTGCCTTCTTCATTATGGGGCCATTTTTCCTGTGTCATTATCATTCCATGTTGTGCTCATCTTTTGTCCACTGCTCGTGTGTTAAGCTTTGGTACCATTACTTTGTCTGAGGGCAGCTAGTGATGGTTGGAAAGTAGAGGATGCTGACAAGATTCCTTTTCTCCTGGCTTCCCTAGCCAGTGTCCATTGTGGGTGAGCTTGCAAATGCACTGGGAAGTGCTCCTTCCGTTTGAATAGTGGCTTTATGTGTCATTGTGTCTTTAAAGAGTCACATGTGAAGTGGGTGGTGGTGGTAGTAGATTCATGGGTTTATCTCTGTTAACCCAGGGACTATAAATACATGAGTAACATATATTTATAGCACCTACAGAGGCAGCTCAAATTATTTCTGCAGCAGGTGATACGCTGTCGGTCCCAGCCCCTGCGGTTCAGCATGACAGATCCATAAAACCGGGTCTCCTTGCAGTTGGTGAAGGAAAACCTACCCCTGCAACCTCAGGTAATTTAATTATTGATATTTGTTTCATAAATGATATACACATTAGAATGATTTAATACCTAGACCACACATACACACTATATAAGTGTAAATTTATGCTTCTTTTAAATCTACAGACTTGCTTAGGAAATTTTCTGAAAATTTCTAATCTAGGGGTTAAGACATGGATTCCTTGTCTTCATTGTGGAATCATTAAGAGTGCTGAGGTGGTTTTAGGAGTCTTAGCCCAAATTCTCCTTAGTAGATCTAATGGGCAGGTACAAAAGTTGATGGTATTTTTTCTCTGCTAGCTACTGAAATTCCGTGCCAAAATTTGATTTCCTCTTATTTACTTTTGCCACAAGAGCAAGCATCCTCGTCTTCTGTAAAAGAGCGTCCTCCTGAAGAAGTTGCGGCCCGCCTTGCTCGACAGGAAAAGCAAGAACAAGTTCAGATTGAGTGTATGTAAACCAAACCGCTCTCAAGGTCATCTCTCGCAGTTGTTTTCTTCTTACACCTTTCGCTCCCATTTCTTCCCCATCAGCTAGCTGTGATTTCTTTCTTTATTCGCATTACTGTGAATTTTATCATTTGTCTTCTTCCCATCTGTTACCTGGGTGACAAGGGATCAGTAATGTAGTGTGCATTGTGTATCATGGTGAACATTCCATGATGTACTTTCTCCATTTGTTTTTTGTTTGGTTAGTGTTGAAGTCTTCCTGCCGGAGTGGCTCCTGAATTACTCCAAGGAACCGTTTTTTTTAGACTTCTGTAAAGTAGAGGCAGACTTGACATGTGCTGAGTTCCTTGACTGCTTTTTCTTTTTCTGAGTCCTTGGCCGTTGTACAACTAGTTGAGACTGTTAAACCAAATGACTTAAACAAGTGCAATATTTTTGTACTTTTCCCCCCTCACCTTTTAGTTTTTCCTGAACTTTTTACCACTTCAAATTGAGACCGCTTTTTTTTTTTTAACTCATGCTTTCCCTCATGTTTCTCCCTTTGTCATACAGACACTTGGATGTAAATTATAAATTTAAGATGTTTGTGCCTTTTTTCCAGTTCCTCATAGCTTTCATTCTTGAGCAAGTGAACATTTTCAGGATTTTGCCTAGGATTACAGCACAATGTGTCACATAGCACACCCATGGACTTTTTGTAAGGATACATAGACCTCTTGAGGAGAGTGGCCTGCTTTTACAGGTGTGTGGGCCTCTGCAGTTCACTCTGAACTGCATTCGGACTTCCTGTCCACCATTAACTCAAGCATGCCATGGCAATCAGATACCGTATTTTCCTTCCTCTGCCTTTCCAGGTTAACTTTGATTCTCCAACTGTTTCTTAGTGCTTTTTCATTTCTTGCTTTCAGCAGCTTTGACTTGTGTTACAAAGGTACCGTTTATGATTGATCAATTTCTATGCATTTGTTCATCTCTCTGCAAAGGCACTGTCGAATCTGCCTGTTTCTTTTGCTCAAACTCTCCTTTTCTTTCATTCTCATCTCAAACATATTTCTTCTTCTTTTGTTGTTGTCACCAATGTCATCTTGTGTTATCTTATTCTCACTGGCTATCTTTCTTCAAGTGACCATTTTTTATTTTAACACATTGTCTGAAATCACTGCTTACATTGTTTGGAGGTTTCTTTGATATTCCTTTTTTTTTTTTTTGGATCGTTTTATTTGGGGCTCATACAACTCATCACAATCCATGCATTACATCCATTGTGTCAAGCACATTTGTACATTTGTTGCCATCATCATTCTCAAAACGTTTTTCTACTTGAGCCCTTGGTATCATTTTTTCCTCTCCCTCCCTGCTCCCCCTCCCTCACGAACCTTTGATAATTTATAATATTATTATTTTGTCATCTTTGATATTCCTTAAGTAGCAAACAAAAATGTGATTTTTAAGTTGTATAATGCATATATACATAATGAATTTTACAATTCAGTGTTTTTCAGTTGTATAAATTTGTAATAATAATTACATTGGAAGTGTGATCTTGATTACAATTTTCTTACCCAAACAAAGAAGGTGAGGTGGGGAGTCTTGTCCTTAGGGGACTTAACCTGGGTGTGCCCTTAAGGAAATTGGGGTAACCAGGGATGCTTGGTCCTGAGTAGCCAGGGGTCAGAGGGTCCCAAGGCCAATACTGTGAGCGTTTCTAATATGCAGCTAGCTGTGTATGTGTCTCAGCCTGGACCTGTTTTGCTTCTTTGGGCCTGCGCGTGACAGTGTGGAATCTGTGATGAGTGCTTTTGTTTGCTGCCATCTCTTAACTTCACGGCCACCATTGGAGCCTCATGACAGATGATCTCCTTCATTTGGAGGATTTGTCTTTATCTTGTCGGTGCCCTGTTTAAGACTTGATAAAATATCAAAGAGAAGAAAAAATAATGATCTTAATATATGATAGTTCCTTAAACATTTGTGTCTTGTAGCCTTCAGACTTGTTTCCAAGCTACCTTTTCTTTTTTTGCCTTTTTCTTTTTTGATTACATACAAGTGACTTTAATACAGAGACTGAATTATTATTAGTTATAAGTTCATAGACAAAGAAAAGCTATGGACATGAAAATAAAGGCAATATTGAAAATATATCAGAGGTTGTAGCAATATGGTATAGAAAAATTTGATTTACAAAGTATCAGTGCATTTATATTCACAGGTTATTTTAAAAACTTCACGTCAATAGCCTCATTTTTTTGTTTTGTTTTTTTAATCGTTTTGCCTGTTAGATCTTGAGAGCCTGACTGGTACAGGCTGCTAACCAGAAGGTTGGCTGTTTGAATTTACCCAGTGGCTCCATGGGAGAAAGCTCTGCTTTTGTAAAGATTACAGTCTAGGAAACCCATTGAGACAGTTCTACTCTGTCAAGTGGGGTTGCTAGGAGACAAAAACTTGACATTACCTAACAGCAACATGTTTTGGCTTGGTGTGATAGAGGTGTTTTGCTATGAGTATTTCTCTGGCTGAGGGTATGAAAATGTCCTAGCTGGGTCTCTGTGGTCTGGTCATTATTTAAAGGGAAAAAAAGATCCATTGTTTATGCTGAAGTTGTTGACTCTAGTGGCACAGTGGTTAAGCCCTCCACTGCTAACTAAAAGGTTGGCAATTCAAACACACCAGCTGCTCCGTGGGAAAAAGAAATAACAATCTGCTTCTGGAAAGTTTACAGTTTCTGAAACTCTATGGGCCAGTTTTACTCGGTCTTACAGGGTCAGAATTGACAACGGGTTTGGGTTTTTGGCAGTGGGTAAAACAAACTGTAAAGTCTTAAACCGGATTACATTCTTTTGAAATAGATTGCCTTTCTGTAAGCAGTTATTTTTCTCATGGGAGGAAAAAGCCAGGTTCTGAACTTTATTTTGAAGAAATTCCATTAGCCATAAAAGTAAAATTACTATAATGAACAACTCCCATTTTATCAACATTTGACTATGCTTTTAAGTGAAACCTTGATTCCTAAATTTGGGCTTGTTTCTTTGCTGCTGTGTGCTTGCTTGTTTTTACCACTTTTGGAGACATGCAGTGAAAGACTTAATAGGGAAGAGTGAAAGATTAAATTACTATATATGAAGGCAGGAACCTATTTTTTTAAAAAAAACACTTCTTTTTCTCCCAGCAATAGCTAAGAGCTTAGAAGATGCTGTGAGCCAGACTGCTCGCACCACTCTGCATGCAGTCGCAGCGCAGAATGCCGCGGTTCAGGCCGTCAATGCACATGCCAGTGTCCTGAAAGCCGCCATGGACAATTCTGAGGTGAGCCCAGGAAGGATGCAACCCATTGCTCTGAGTCGGGGCCAGCTCACAGCAGCCCTGTTGGACGGAGTAGAATTGTTCCTAAGGTTTCCAAGACTAAGTCTTTACACGAGCAGGTAGCCTCACCAATCTTCCATAGAGCCTCCTTCTACCAGCCTCCTGGCTAGCAGCCTATCATTTAATCCACTGCACAACCACAGTATCTTCAAGAATGATTGGGCATGTGTTATTTGATAGACCAGTTTTATCCTCACAGCCTATCTTACACATCAGTTATAGAAATTATTCATGTTTACACACTGAAAATTTTTGTTTAGATTTCAGGTGAGAAGAAGGCAGCCCAGTGGCGCATGGTGGAGGGCGCGTTGAAGGAACGCAGAAAAGCAGTAGATGAGGCCGCCGATGCCCTTCTCAAAGCCAAGTAAGTACTCATGGACTTTCACAAGTTATTAGGGCCTCCTGGTGGCTTTCTTCGGGCCGGGCTTTCTTTGTGCAGTGTGAGTGAGTGAGTGGGGACCAAGAGCCCTTTTCCCTCTCTCCATCTGTGCTTTGTTGCGCTGGGGTCAGAATGGGGACATTTAATAAGTCTGTTCAATTTGTGAAGCCTATGGAATCCCAAAGCCTTCCTGTGAGGCCGTTATTTCTTGAGAGTTGTGGCTTCATCATTTTATCTTAATTAAGTTGTCTTAATTGGAAAGCTAACAAGATCCAGGATATTGCACACAGGACTGACATTTATTGAGTGCTCACGAGATAGCAAACACTGAACTCTCTTCCTATACCTCATGCCACCGCCAGTCCCCTTCTGTCCTTGGTGGTTTTGGTTGTTGGTGATACAAACTGCTCTACCTGGAGACTGCAAAAAAGCATTGAATCTTTGTTTCAATTTATTTCTTTCACAGATTTTTAAAAATTTTATTTTGTACAGCTTTTAGAATGCTTTCATAAAGTTGGCAAGGAATTGTATTAAGTCTTTGTTTCATTTTATTGGTTTCCAGAGAAGAATTAGAGAAGATGAAAAGTGTAATTGAAAATGCAAAGAAAAAGGAGATTGCTGGGACCAAACCTTACATAACTACTGCAGAGGGCAAACTCCACAACATGATCGTTGATCTAGACGATGTGGTCCAAAAGGTGAGCCCCTTAGGTCTCTTGTTCACATGAAAACAAGACCCTTTAGCCAAAGGAATGCAAGAAAATAGATGCTTGTGGTCATGGTTGTTACTTACCGCTTAGAAAATTACCATTTTGTGACTAAATGAAAGACAAGCTCTTCTGTCTAAACTTGGTGTGATCTATAAAGGGTAGTTCCTATCTGCTTTAGAAAGCTAGATAGGTATTACCTATGCATTCACAGTCAACTTACTAAATAAGCAAACCTGACTTCTCTTTCTGAGCTTGTATTGTCTTGTCCAGTTTAGCCCTCTACCCTTTGTGTCTCTTTAGGTCCAAGCAGCACAGTCTGAGGCTAAGGTTGTCTCTCAGTATCATGAACTAGTGGCCCAAGCCCGGGATGACTTTAAACGAGAATTGGACAGTATTACCCCAGATCTAATGCCTGGGTGGAAAGGGATGAGTAAGTACAACTGAAGCATTGTGCCCCCTTTTTTGTTTTTCTTTCTTAACAACTGACCTATCAACTACAGTAAGCCTGCTTCAGCTGCATTCATTTAGTCCAAACCCCTGTCGCCTGCCTACCTGTTGCTTGGTGTCCAGTCCAGCCCAGTGTTGTCGACATTTTCTCTAGCAGGCACCATGTAAGGTAGCACACTGGTGGCCGCTCCCTCCTCCATGCTTGGTTATAGCCATGGTGAATAATCTGGTTTCTGCTGTTCAAAAAAAGCATTTTGAATCCAAGCAAGTGAGAGTAGCATTATAACCTTGGCTCTGATAAAAATATCTATGTATAATTATTCAAAACCTTAGTACTCTGCATATATTTAGATTGAATTGCTTAATGGCACACCTTGGAGGTGTGAATGGTTCACACTGCATTCCTGCTTTGTAGGATACCTATCCACCAGCTAAGTCGTGGTGCTTGTTTGTAGCTTGTTTGTGACAGACAGGCTTTAACAAAGCTTGCATACTGAAGAAAAGCCTGGTGATCTAGACCAATCTGTGGATCGCAGCAGTCTGATGGTGGGACTGGCACAGGACTGGGCAGCATTTCGTTTCGTCCCCATGAGCTGGGTGCCAGCTGTCATGGCCACTACGATAACCTGGGCACTCTTTCTGATTACTCTCTGACACTGAGGTTGAGAACCTATTCAGGGGCTCTAGAGTAGAATTGCTGTGGGACTGTACATTAGCTCAGATTGCAAGAAACTTGATACTGAAGGTTAGGCAATTATTACATACTGTAACTCTGAGAGATAGTCCCATTTTCCTGAAATGCTGGGAAAGTGCTAGGAATCTCAGAGATGACCATTCTCAACAAGCTGTACCCGAACTACCTCTTACAGTTCTCTCCGGACTGAAAGTTCCAGGCTTGATAAAAGGGTCATGGAAGCATGAGCTAAGGTAATAAAGACCCATGAGATATTTTATCTGTGTGACAGTCATCCAGAGAGATTTACTAGATTTACTCTGGGAACTCGGGTTCCCAGAGGAACCCAAGACAGTTTTCTATATGTAGTTGACTCACTTAAGAGGGGGACCACCAGTTAGACTTTAAAGGGAAAAAAAAACGGGGGGTGCTTAGAGAAAAAAATTGTATACACACCAATCTGGAAAGAATCAATCTTGCTTGCACCTTGCTGTTTGAACTGGCTAGCCATCACTCAGCAGAGGAGGTCCATGTTGACAGGTTCAGGAAGCCAAGCCATACCTTTTCCCTACTGAAATGTCTCCTGGGCTGTGCTTCCCTGAATTTACAACTGAAACAGATGTAACCATTTCCTACCACACCTCACTCTACCACTTTATTCTGTTTTAGCCTCTTGAAATTCATCATCTTGTCTTGTGTGTTTGTTGTGTGCCTATTAAATGTAAGCCCCTTGGCAGAGGCATGGCATTTGGTAGAAAGCAAGGAGTTGGGGTTGGCTGAAGGGAGAGGAAAGGACGTTGGAAGGGCAGGATGGACTGAGAGAACGAGTAGTGAGTGCCAACCCTAGCAATTTGAAACTTGTGATCTTTACTACCGGTCTTTGGTCTTCCTACCGAACTAACACCTACTGATGTTTTCCAGGGCAGCCGTTGAAGTTTTTAAACTTTTGTTGTTGTTGCTGATTCTGAAAATGCCCATAAAATGTCAAAAAAGTTACAGCCTAGTTCTCAACTGCCTAGGGATGATTTTCTGCCTAAGGACATTTTGCAATGGGCAGGGCTGCTGGCATCAGAAGGCAGGGACACTGCTAAGTCCTGTCAGACACAGCAAATCCCCCCATAGTGGAGAATGATGCTCCAAAGCGACAGTCATTCCCAAGGCCTAGAAACCCTGTGTTGAAAGGTGACCTCCAGAAAATAAAGTTTTTGTGTTTTCTGTGGTGCTGCCTCTGAATTTTTAGAGGGGACACCATCTCCAGTTCCATTTTTAGGAATTTTTAACATGGATTGCACCGTCACATGATAGAAAATTTGCAATGCATAAAAGGCATTTAGTGAAAGTTAGCCATACGCAAACCCACATATTCCATGATTTTTAGTCCATCGATGCAACCAGTGTCACGTCTTTTTCTGGAGATGTGAATTCTCCCTCGATGACTAAAAGTCCTTACCTCTGAAATCTAAAGGCCTTTCAGACCTCTACCAAATCCCCTCTAGCAGAGGGGTTATCACTGGGTTATAATCTTGGTTCTCTAAATTGTGAATAGCCTGGCACTAACATTGTCGCATAGTCTCTGAATTCTTTCATAGCTAAGCTCAGTGCTATCTTTGTTAATAATAGCCAGCACTACTGAGCATTATTCTGGCACTGTTTTCTAAACATTCTACAGATCTTGACTTAATTAAAGATCCAAACAATCCTGAAGTATGAAAAGGCCTTTTTTACCTCCAGTGTCTGGTTTTTCTTTCTTTTTGTGGTCTTCCAATTTAACATCTATAAATGAAATACATATATTCTTATTTTCAAACTCTTTTGCTTTCCCTTTGCAGGCATTTCTGACTTAGGTGAGTAATTATGTGTTCTGTACTTTAAAGGCTTTTGTTTTGAGTCTTAAAAGACTGAAGTCTTTGTTTTCTTGATGCTTAAAGTTACGTACATAATATAAACAAAATTGTATCACATGAAAAATCTAAATAAGGATCTTTTTGTCATTTGCGCTCTCCGTGATTGGAAGCCTATAGATATGATATACATAAAAATATTGTTTTTAATTTTGGAAAGTTTCGGATATTAAAAATAGGAAGAAAAGTATGGTAAGCGCCAAAGTCCTTTCCCCCTGCTTCAGCACTGGTCACGTGGCCAGTTCTGTCTCACTTGTTCGTGCTCACCCTTCTTCTAGCTCATGTTGAAGCAGATCTTAGCATATCCTTTCATTTCTAAGTCCCTTCAGCTTGCTTTCTGAAACATCATCACCAGGCTGCATCACAGCGGAGACATGAGTCTTCCTCAGTGCCCTCCCATGTCCAGTCAGGGTTCAGATAGGTGCCATTGTCTGTAAAGTGGGCTCGTACAGTGAATTTCGTCGATGCGTCTTTTATATCATCTTTTTATTTCAGTTTATTTCTTGACGATATGAGTCATTTGTCATATAGAGCTTCCTATACTTTCTCTATTTTGCTGATGTAGTCCTAATTCTTACGTGAGGAGTGGGGTTTTGAAGACTCGTAACAGGCCTTGAGGCGTGAACAAGCTCTGCAGCAGCAGGGTCTGGTGCACAGCTCAGGCTGCAGACTGTGCTCCTGGATCCCGTTTGGAGTGAGAAAAGGAGCAAAACTCATAGGAGAAAGTAAAAGTTTGAATGGGATGAGAGTTTTCTGAAAAAGAAACTAACTGGGGATGCATGTTACAAAGAATCATAGGAATATATGCCAGAAAACACAGAAGTGGCTGCATATATTAGCTTGGTCTTTATAGGCAAAATTATTAGGTGAAAAGCTAATTTATAGGTCATTCAGATGACAAGTATTATTTTGGGTTCATGAAAAAGGCAACTGATTGCTATGCCTTTACAAATTAACTAAGGTTTTTGCTTGCATTTGAAAACATTTTATTGTTAGGCCCTATCTATCAATATCCAGCTGAACTGGAGAATCTTAAGCCCATTTGTGAAGCTGATTTTTCCTCTGCATTGTTTTAAAGGTTAAAGTGCAAATGACTGAAGATGTGTACCTGTAATAAATCCTTATGCTGAGACGATGAACTCTCCAATGTGTTCTCTTTAGCCGACAAGCTGTCCACTGATGATCTGAACTCCCTGATTGCTCACGCCCATCGCCGCATCGACCAGCTGAACAGAGAGCTGGCAGAGCAGAAAGCCGCGGAGAAGCAGCACATCGAGTTAGCCTTGGAGAAACAAAAGCTGGAGGAAAAGCAGGCGTTGGACTCTGCGGTGGCGAAAGCATTAGAGCATCACAGAAGTGAAATAGTGTCCGAGCAGGACAGAAAGGTAGCAGAGATGGGAGTCGGAGTCATGCCGGGCCTAACATTTAAAATGAATCTATTTCTGCCACCAGTTTAAAATACCGGGTATAAGTCATGCTGAACCACCTACAGAATGCAGCTTTGTCCTCTGCTTTCCTGGTCAAACGTAAAACCTGTAGGGAAGGAATGAACTAGCAGAGCTCCTTTTTGTTGAACAGATGCTGCAGTTCAAGAGCATAATGGGCTACTGGCAACCGGGCTTATCTAATCCCTCCTCCCCAGTGGAGTTCTCCCCTAAAGCAGGCCTGGAAGACCCTCCATTGGCATCTGAGCATGTTCCCCTTGCCAGTGTTCTACATGGCGGGTGGTTAGGAATGATGGGGTCACTCTTCTAGCCATGTGGGCACATCATGTATTAAATATGTGGCCACAGGGGTTTGGGGACCTGGCTACACATCCCACCTTCATGTCTCAGCAGCACAGTTGACCACTCTCTCCTCTCTCAAATGGCTTTCTGCCCCAGGACCACACTCTTCTAGCCTTTCTCTCCGCTTGCTGACCACTCCTGAGGCTCCTTTGCTCAGTTGGCATGCCCTGCTATGCTTCTGAAACCTTTTCTTACTCCACAGTCTCCAAGTGACCATAGGTAGTTGTTTGAATACCATCTGTAGCATTCTGAGCTAGGCCTAGCTGTGATACCCCTGGCTGAATTTGTAGTAATTGTTTTAGACTCAACACATAGCAAACGGCCTTCTGGATTCTCTTCAGCCTGTCCCTCAGTCCCTCAGCTGGCCTCTGTCTGTAAGTAGACCACCAGCCATCAGTTGCTCCAGCTAGACAGCATGCTTGCTAGGCCTTCCGTCACTCATGTCGCCTGTCGTACACCCAGCATCACTCCCTAATCGGTCCATTTCTCTCCTTTACCTTCACCTTAGTCCATGCTGCGGTTCAATAGGTGGTTGTTTCTGTGCTCGTCATTCGAGAGTTTCAACTGGCTTTCCTGTTTTCATACTGATCCTTGTATTTGGTTGGTTCATATTATAAAACAGCTTTGATCAGACACTAGGTTTGTAAACTCCTCCATCGACTGACTCCCTGTTAACATTTAATACAAAATCTAAATTGTTGTCTAATACCAAAAGGCCTAGGTCTCCTTTCTGCCTGCTCGGAGCCGGGGCTCTTCCTTTCACTGCTCCAGGCTGACTGGAATTTTTTCTGTGCCTTAACTACATTTTCCATCTTGGGACCTTTACACCCTTCCTGCCTGGGACTCCTTGAAAGGGGCTTTAGTTACTGCTTTGGATGTCAGTCTCAGCAAGGTCTTCCATGTCCCCTTATTCTAAAGTAGAGCCCCAAGTCAAGCGTCACAATCTGAGAGATGCCCTTTTTGTGGACTTGTTTATTGCCAGCTCTCCACGTTGAAAAGTGTACTGACTGAGAGCTAGAACCCGTTTACCGTGAGCACCCTTGTATCCAGGCAATTAGCAGACGCTGCCTGACATGTTTCATAGATTTTTATGTACCGACTGACTGCACTCCTAGTCATTTACTATTTTGAGAAAATAAATCTTTGGATTCCAGGTACTCTGTTCAATCGGTTGTATTATGCAAGACATGATAATGTCATATTTTATATTATGTTCAGTAATCGCCAGCTACTTTAATGTTCGAGACACTCCTCAGTGTGGGCATTATGACTCACAGCAGAGATTTGGGGAGGACTTGGTAGTGGTTTTCCTCCATGACCTAGCATTAGTGACTTTCGTGGGAAGCTGGTGCTTCAGAAAGGGACAAGTGTCTGCTTTGGGTGGGAGGCAGCCAGGTGATGTGGGCTGGAGAGACCCCTGTTTGAAATTCGGTAGGGTCAAAGCTGGATGTTTGAATCACCTCCCAACCCTTAGCGTTTTGGTTTACATAAAAATTAGAACAAGCTGTGCTCACACGCCTGCCTCTTGGAAGGGACTGTAAGCATTGCTGTTCATTGTCCTTCTCTTCTGTATTTGGAGAGTTGAGAACAATCCTGGCTGTGTTTGGTTTCATAGGTTGACGAAGTTCGAGATGCCATGGAAATTGAAATGAGAACCCAGCTCCGCCGACAGGCTGCTGCCCACACCGATCACTTGCGTGATGTCCTTCGGGTACAAGAACAGGAACTGAAGTGTGAGTTTGAAAAGGTAAGAACTTTGTCTTATCAACAGGCTCTCCTTCCCATTCATGAACTCTGTATGGCCTTCTCTCTGTGACTGTGGAAGGAAGCGTATGGAAAGATGGTTACAGAGCCTTGGTAGAGTGGGGCATTTGTATATCTGCAAAACTGGTCCTTTTTACATAACGATGTAGCTGCATGGAAGTGGTCAGATGTGTTTTGAATGCGCCAAAGGCATGTAGAGTTCCAGCAGCTCAGCACGGCTGGTGAAAGAGACCCGGTCGGGACTGTGTATTGGACAGGTGGCGTTTCCTCATTAAGGGTACTTCTCTGAGAGGTTGAGTTGGTAAAACAACAGATCATAAAGACACCATTAATTTTAATCCGTTTCTATTCAAAGTCATTTACAGATTTTTCAAGTAATGTTCCAGAAAATTGAAATTGACTCTATTTTTAAAAACTATTTATTGAGAGAAATTAATGTTTTATTCTTAAGTAGAGGACATGGAAATAACTATATTATGTGTGGCTAATAATGTATATTATATATTATTATATATATATATAATATATATATATTGTTTTTGGAACTGGCAGTTTTTGATAGCCTACTTTGTCCTGGTCTGCTTTCCCTGATGTCAGGCTCCATCAGGAGTTGTGTGGAGATTGACACATCAAATACAAACCAGAATGGTTCTGAGCCACGCACATAATGTTGTAGGTTCACGATGACTGCTTTGATATTTCAAAGGCACGCTTTGCTTCCAGAGGGGTGGCAATTTCTAAAAGAGCAGCATCCAGATAAGTGATGTGCACTGAAGTAGTATCACTTTTCTCTGTACACTGTTTGTGTTTATTTCAGGACATGTCTGAAAAACTCGCTGAACAAGAATTAGAGTATCGTCGTCTCAGCCAAGAGCAAGTCGACAGCTTTACTCTGGATATAAACACTGCCTATGCCAGACTGAGAGGAATCGAACAGGCTGTGCAGAGTGAGCAGATGGCACTTAGAAATTGTTATTCAGTGTGACCTCTGAGGGTGATTACTTGTTATGTGGCTAATGAGCTGTGTGCATTAATGTTGGGGTATAGAGATACTGAAATCTCTTTACCAGATCTTAAGTACTTTTTTTTTTTTTTTAATTAGACCCAGATTTGGTGCATTTGGAACACAGAATGTTTAGGAGGATATTTTTTTAAAGGCTCTAAAATTAAATCTAAGTAACTTGAAGTTTTACTTCTTGTGACTTAGATTTAATGATATGACATAGTTAATGATAGGACAAACCCTAGATGACTGTTTGAGTCAGTTAACCAGCGTTCGAGGGCTTTTCTCGTGGGCTTGGGTTGTGGTCCTGGTGGGTCTGTGCGGGCTCGTGCTCCCCCTCCAAAGGGCCCTGAGTCCTCGGGGACTTGGAGAGTCAAGTGGAAGCGGTGGTTTGCCAAGTCCACTCACCGACCAGAGACTTCCATGTGCCCGACTGAAAGGAAAATCTCCTGACAGGACATGGATAAAATGAGTTTGGGGGGATGTTTAGAATCCCTTTTATCAGTAAACTATAAAAGTAAATTCAGTACTCCTGGGCTTTCAAGATCCAGTCGTTGGGTAGGTTTCTTTGAAGTCTTCCATTCCTTTGCCAGGAGTTTCTGGTGGTCTGTGCACCAGCCGTCACTGTCCACTTTATCAACATAGTTCTTTCTCAGCTTCTAAATACAAAAATATTTAAATTGGATGCCCCACAGATGTGAGTGACATAGGAAGACTGTACTTGGTATTGTCCTGAGTGTTCAAGTCACAAGGAGAGGGCTGGGAGACCTGTGTGTGGGCACCTACATCTGCCAAGTTCTCCCTGGGGTGTTAGCAGAAGCCAGCCCGCTGTCACCTGGTGACACCTCCCCTTGTTGCCTCACATGAAGTGGCTCACTAGGAAAGACCACGAGAAAGGCTCACCCTCTGGCCACATCTTCTGTGAGACTTTAGCTTGTCCGTGTAGTTTAGCTCTAGATGTGCTGGGAGTGTATGGAATGCTGGATGAAGAGCACAATGCTTTCCTCTGCCTTTTCTTTCCTTATCTGTAGGCCATGCAGTTGCTGAAGAGGAGGCCAGGAAAGCCCACCAGCTGTGGCTCTCGGTGGAGGCGCTGAAGTACAGCATGAAGACGGCATCTGCAGACCTGCCCACTGTCCCGCTGGGCGGTGCCGTAGAGGCTATCAAAGTCCATTGTGCTGATAATGAATTTGCCCAGGCTTTAACTGCGGCAATTCCTCCCGAGTCTCTGACCCGCGGGGTATACAGCGAGGAGACCCTTAGAGCCCGTTTCTATGCTGTCCAGAAACTGGCCCAGAGGGTAGCAATGATTGATGAAACCAGAAATAGCTTATACCAGTACTTCCTCTCGTACGTGCAGTCCCTGCTCCTGTTCCCACCTAAGCAGCTGAAGCCACCACCGGAGCTCTGCCCTGAGGATGTAAACACGTTTAAGCTATTGTCCTACGCCTCCTACTGCGTTGAGCACGGAGATCTGGAGCTGGCAGCCAAGTTTGTCAATCAGCTGAAAGGGGAGTCCCGACGAGTGGCCCAGGACTGGCTGCGTGAAACACGAATGACCCTAGAAACTAAGCAGATAGTGGACATCCTGACTGCATACGCCAGCGCCGTAGGAATAGGAACCACTCAAGTGCAGCAAGAGTAAGGCCTAGGTGGTGTCCTAGCCAGTTCTATTTCATGTCACAGGAAATCGGCAGTGACAAGTATACAAGGGGTTGGCAGCAAGGGTCCCAAAAGGGTCGTGAAAGGAGCAGGTTGCAGGTCTGTTCTCAATGTCAACACTTGCTGCAGTTCCATGATCTCCACTTGCTATCATGTCAGTGAACTCCAAGAGTGCTTTCCTTGCCACTTGTGTAAGTAACATTGTCGTTTTTTTCAGGTTTTACTGACCAGGTTTATGAGCAAATCAAAATAATGTTTGTGATCCCTACTGCTAGTGATTTTTGACCTTGGAGCAAACTGAATAAAACAACAAGATGAAAAAGGAATATCTTGTCCCTTTTCCAAAGCTACCATTTCCAGTGTGTTGTGTGTTCAGAAAATGGCCTTAGAAAGTAGCAACAGCAGAGGCAGAAAGTCCTGGCCACATGGAGCTTCTGGGCTGAGGCTGGGTCACCCGAAATTCCAGGGCTGATGCTTGGCTCTGAAGCTTCTGGTGAATTGATGCCTGCTAGTCACTCAGGGAGCCTGGTAGCGGTTACAGCTGTGATCTGACCCACAAGATTAGCTGTTGGAAACCACCAGCTGCTTTGCAGGAAGGAGAAAGATGGGGCTTTCTACTCCAGTAAACAGTTCCAGTCTCAGAAATTCACAGGCAGTTGTCTTAAGGGGTTTCCATGAGTCAGCAACTCGAGGACAGTGAGTTTGGACTTGAGTCAGAATCAGCACCCTGATGTACAGACCAGAACGCTAAAGATTTGTATTTATGGTGGGACTTTTAGCTTTCTTTTTTTTTTTTTTTTTTAAATTAATCAATTTATTGGGGCTCATACAATTTATCACAATACATAGATCAATTGTGTAAAGCACATCTATACATTTGTTGCCCTCATCATTCCCAAAATTCTCTTGCCTCCTGGGTTCCCGGAATCCGCTCATCTTCCTTCCCCCCCACGGGACTTTTAGCTTTCTAGTGAGTGAAAGACCGTAGAACTCATACGTATCCAGACTTTGTTACCTTCCAGGGAAAAATAATTTTGTATTGCGACCCAATATACACATTCCTGTGTGCATGTGTAAAAGTTTCTAGCCAGTGCTGGTCCTCTCTGCTGCTGGGGCTGTTTCCTCTTGCTACCAACTAAGTTAACTAAACACGCCCCATATGGGTCACCGCCAACAGCTTAAAAAGCACTAGTGATTGGCCATGCTCATTTCTGGTACCTGGACTGAATCTTCACAGAAGTGGGGGCAGTGATCCTGGGAATTTTACAGAGATTGGATAATGTTGTGGTGTATGGGGAGGGGGGGCGGGCGAGCTTCAAAAACGTTATGTAAATTCTCCTTTTCCACAAACTCTGAAGCTCCCGATTTAATCTCAGTTCCCGTAAAACCCAAAGAATTTCCTTGATCACCTTTCGAAAGGAAGGGCAATTGGTGTATTAATCACAACATGGTATATGTTTGTTCTTAAAGGGCACCTCTTTGACATGAAACACTACCAGTTTTCTTACTAGTCATCATAAAGGTGTCAGCTCTTTGTGTTCACAAAGTACCCCAGGTAGTGCAATAGCTAACGGCAAGATTGACAGTTTGAACTTGACAGCTCTTCTGTGGGAGAAACACATTTAAACTATTGTCCTACGTTATGTTTCCTCTTGCATTCTGTAGTGATTAGTAGCTCTGGAAACCCTTTGGGGCCATGCTACTCTGTTCTACAGGTTACTATGAATTGGAATTGGCTCAACAGCAAAGGGTTTAAGCTTTTGGGTTTTGTTTCTGAGCACATGCAAATCATGAAGCAGGGTTTTAGTATTTTAGATCTGCAGGTGATCATGGTAACCACTGGATTCAGTTTGTTCCATTCAAGTGTCTGCATACCCCCTGACCTTGTCCTCTCATTCGCAGTCTATTGGGCCATCTTAGACCTGGATTGACGTTTACTATATTACTTACATTCTCCAAAGTGGATTCTTAGTTAAAAACATATCTAGTTTTCTTGGACTGGAACCCGGTTTGTTTAATGCTCTTAATATCTGAAGGGGAGGCACTCTTGGAACTTGGGCGCTGGTTTTTACAAGGTAGCAGAACGTTACAAGTACCAAATTCACTGCCATCGAGCCGGTGCTGACTCAGTGACTATACGGCAAGACAGAAGAGCCCCGATGAAGTGTTGGAAGCACTCACCTATGCTAGGAAATTTGGAGACTAGCTACTTGGCCAGGTGACAGGAAGAGATCCCTATTTGTACCCATTCCAATGAAAAATTACAACAGGATGCTCATAACAATAGCATTAATATCACATGCAAGTATAATTCTGCTGAAGATCAACATGTTGCAGGAATACATTGACAGGGAGCTTCCAGGGGTGCAGACTGGATTCAGAAGAGGATGTGAAAACAAAGGCGATTGCTGATGTTGGATGGATCTTGTTCAAAGCAGACAATACTAGAAAGGCAATTACTTGTTAAATTGACTATGCCAAGGCATTTGTGAATCACTCGAGATAGCCTTGAGACAAATGGGGATTTCAGAACACTTCAGTGTGCTCATGCAGAATTTGTACATGGATCAAGAAAGAGGCAGTTGTACAAACAAGTGTTTCAGGACGTTATCTTTTTACCATACTTATTCAATCTGTATGCTGAGCAAGTAATCAGAAAAGCTGGCTTATAGGAAGAAGGCATCAGGATTTGAGGCAGGCTCAGTAACAGGTGTTGCCTGTGATATACAGATGACAACTTTGCTTACTGAAAGTAAAGAGGACTTGAAGCACTTGCTGGTGAAGATCAAGGACTGCAGCCTTTGGTCTGGATTACAACTCACATCAAAACCCAAATCCTCACAATTAGACCAATAGGTAACATGACAAATGAAGAGACTATAAAGACTTCAAGGCTATCCACAACCAGTGCTCACTGAAGCCGCAGTCGAAATCAGAGTTGCGTTGCATTAGGTAAACCTGCTGCTGCACAAGACCTTTAGAGAATTGAAAAGCAAGGATATTTGAAGAACTATGGTGGGCCTGACTCAAGCCATGGTATTTTCAATTACCTCCTATGCATGTGAACACTGGACATGGAATAAGGAGACCGAAGAATTGATTCATTTGAATTGTGCTGGCGAAGCAAACTTAAAGTACCATGGGCTCCTAAAGGACAAAGCTGTCGTGAAGAGGCACAGCCAGAATACTCCTTAGAGGCAAGGATGGTGAGGTTTTGTCACTCGTACTTTGGACATGTCAGGAGAGACCAGTCTCGAGAGCACCTTGCGTGATCAAGTCAACGAGGGAGGAAGGTCCTCAGGGAGATGGACTGTCACTGAGGCTGCAGGAATGGGTGCAAGAACGGAGCAAATGTGGGGAGGGTGCGGGCCCAGGCAGTGCTTCATTGTGTGCACCAGGGTGACTGCAGGTCAGAGCTGACTGAAGGCTCCTAACAACTTCTCTAAAGTCATCCTCTTTGGAGTGGCATGAAATGGCAAAAGACATGTACTTGCAAAATTGATTGACCTATTTGTAGTATCAAAAATGCTTATAATGTTTATTTTACTTAAACTATAAAACATCATAGTTATGGAATTGTTTCTCTTGGAACTCAGGAATAGCCTTCTGTTTGACAGTGATTATCTGAGCTCAAGACATGAACAGAACTTCAGTGGTTTATTTTAGATCCAAAACAAAATTATGCAGATGACTTGTTTTCAAATTTTAATAGTTCTCTTAACACCCCACCCCGTTGCATTTTAGAAAGCAGATTGATGTTGTAAGGTGGCCCTCTCTAGCCCCACCCCCTAATCTTCCTGGGTGGTTTTTTCACTCGAACACCATATGATGGAAAGGGTGAATCTTGCATTGAAGCTTGGTCAGATTTATCAGCAGAGGGAATCCACAGGGCCCAGAAGGTAGATGGGTTGTAGGTGCCTCAATAACTTATGTGCAATTGAAGGAAACAATTGCCCAGCCCTGCCTGGGCCATCTCAGTTGTTAGGCATGAGTTCATTGCTGCAGCCCCCGTGTCAAATCCATCTTTGAGGGGCTTCCTTCTTCACTTGCGCCCTCCCAGACATAACTGTCTCTGGAGTGCACACTTACTGTCCATCAGCTTCACTTGGGCGGGCCAAACCCAAACCAAGCCAGGTAGCTCACTCCAATTCAGTACCTTTAAAACAGCACAACTACCCCTGGGGCTGACTTTAGCCTATTTTCGTTCAAAGAAGTATAAAGTTCTACCACTCCCACACTTCCAGTTCAAAGGTCATACTAAGTCATTGGTTTTTTTGCTTTCATCTGTCAATGGCTATAGGACAAGGTTCCCCATCCTTTTAAACATGTTCCTAGTTAATTTTCATATTTAATGTCGGAGATTTAAAATCGTTAATAGAAATGTTTTAAAATAATCTTAGGCAGTCTTTTTATTAATCATTTTATTGGGGGGGGGCTCTTACAAATCTTATACAATCTACCATTCAATTGTACATATATTGCCATCAATTCCTAAACATTTTCTTTCTACTTAAGCTAAGGCAGTCTCTAAGGCACAATCCTACAGTATTCCTTTGTATTAAATTTTCTGCTCTTTTAATAGGTTCTAAGTAAATGTCTCCCAAGTTCCAAATTGTCCCACTATGTTTAAAATAATTTGCTTGATCTCAGTGCAGAACATGTAATTTGACACAAGAGGGAAAAAATTTAAGTGCTTAAACATCAGGCAAAACAGCTTTTACTGGGATCAAGCAGTCATTTTCCCAAATGGAAATTCTGGAGGCTGGGGGGCAGTCAAGATTGATGAGACGACGAGGGTCGCCCAGCCACTACCCGAGTAGCAGCTGCCTTGAGTTTTAGCCACGATGGCTCTGCATGGGGTCTAAGGGTTTGGGAGGGAATGTCTGGCAAGTGAAAGAATGAAACTGGGCTAGAATAAATTGTCATGACCCCGCTTAGTTTTCAAGTTTTAATTTTCGCTGCGAGCTATAAAATTGAGCTGATCCCTAGCAGGCCTTCCCATGCTAAAGTCCACTGCTTTGCAGGTCCCCAGGCAGCATTGCTCTAGACAGTTGAAGATGCACTGCCCATGTATTTGACCTTTCCATGTTTCAGTACATTGCTTAAATCAGCTAAATCAAGTAACCTCATTTGTGTGGTCAAGTCATTTTACCTCTCAGGTCTACTCTAAATGATTCTATCACCTGTCCTGTCATCCTTCTAGTGGCTCTGCAATCTTGTGAGTTACAAATCACGGAACGGTGACTTTACTGCATGTACTTGGATTTCTGACTTCATCTCATTAAATTTTATTACCCAGAACAGGCTTCAAGACCAGCTAATAAGTGTGGCCCTACAGTTTAAAATACAGACAAAACCCTGTTTTAATCGTGACTGTACATACAAACATCTTTCCCTCTAGGGTCACGGCTTTGTGTAGTTTCATGCAGCAAACAAGAAATTCAGCAAAAATCAACAAAGACTGCTGAGGAGGTGGGTAGCATTCATTACAATTTACTCTGCATAATGAGCTCCTGGGTGCCAGGTTCTAATCCATAAGAGACATTTGGAAGCGGTATTGTTAAGATCCTTAGTGGCTGGCTGGTCAAAGTGTGGTAATACGGCATTGTATTGGCAGTCCTCAACTGACCTGTTGAACAAAAAATCTCATTTCTGCACAATGGTGGTCAAACAAGCTTATTCGACATATCTGAAGACTCCTTCCTTTAGCCTTCACAGTTCTCACTCCCGACTGTTCTTAGGGTACTCTGAAATGGCTCACTAGCCTCAGCGACAGGCTGTACCCGGATTTCTAACATACGACTGCTTTCGAGGCAGCTGGTGCTGACGCTATAGCTCTGACATGATTACAGCAGCATGTCCATTATTTAAATTAGGCTTTTCAAAACTGGATACTAGTTCTAATTGGATCTGAAATACAACCCAGAAGAGCTTGCCCCTTCTAATTCTGCTATAAATGTTGACATATCAGGATGTAAACATGAATCTACATCAACTGAGACATAATTGCCGTTCTATCAGTATCACAAACAGGGTTTTCCTGGACCGTGCTCTCAGGCGAGCACTGAGGCAATGGGAGAAGGTGCTGGTGAACCAGGAAGAACCAGTGACACCAACCAGGTTCTCCCTGAAAGTTGTAAACTGAGATGAAAGGCTGATCTGTCCGATTGCTTCTTTGACTCAGTGTAAAGGGGCTAATGGATCAACACATAAATGCTTAAGTAGCTAAGTACTATACTGGTGAGTTATTTCTCTTTGCCCTCAGATTTCTTGAACTGAGTCATTCAAGAGAAAACAAGAACCAAGTAGCAGCTATGCATGATCAAGCCAAGGAAACATCCACCTGTGTTAGCCACAAGCCCTCTTGTCAACCACCACAGTCATACCTCTAAAGGAGGCCCAGCCTACAAAAAGGGAGCTAAAGGGCCAGTGGAGACACTTGGGCAAACCTCACGTGGGAAAGGCAGGGCAAAGGCTATGTAGAAATAACGAACCCACACATATGCACATAACTTATGAGTATTGACAGGCTCCACTTGCAGGTCAGTCGTGCAATCTAAACTCCTGTCATCATTCTATTTAATTTTAAAATGCCGTTTTTCACATCCTCCGTAAAGGGCCCTGAAACTGATCTTGTTGACCGAACAGCAATTGTTATCCAAATACATGAAGACCTGCTGACACCTAAGGCCAGGCACCACAGCATGAGGCAGCCCAAGGCTGAGACTCAGGACCTTGGAGGGGCACACAGTTGCTGAAGAGGAAGCAAGCCCCCAGCTCTGCTTGGCACAAAGCTGCACTGCTGCTGCTAAAATGGGAGACTCCAATGACACGTGCACGGATGGTTCACTTAGGGAATACCAAAGTCAAATCCGAATCTGACCACAAATTTCCTATCTGTAGTCCCTTCTTTTCTCATATCATTGCTAAATATGAATGCCTCCGTTCCCATGGGATTCCTGCAGACACATCAGGCCTCATCTGCTTCTGAATTGCCCACTTTTATTTGCCTTCACTGCTGTCGCTGTCGCTGTCACTCTCGCTGCTGCTGCTGCTGCTGCTGCTGCTGGTCAACACAGTTGGGCCTCCCAGGGCTTTCCTGAAGGAAACAAGAGGGGAGTCACAATGGGACAGCTGGGGGACCAGGCTCCCGGAAGAGGAAAAAGATACACCAATTCTATAAGTAAAAAGCTTCAACAGCCAAACCTTTCCTGACTTGGATGCTAAATGAGTAATGTCTAAATTAATGCACTTTTTTTTTTAAACTAAAAACTCGGGTCAGAAAGTGATAAAACATCTGAATGAACAAACGGCCTACTCTACCAACCCCACCTTTCTTTCCCGCAAAGATCCAGCACCACTTACTTCTGCTCCTCTGTGATGGCAAACTCGGCCAGCACTCTCTGGGCGAGGCCCTCACAGGCAGGCAGGCTGAAGGCACTCGCCAGCTTCACCACCTCAATGGCTTGCTCCGGGCTGTTGGCTGCTTTTGCACTATCCACAAACTCACTCAGCAACTCATTCCTGTAAACGAGCAGCCAAATGAAAACTTTCTCCAACTAAATCCTTCCACCATCAGTGAAAGAGTCTATATACACAAAAATCCTAACATTTCAGAAGTGCAGTGAAAAATTATTTTACAGTAGCTTTTCAAAAGCAGTCACATGACATTGGCTAACTGCATTCAGCGAGCACCTCGCTGCAATTGCTGAGCAGATGCCCTGGTGGTAGGGCAGCTGCCAATGGGAACGTGCCTATCAGAAGCATGCTCAAACGTGGCAGCAGCAGGTGACGAAACGGAACTGCCCCACAGGAAGAGTCAGGCCATGTGGCTAATTGCAGGTGGTATGCAGGGGCATCCTATTAACTGCAACTTACCTGGGAATCTTGTTATGCTTCCTGAAAAGTCCCAGCATTTTCCTGTTCAGGATGAGGAAGGAGAAAGATGTTGACTACAAACAGAAATGCAGAAGGCACCCAACTGACAGTAGTTGTTCCCCCTGCTCTCGCTGTCATAAATCTGTGGGCTCCAGCTTCCCCTGGCTGCCTGCCCTGTCTGGGCACAGCCACCTTGCAGCAGCCCCACCTGAGTGCACTGCACATGCCAGTAAGCCTGCTGGGGGGTAGCACCGCCGTGGGCACCCTAGCAGATACTCTGCACAGGAAGGAAAGGAGGAGAGATGTACAGAAGAACAAGGGCAACAGAACACTAAGAGCAGGTTTCAGAGAGAAGCAAGAGTTTAATCTCCAGTTTGAAAAAGGGAAGGTATACTTTTCAGATAGCTCTGTTTTGATCACTAAATAGATGCGAGGTTGATACACATCCTCAAATGCTTTGTATCAAACACCTAAGTTAGTGAGGGCCTACACAACAGAGAACCAAGTGGACTGGAACTCACACCCGCCAGGTGCCACTCTATCCCCTGGGGAAGGACTCCATCGTGGACTTAGGTTAGGGGGGGGGGGGCGCCTGAGCTCCGCCGGCTGTCCCTCCATTCCGCGATGAAGAGCAGGCTCAGATTGAGGCACCAGTCTCATGCCAGTGCTCGCCAGCACCCTGCCACATGCAGGACGGAGGAGAGACACTGACATTCAGCTCCCATGGCTCAGCTGAGGTCCGTACCCCTGCGCCAATCATCACAGCCTGATTCACAGCAAAGGCATGGCAACCTGCCCACCTAGCCAACCACTGCTAACAGCAAACACCTGTCACTAGCAGCACACTTCCTAGCAGGGTGTCAAAGCGATGGAGTGTCACTTCTGACACCAAAGGTCAGCAAGCTTCCACGCTTCTGGACGTAGCTTGCAGTCGCATTCTGGACTAGTGACCGTAAAAGTTCCGTTCTTGTGAAGAAGCCATGCATGACAAACCCCTGAACCTATGGCCCCAAGTAACCCTTAGGAAGGGATCTCCCGTGGCTCCATTGTCAGCCAAATCAGTCTACAGAGGGAGTGGTAACTAGAAAGGTAAGCACCACCTGAGAGTCATCAGCTCTTTGAGGTCAGAGGGTAGCACTAAACAAAGGACAAAGTCGGGAGCACAGGAAAGGGGGAGAAAGTGCATGGATGAGTGGGGTCACAGTGTGGGACGGCTATGTGAATTGAAGAAAACTGCCCAATATGTACTTTGTAAACCCTCAACCATAAACTTTATACACACACACCCCACCCCCTCACGCCCAATTCTTAGAAGTCTCATCACCCAGTTCCTATATTGAGAGAGGAGGGTGAGGAGAGAAAACACCACGTGAATAAAATGTTGCTCCAGGAAGCTCAACGAACATAAAAAAAAATCAGTTTCTTGGGTTACCTATTTCTTAATATATTGAACTTCCCACTGAAAATTCATTGTACAGAAACTTGCTATAGATGCTAGTTTGAGTCCTGATAAACCACGATCTTGTTTGAGAACCTTTGTTATCTTACACATGAATATAAGCACTCCTCATTTACCCTTGTAGCAGTCCACTCACCAGGCTTCCTGGGTTCTCCCGGCCCTCAGAAAGAGCCCAGCTATACAGTTGAGAGGTGCAGCTGGCCAATCTGAGGCAGTCTGCCTGGCTTCTTGGCTTTCGTACGTAGACTTGATGTCGGCAGCACAGTCAGCAAATGCCACCTGGAGCTGAGAGGACCCGAGTCAGTGGGATTGCCTAACTAGTCTGATGAGCACCCATCCCAGGGGCCTCCCACACGACCGCCCCCACAAAGCACTGTGCCTCCCACGTGCATGGCTCACATGGGTCCTAAGTACCCAATGCAGACAGAAGAGAAAGCAGAAGACCACCACCTGTCCTGGGAAATGACTCACTGATGCTTGTTTTCCTAGGAATGCAAAGTCAGAACAGAGGTCCATTTCCTACGAATCTGGCCGCACTACAGTCCCCCGCTAACAAACAAGGGGACTGAGGCACAAAGGAAGTTACCCAGGGCCCCAAAGGAGTCAATGGAGGACCTGGGGTTTGCACCTACACAGACACAATCAAGTGTCACAGGTGGTTCTTAGCCACAAGAAGAGTTGGAAAGAAGTGATGAAAATAAGGTCAGAGCAGTTGGCAGGAACCAAGAAGTTCAGGCTTTTTCCAAATGGCAGTGGGGGACCGTTGGTGAATTTTTTAACAATCATTTTATTGGGGGCTCTTACAGCTCTTTTAACAGTCCATACATCAATTGTATCAAACATGCACATTTGTATATATGTTGCCATCATCATTCTAAACATTTACTTTCTGAGTCCTTGTTATCAGCTCCTCCCCTCATGACCCCTTGATAAATTATTTTCTTATCTTACACCAACCACTGACTCCCTTCACCCACGTTTCTGCTGTTCGCCCTCCTGGGTGGGGGAGAATTATGCATCAATCATTCCAATTGGTCCCCCCCCCCAACATCACGACTCCCATTTCTCTTCCTGAGGGATTTATCTGACCTGAATTCCATGTACCAGTGTACATGCTACATTTTAGCCAGAACTAAAAGGCAGGACTGAGCTTATGACAGTGTGAGTGAGGAAGCCTCAAAGAACCAGAGGATTATTGTGTTTCAACGGAGCTACACTGCGCCCTGGATGACCCATTCTGTCCTTTTAATCTTTCTGTGAGGGGAAGTCCTATTGTCTAAAGATAGGTTTGGGGTCTCCACTCCAACCCGCCTTGTTCACAGCAATATGTTTGATTTTGTTGTGGGTCTTCTGATGCCTGTTATCTGATCCTGTCAACACCTCGTGATCACACAGGCTGGTGTGCTGCTTCCAGGTGGGCTTGTTGCTTCTCTGCTAGATGGCTTCTTGTTTGACTTCAAACCTTTAAGACCCCAGATGCTCATCTTTTGACAGCCGGACACCATCAGCTTTCTCCACATTTGCTTATGTACCTGCTTTGTCTCAGCGATCACGTCAGGAGGGTGAGCATCACAGAATACCAGTTTTAGAAGTGTTTTTGCATTGAGGGAGGACTTGAGCAGAGGCCCAAAGTCCGTCTACTTTCTCAATGTATTGCCATATAAATACATGTTCATAGACCAATACCTATTTATATGAATATATTTACATATTTACACAGTCCCCCAGAACCATTTGTCCCATTGCTTTTTCCTCGGGCTTGCTTCCCGTGCCTATTTTATACAGGTTTAAAAACAGTAACAGAGACAAAACAAAAGAATGAATAAAAACCCTAGTACACAAAATATCGGAAAAGCGTACATAATTACAGGTCTGTCCACTGACTTTTATGACTATAAAAGTCTATATGACTTACAGTCCTGGAAGGTGGTGAGGGTGGGTCCAGGAACCGTCCCTCCTAGCCTGAAATCTATTTTGGGGGACTCCTCAGGGGCGTTGGGGCTTGGCTTTGCTCCCGCTGCTGATCTCTTCTTGGTTCTGTGGGGGTAGTCAGACCCGACTCACTCCCCGCCATGTGTCCCCAGTACTGCCCAGTAGGGAACATCATGTCTCGAGCTAGTCAGCCCTCCAGTACCCAGACAGGCTATGCATAGCTCTCGTTTTGGGTTAGAGGACTGAGGTGGACTGTAGAAATGACACTAATGTGTGGACCAGTTTCAATGGGCCTAACTGAAACCTGCAGTCCGGGGGCAGCATCCTCCACAGACAGACCAGACTGATCCTTACACTGATACTGGTGAGAAAGGCATGCTGCTTAGCACCAGTCACACGGAGACAACACACTGTTTCAAGGTGGCTTCCTTACCTCTGGCGGGTGCTTATCCCTGGCCATGAGCGTGAGGATCTCTTCCCTCAGAACACTGCGGTAGGTGTGGCCGTACTCTTTACTATCTTGGAAGGGAAAGGGACAGCGATGAGTGACCTTCATCTCGTAAGCCCAACGCAGCTTTGGCTGACCTCTGTCCATCTCCAGCTGACAACCATTCATCAGGGAAGGTGAAAGTAAGTGGCTAACAGTATCTGTTCCCAGCTTCCAGAAAGCCACCAGGATAATTCAAGGCAACAAAGAGTAAAAACAGTAGTGAGAGCCAAGGCCAGTAACCTGTTCTAATCAGGTGCTGTGTAAGTGGGCCTGGTATTCCGTTCAACAAAGCACACGTAGCACACGGGAAGTCATCACTTCCATATGGGAAGTCACTGTCTTGTAATACTTTGGGAGTTTCAATCTTTTATACGCAATTATAGTAGTAATGCAAATTAAAAGGGCAAGCTCTAGTTTTCAGACACGGAAGGTAGAAATGGATGTTAATACAGGAATCCCCTAGAAGTGCATGTCTTATTTTGCAATCAATTCAAGACAGAACAGCTCACAGAAACCATGATCACGGTTGTTATGCTTAGAAACAAAGTACTGCTGGTTTCGGGGAGCAACCAAACCAACTGATGCCACTTGGTACCGAGTCAGGGAGCCCGTGACATGGGATCAGACTGAGGGTCTGGAAGAGGAAGACTCTCAGGTAGGTGGTCCTTAGCACATTTAACTTACACAATCCAATGTGCAACATGAAGAAGTGGGCTGGGAGCAGCCTTCAGCTAATGTATTCAATTCAGTCCAAAGTGGAAGTGGCTATCATTAACAATGGTTATGTGCTCGTTCACCATACACAGGGCATTTACCAGGGACAGAGGTCAGGCCCCCACAAGGTGAAACTGACCTTTCCAGACCTGAGGAATCATCTCTAGCCGACAGGCCACATCCAAGGCTTGAAGAAGATCTAACAGCGTTTTGGAATGGGGAAAGAAGACCTAATTGAGAAAAATTCAAGTACATTTTTAACAGCACTAATAAAGACACAGACTTGTCCGCGATGGTAAATTAAGCCATGAACCATCTTACTGAAGGTATCAGGTCCTTATACCACTGCAAGGTGACATCGATGTGTTCCATCAGACAAAGCAAACTGAAGAACCTGCCACTGAGAGAAAAGGCGAGTTAGAAAACCCCCGCCCAAGCAACACTCAAACTCACTGCCTCCATGGGCACACTCCCACAGAGGCGCGGACGCCGTCAACCTCGATGGGAGCAGGAAGCCTCAGCTGTCTCCATGGAAACAGCTGGTGGCTTGAACTGCTGACCTTGTGGTTAGCAGCTCAACCAGTAACCCACCACAGGCCACCAGGGCTCCTCACACCTAACACCAGGCGGTAATACGGCACAGTTTCAGGCTGACACCTTATATAATCCCCATGCTGCTAATTACGTGTACTCATTTGAGAACATTCCATGTGAGGCAAGGATCTGAGCACAGATGGCAGCAATCACCACACCAATTAACAGGGTCCCACCTGTCATTCATGCGCTCATCTGCCCAAGCAAATCCATTTACAGAGCCAGTCTGGGTTCTTTAAAAACAAAAGCAAGGTGCTGGGGAAGATATCAGAACAAGCCAGACAGCCCCTTCTGTGACCCATCCACTCTGTTCCAAAATTCAAAAAACACAAAACCTGCAAAGTAGAGGTAAGGCAAAAAGATTACATGGGCTTGAAAGATAAAGCGCTCAATGAACTGTTTCCACTTAACCCGGCGCCCTGGTGGCACTTTGGGTTGGGGTTCAGCACAGGGCTGCAAGCCGCAAGGTCAGGAGCTCAGCCTAGCAGCTGCTCCCCGGGCGAAAGATGGCGCTCTCTGCTGCCACCACGATTTAGCCTCAAAACCCTAGAGAAGCCGATACACCCAGACCCACTGAGAAGCGACGGCAGTGGGTTTCATTAAATCAGGGGCCTGGTCCTTACAATAAGTGCAGGTACGCTAAGGAAGGCCCCCAACATCTTCTCGCTGGCCATTCTACTCATGGTCACTTAGACTTCTTGCCCAAAGACACATTTCTAGCACACTTACTAATAGAAATTACGCCGATAATCAGGTCCAATGAACTTCCGATTGTCGCCAGTGTTCAAAAGGCCATGTATTTTATAAGCAAGTTCTAGGTCTTTGAGAGAAAAGGCCTGAAAAGTACCAATATTTATTATTGACTTATGAAAGCAATAGTCTTTTCTCACCATGCACTAGTGTGTTGTCATCAAAGTCCCTCCCCCACAGGGTACATATAGGGAGAGATGTGCTCACATACAAAGGGAAAAAAATCAGGAGTGATACACATTTCACTACAAAGCAATTATCTTTAGGTAACAGGGTATAACATTCATTCTGAAACCACTTGAAAATATATGATAACTGTCAAGTAAAAAGTCATGAACAGGAATGAATGAAATGCTCTGTAGCCGTATCTGGAACAGAAATACAGAAAAGGGGAATTTAAACAATAAACACAGGGTAAAGACACTATGAGAGGAATAGCAGTAGATGTCAGAGAAAAAGAAAAAAACCCCGGCAGCTAGACTTGCATGGTGAGTGCCGGGAGGTGAAAGGAGCCGCGCGGGAAGGCAGACTGAGTCAAGACACGGTCCGAGGACAGACCGGGGACGATGAGGGCCCCAGGGGAAGGACTCAACCAGAAATGGTACTCACAACTTGCATGGCGGACTGAAAAAACATATCTGAAAACCAAAGTGCATAAGAGCCATGGTTAGGATGGGCAAAAAGAGTTTTTCCAGGAAGTAACAGTAATAAATCCTGGCAATATAACTGACAATACACAAGATAAAGCTAAAGGAATAAAACAAAGAGGGAAGAGGCACAGCAAATGGCCAGACACTCTGGCTTTCGCCGAATAACCACTCAAAATACTACAAAACCCTGTGCTCATCAAATAACATACAAAGCCTCAATTAACCAGCACTCCAAAAGCCCACAGGGTTTAGATGAGCAAAATGACATACCATCATCCAGGTCCCTTGTGTCAAATTTCTTCCCCACTAATTCATCCATTATATCATAGATGATAGGGGATGATACTTTTGAAGCGCTGTCTGCAAAGGATACAAACGGGTCAAGCAAGTCCATCTCCTCCACCACTGCCACGCCTGCCCCCAGTGCAGAGGCACACTCTCCTCCCTCCCTCTCCAGCCCGGAGCTCATCTGGGGAGACCACAGGTCTTTGTCCTTCGGCTCCACCAGAGGCTCTTCAGCTTGACTTTCACCCCCTCTGAACTGACCCACCCATTCAAATAGCCATGTCCCTTACAATACAACTTGGATAAGAAACCAAGTGGGGAAATAGGGCTAAAACCTGTAGGCAGTCCTTTCAGTCTTACGACTGAGTACTAATGTATCAAAAAACCCACCTCCAATATTCCTAGTCAAACAAATCAATTCACGTATCCACAATGTCTGCATCCAAATGGTTATGAGGAGGACTCGGGCTCATGGGTAAATTCTATTTTACCTTCCAATCCTACCTTTCGGAAAGTGTTTTGAAGCCTCTGTGTATAGTTCTAATGTAAATTTGTAACAACTGGTCAGGTAAACTCAAGGGAGCTGTTTAATTTTCTATATAAGCAACGTAACGTAAGATAATACTTACCAGACTGATAAAATACTTGAATAATGTAGTGATATGTTGCAAGCGAGGGTTCTTGAATTACCAGGTGGAGAAAAAAAAAAAGAAATAAGTCAAAACAAATTTGTCCAAAATATATCTTATCATTGTACGCTGAACTAAAAACGTATCGTTGTTATTTAATCAAGACTCATTTCTGGTCAGGTGAAAATAGTTGTATAGATCCCATCATGTTTGCAAGTCTTAATGCTACTATAAAAACGAAACAGCTCATGTTCTTACCCTGATTCTTCAGTTAAGAATGATGCACAATGACACAACACACAAGCACACATCTGGGTTACATGTTTCCTTTTGCTAGACTATGTCACAGAATTTGAGGCCAGTCTATTCTAAGTGCAGAATTCTGTACACAATTAAGAAATAAAAGAGCACTAAGGTATACAACCACGGAGGTAGTACGGTGCTACCCCCAACAACTGAGAATGGAGATTCCTTACAGGCCAGCAATCCTTCTGCTGACTACTATTCCCTGAAGAAGTAAGAACAAGCCAGAAAAGCTTCAGGGATTTTTCTAAAAGTAAACGCTGGACAATGACTACACATATGTGCTCTCATGTTGATGGCAGTGCGGTGCACAACAGCAAAAAGGTGGCAACAGCCGAAACGCCCATCAAAAGAAATGGCTAAAGGAACAGAGATACACACACTGGAACACTGGACCACAACTCCGAAGCACCTCCCGGCTGAAAGGGACTGAAGGACATTCTGCTGAGGGGAGTCCGTCCCCAAAGGGCAGATACAGACACCGCTTAGGATAAAAACCAAGACACAGACTTGTCCACCAAAGGGGACAGACTTTGGAGGTGCCTGAGGGAGGTTGAAGAGGATGGGAAGAGAAGCAACCGCCTAAAACAGTAGTTCTCAACCTCAACCTCATGCCGCAACCCTTTCAGACAGTTCCTCACGTTGTGATGTCCCCAACCATAAAATTATTTTCGTTGCTACTTCATAACTGTAATTTTGCTACTGTTATGAGTCATAGTGTAAATATCTGATATGCATAATGTTTTCATTGTTACAAACTGAACATAATTAAGCATACTGATTAATCACAAAAACAATATGTAATTATATATTGTGGAATATTTATTTCTAATGACAAATACTAAGTGAAATTTTGTCTTGAAGCATGGTGTAGCACGGATAACAGTCTACATTTCAGGGGCTCATACGTGGGTGTTATCTGCATGTGGGTGGACCCCTGGAGACGGATAGAGGAGAGGTGTCTCGGTTCCTACGACCACTGAAAATATGTGTTTTCTGATGGTCTTAGGTGATCCCTGAGAAAGGGGCGCTTGACCTCCAAAAGGTTGAGCACGGCTGGCCTAGAAGGTTGCCAGATATTGACCTGGGTGACTGGGGGAGAAGGGAGGCCTGTCAAGAGAAGTGGCTGCGTTCAGAGGAGGCAGAGTGTGTGTTGATGAGTGGTTTAATGGATGAGTGCAGAAGCCCTGGTCGGGAAAGTAACCCTGCCCACCCACACACCTGATTCACAATAAAAAACTCATTAAAAACGGTTTAACAAGGGAGCAGTTCTCAACATGTGGGTCAGACCCCCTGGGGGTGTCGATCAACCCTTTCACGGGTCGCCCGATTCATAACATTAGTAAAGTTATAGTACAGAAGTGGCAACGAAACTAACGGTATGGTCGCGGGTCAGCACAATGTAAGAACGGTGTGAAAGGGCAGCGGCATGAGGAAGGCTGAGAACCACCGGTGTAAGGTACTAAAGGGGGCTGTAAGGTGAAGATGACCCCGTGGCTCTTCCAAGCCAGGAAGGCAGTCCCTAGCCCTTCACGGCAACCAGTAGGTGTTTCCACTATCGACCTGCACGCTCTGGACCCAGAACCTGCAGCCAGCAACCTGCCTGCACCCTTCCTTACCTATTCCAATGGCTCTCATCTCCCGGAAGGTCTGCAAAGCCGGCAGCTTCCCAAACGCCTGGAATCTTCGGAGACATCTCAGGATGGTATTAAAAGTCTGCAGATTTGGTTTCACGTTCTGTGCAACCATGTGTTTCAACAGTTCCTGTTTCATCAAAAGCAGGAAATAATTGTTTATGCCAGGATATTATGACAGTATTTCCTATTTGAGCGAAGGCAAAAAAGAGGAAGAATTTTTCATTCAGGCTACATCCATAGCAAGTTACCAAAACTCCTGATTTCAGAGTTATTTTATTAATCAGCAGGACCAGTGACATTGCTGGGGAAGCACTTCAGAAGTGCCCGCATGCGTCCAACGACATCTCATGGTCCAGCCCTCATCCAGTGAGTCCTCCCGGAAAGAAGGCTCAAGGCAAAGACGATGCTAGAATGGACTTTTAAGTTTGTGCTTTTTAAAATAACTAGTACAATACAAGCACACGTTTTACTCCACGTTACCAAACAGCAATTCCATGATTTTAATGTTTAGAACTTATGAGATAACTTTACAACAAATTTGCTACATCGGTTTTAAAATACATTTTCTATAATTTGCAAAAAAGCACATATTCATACACCTATGAATAAAACCCAGATCTTCATGAATTCTACTTGTCTGCTCTGAGGGAATTAAGTTTATTCTTCCCACGAGCCATGCACAGCCACTTACCCTACACTCAGTGAAGAGCTACCAGTGCACCCGAGGCCTATTCGAAGACAAAACAAGGGCGCCTCCTTACCTGCACCTTTTTCCACCTGTCCTCAAATCTCTCATTCATGGCCGACACCGTTGCTTCAATCAAAGCATTGAAGGTGTGTACATCAGCTGTAAAGGAAGGAGACGACCTTAGTCCAATGTGGAGTTGAGGTGGCAGCCACCTTCTCCAATCCTGTCTCACATATCAGAGCCAAGACAAAGCAGGCCCTGAGGAAGAGCCAGACCGCTCACACACCTTCTTGAAGGCACACTCACCGCTAAGTCTGCTGTTCAATAATTCGGAGTACAAGCTTAATGCCTGCTCATTAGCTCGGTGCTAGAAGGAGAAAAATTAAAAGGGCAAAATTAATTCAAGAAATCACATGCACGATGACTGCTATAGTTTGGGAACAGAGCAGCAAACAAAGCAGACATGCTTCTTATTTTGCCTTCCTGGGGAGCCCTGGTGGCATAGTGGTTATGGGTTGGGCTGCTAACCACAAGGCCAGCTGTTCGAAACCACCAACTGCTCTGAGAGAGAAAGAGGCGGTGTTGGCTCTCTCCTGTGCCCACAGGATTGCCGAGTCAGAATGGAACCCATGGCCAAGGAGCCATGAAATGTGTTATATGTATGGGTCAGTCCCCCAGCAGTTTTGAGGTTGAGAAATCCTGCCGTAGCAGAAGTACAAACAGAAAAGACTAACCTTCACCATGCCCCGGATCATTGTGCAGTAGGAATGTGCGTTTTTCTCTGGCATTAGAGCAAATATCCTCTCAGCATTGTTGTTTTCTCTAGACACAGACAGTCAATGTGAGCCAGGGACACAGGCTGCGCCAATACCACTACCACCGATTGTTTGCACTGTGCCACAGTGTGCCCTGCACATACACTCTCAGCACCCCGAGGAAGATACGGCCATCCTAACTCTGAAAGTGAGGAAAACCACGCCCAGGAGAACTTCAGCTTTAAGTTGCCCAGTTATGCCGTCAAAAGGCAGAACCAGGATGTTATCAAGTCTCCCCACCCGCTGCCACCCCGCACATACACTTTCCCACAAGTATCCACTAATGGTTTCTTTGTATACATGTATACATGGACTCTACGCACATATGCCACATTACAAAAACACGTGTTGCAGGTATTTATTTAGAAATGCCCAAATGGAGGCAAATACAAATTTTAAATTAAAAACAAACTACATTTCATATTATTGAATGCATTTTTGTGTGGGACGATGATGGGCGGTTGCTCGTGCACTGTTAAGAAACAATACCAAAAACCCAAACCTACTGCCATGGATGTGACTCAGATTCCGAGTCACCCTATTCAGGGTATCCAAGACTGCCAATCTTTCCTAAGCAGACAGCCTCATCTTACTCCCTCAGAGTGGCTGGTGGATTTGAACTACCAACCTCGTGGTTATGAGCCGAACATATATAAGCTGACAGCACAACTAGAGCACCTTAGATAGTAATATGAACTTCAAATGAATTAAGGAACCCTGCGGGTGTAACGGTTAATAACTCAGCTACTAACAAAAAGGTTGGCAGTTCAAACCCACCAGCACTTTGGGGGCAAAAAGACCAGCCAACCTCTTTCGTAGGAGAGTTCAGCCTAGGAAACTCATGGGGACAGTTACATTCTATCCTATAGGATCCCTATGGTCAGAATCAACTTGTTATCAATTACGACAACATACTTCCAAGCTAATCCGAGCTGATGACCAATCTTCTTCCTAGACTTCTCGCTGTTTTCCTCTGTGGCCTCTTCCTGAAATGAATCATTAGCAGGTACTAAATCAAAGTTAGGACCACAATGGAATGCACTACAAAAAGAACCTCACGGAAGTATAAACAGACCCATCAGAAGGAAAAGCGTAGACCAGTACACGTGCACACCTCTATGTAACAATGCCGCATGGTCGATCAGAGAATTTACAGATGAAAAGCAAAGCTGGCCCCATCAGGCCTTGCCCAAGGAGAGAAAGAAACTGGAAGGCCACGCAACAGTCTGTCTCTTGAGGAAGCACATACATTGAACGCTATCTGGCTGAATCCACACAAAAATACTCTTCATCATGAGGGGCAAGAGAAGACACCCTGACACCCGATCTACAGAGACAGGATGTCTGGTCCAGTCCCAACACTTGTAAGCACTGACCAGCAATGCAGCCAGTGTTTTCTTTTTATTAATAAACTGCCCCACATTTACAGATCAAGATCTGGGTCAGGCTGACACACAGCCAGCCAGACCTGGCTTGCATAGCTCAAGCTGCCTCAGGAGCCTGTGGCCTCAGGAGGGTGGTTGCTGGGGGGCTGGCAAGGAAGGCCCCAGGTTGGTTAGTGGAGAAGAGCTGGGATGGCCTTCTGCTCACCCAGATTCATTTTCACACATGTAAAACGATACTTATAAAATCAAGCGAATATACACAGGGGTTTCAAAATATTTGTGGAAAACCTGTATTATCTTTAGATTTTATTTTTCTACCACTTTTGTAAGCTCGTTATTACAGGTTATATATGCTGCTTCTCCACTTCATTGTCTAAGAAGTCCTGGTGGCCAGTAGCTAAGAGCTCCAGGGCTAACAGCAAGTTCGATGGTTCAAACCCACCAGATCATCTGATTTTGGAAACATTACAGCCTTGGAAAGGCTAATGGTAGGGAGGAGGTTCAACTGCCTGTCACTGAGTCAGAGTTGGTGACAGGTGGGCTTCTATTAACATCTCAGTTTCCCATACCCAAACAGACCTACACTAGTGCTCTCAACCACTCTCCAATAACCAGCATTCAGACAACCTACTCCTTTCTTTTAGTGGGGGCTGTGGGGTGAGAAACAGAACTTGACACTGACAATATTTGTGCATCTGATCCAAATGTTTTTGGGGGCAGCTATTTCTAAGAGTAAAACTCAGCGTTGAGATGGGTGCCATTCACCGCAGGCCAGCCCTTCCGGGCACGTTGTGCCTGGTACACCCAGTCTAGCATGGCCATTCCTCTGGCCTGTGTGTGCACGGGCTTTCAGGAGGGCCAGGGACCAGGAATCTTTTGGCTGTTTGCTTCGTACTGTCATTGAAGTGACACCAGCCCACGCATCTGTAAAAGGGACGTCGGGCTACATTAATCGTTTCTCTCCCGTGTGCACACCACCGAGTGTCAGGCTGCTGCATTCCGTCTCAGCACAAGGCTCTGACCTTTATTTGGATACGTGACCAGAGCCTACGTTAATCCGAGAGAGGTTCTAGGGGCAACTGAAACCAATGCCAGGTCTACCCTTATGAACTATAGAAGGCGACTGATTACCAATTCTTCTGGCTTCTCAGTTTGCTGAAAATGATAATCAGCCGGGGGCTCTTGGTCACCATAGTAACAGAGCAGATCCAAGAGCTTATTAGTCGTTTCCAGAGAGATAACAGTTCCTGTGTGGGGAGAAGAAAGAAACCTTGAAAACACAAGAACTACCAAAAGCCAGTATGCTGAAATCTGTCACTTACTCCACTCGCTGGCTAGACTTAATATCACCCATCACTTTACCAATTTAGTGTCAGCAGGAGAGGTGCAGACAGGGACATTTTCCCCATTTCTCATGTAGCTTAACATGAACAACTATAGACCACGATGAAGTCTGATATGCAGCTCTTTATCTGATGGGCTCAAATCCTGAGAGAGAGAAGCCCTGAGTGTCAAGGGCTCACCTTTCATATCCACCAGAGCCCAGCCATCCATACCCACCATGCCCACCCCTCGACAAATGTAAGCAGCGCTCGACTGGGACCCAGGTCTGCACTGAGAGGCTTGCCCAGAATTGGATGCTAATCAAAGAACAAAAAATCCTATCACTGTGCTCACCTCCATGATACGATCGCTGAAGACAAAGCGGGTGCATAAACAAATGTGGTGAAGAAAGCTGATGGTGCCCGGCTATCAAAAGACATAGTGTCTGGGGTCTTAATGGCTTGAAGATAAACAAGTGGCCATCTAGTTCAGAAGCAACAAAGCCCACATGGAAGAAGCACACCAGCCTGTGTGATCACGAGGTGTCGAAGGGATCAGGTATCAGGCATCATCAGAACAAAAAAAACATATCATTGTGAATGATGGGGGGTGCAGGACCCAAAGTCCGTCTGTAGGCAATTGGACATCCCCTTACAGAAGGGCAGCGAGGAGGAGATGAGCCAGTCAGGGTGCGATGTAGCAACGATGAAACATACAACTTCCCTCTAGTTCCTAAATGCTTCCTCCCTTCCCCCACTATCATGATCCGAATTCTACTTTGCAAGTCTGGCTAGACCAGAGGATGTACACTGGTACAGATAGGAACTGGAAACACAGGGAATCCAGGACAGATGATCCCTTCAGGACCAGTGGTGTGAATGGCGATACTAGGAGCGTAGAGGGAGAATGGGTTGGAAAGAGGAAACCGATTACAGTACAAGGATGTATATGTGACCTCCTCCCTGGGGGACGGACAACAGAAAAGTGGGTGAAGGGAGACGTCGGACAGGGAAAGATATAACAGAATAATAATTTATAAATTATCAAGGGGTCATGTCATGAGGGAGAGGGAAGCAGGGAGGGAGGGGAAAAAATGAGGAGCTGAGGCCAGGGGTTTGGGTAAAGAGCAAATGTTTTGAGAATGGTGAGGGCAATGAATGTACAAACGTGCTTTACACAATTGATGTATGTATAGAATGTGATAGCAGTTGTATGAGCCCCTAATAAGATGATTAAAAAAAACCCAGATGCTAAAAGCACTATGTTCTCATTTTGACACTCAATTACAAAAAGGGCACAGGAAAGAGGCAAAATTTACTATTTTACATCACACCTTTCTAAATAAATACGCTGACAATAAAATTGCTCAAGGAATGAAAAAGCCCAGAAGACAGCGCCTGGCCTAGTGGAGAGGGCACAGGCTGTGGACTCTCATTCCCCTGGGGAGGCAGCCAACCCTGTCGTTTCGGTGCTGTGTAATCCCGGGAATATTACTGCAGCACCAGTTCCTTTGGAAAGTGACTGTAAAACCCGCAGCTCCTCTAAGTTTCTGTCAGAATGGTGTTCTGTGCTATGGACAGCATAGGCTCTGCTCTGCCTTAGATCATGCTGGTGCTCCCACATTCCACAGGGGCTCTCCTGATAGCGTTTCAGCCGTGCAAGCTGGACCGACAGCCCTGGGGTCATCCAGACCACACTCACCACCAAGATTTTCAAGACCCTCTGAGCAACTCAGCGACCTTTCTCAGGCCGTAAAGCTAGTTAGTGTCCGAGCGAACACCACTATCCAGGCCCCAGATCTGAAGGCTCGGTGCTCTCTGTTCTACGTGACTGCCAACTGCAACTTGGGCCTTGCCACCCCCCCCCCCCCCCCCCCCCCCCCCCCCCCCCCCCCCCCCCCCCCCCCCCCCCCCCCCGCCCCCTCAAACCCACTGCTGTCAAGCCAGTTCTGACTCAGAAACCCTCTAGGGCACATTAGAAGTGCTCCCTAAGGTTTCTGAGACTGAAGGAGACAGCCTTCTCTTTCTTCCACAAAGCACCGGTGTATCCAAACTGCTGACCTTGCTGTTAGCAGCCTCATGCGTAACCCACTATGCCACCAAGGTATAGGTCGATTTAATTCAGTACCCAGTACCCAGCTGACATTCACAAATGACTGGAAACTAAGAAAGATGGTACTTTCTCTACCTGTGGTCGAGCACATGAGGGTAAGTTACCCAAGTTGCAACTCTTATGTTGTTTAAGATGAAGCCAAGCAGAAAGTGATTACCTATTACACTATCAGATACATAAACTGCACAACCAACTAGCAGCGCAAATACAACAGTGCTTGAAATGTTAGCCCCAGGCACTCTGACCCATCTTCAAAGACTACCTTCTTAGAATGACTTTAATGAAATGTTGCTACCTGCTTGCAATAGCTGATCAAACATGTCCACGGAAGCTTTGACTTTTTTGAGCTTAATTCTTTCTTCCAGGGCAGCTTCACTTACACCTTCAATCTGAGGTTCAAAGTACTCCGGCATTAAACACTAGAAAAACAAAATAACCAGTCACCACATGTAGGCTGAAGTAAAAGGACAACTGAATAGGGTACGTACTGTGTTTCCTACACACCAAACAGAACTACTGCACTCATCCAACTCATGTTTCATCCACAGTACCGTCTCTTGTATTAAGTATCTAATGAAGCCCCTCCCCCAACTCCAAAACAAGATTGTGTCTGGCTGCCTCCCAGCTTTCTAGATGCTGAACTTAGGTCTGCTTAGGTCAAGGGCCCACTAGAGGTCAGGATCCCATAGGAGTTGTTCTAGCAAAAGGGAACCTTGAGCTACGGTTACAACTGTCTCCCCTGGGGTTCAATGTGCACCACATGACGGTCCTGGCTTCCTCACGGGCTGCGAGGAGTCAATGAATGAGAAGGAGGGCTGTTTGGGTTTTAAGCAGCAGGGAGCTTTGAGCAGAATGGACTAGTTTTGGACACAGTACACCGGTACACCTGAGGTACTGATTTCTACTGATAAGCACAAGGGACGGGGACACTTGTCATGTCCAATGAGCACAAATGACACTCAGCAGGCACTGTACAGAACAAAGTAGTACCGCACATACTAGACTATCAGTCGACCCGAATATAAGTCACAAACAACCTACGAAAGCTTATGACTCGAGTATAAGCCTAGGGTAGGAAATGCAGCAGCTACTGGTAAATTTCAAAATAAAAATAGATACCAATAAAATTACATTAATTGAGGCATCAGGTTAAATATTTTTGAATATTTACTTTTAAAAAACAACAACGGTAAACCAGCTCTTAAGTGGAAAAGAGGTTCAACAAACACAATATGGTAACAATAACTATACACGCTGTGTTACTTCATGTGCTGCGTTACTACATATGCTGCCTTACCGCATGTACACAACACAGCTTGTAGTTTGAGGTCTAACGCAGGCTGATGATATTCCAGAATGTGATGACATGACTGTTTGCATACAGCAGCCTGTGTTAGGGCTCATCATATACATGCTGCGTTGTGTATGCACTGTGTTACCGAATGTAAGGGAAGTTCTAATGCAACACATGCAGTAACACAGTGTGTACACAACACAGTGTGTATATGATGAGCCCAGCACAGGCTGCTCTATGCAAGCATAGAGGTTAACAAGATAGGGGTTAGTCCAGATAGGGGTTAATAAGAAAATAAAAAATAAAACATAGCAGACTAAGTACTGTATATAAACGTACTGTATATCCAAGACCAGAGATACACCGGTACTTGTATTCAGCAATGCTTGGGTGGAGCAAGGCGGCGTGACCAAGTACAGGTAAGACGGTAAAGGCTACGTCCTTGGTCACAGCCCTGGAGAAGAGTGGCTACATCCGACATTCATTTGACAAGGATGCCGTGCGCCCCAGGTACCAGCACACAGAAGCAGGCAGGTTCTTGCCCAGTACGGCACGGACAGCACAGAGGCTGCCGGCGTGCAGGAGAAAAGAGGAGCGGTGATATCAGCAGTCATCGGACCACCCACAGAGGCTGCAGGTGCCCGCAGATGAGCGGGAGAGACCGGAGAACACCCGCACTGCACGGTGAACAGGTAAGTGGGACCCTCACTTGAGAATAAGCCAAGGGGGGGGGGGTGGTGTTTCCCAGCATAAAAATGTGCTGAAAAACTCGGCTGTACACAAGTACATACAGTAGTTGGAAATACATTTTGGAGTGCAAAGTAGGATTTAAGTGCCAAATGGGCTATAAGCCTGCTATTGCAGGCAGAGAAAGAAAGACTGAGCAGGAAACCCAACAAATTGCTTAAGGAGTCCTTAGTGAAACTGTACAAATAAAGATCTGAGAAACTGGTGTCAAGGATGCCAAGTCACAGAAAACAAAGTTACGAGGAGCAAATATATTTAAGGAAGAGTCAAAAAAGTTAGTATCATGAACAGGTAACACTACTTGTTAAAGGGTCTTTCCCTCAAGAAATGAGGGCATTTAAATAATTACTCAAGTGTTAGCCAGGAGAGCATAATTTATACCTATATAATTATACATAGTATTATCTGAAACTTGCAATTATCTCTCCTTACCGGTATATGAGGTTCAGCGATGTCCTTCAGAAAATATTTGGGATATGAACTAATTATAAACTTAGCTGCATTCGCTCCAGACTTCTTTGCCAATAAAAATAAGCGCTACATAAGAAAAAAAGATTAAAATATCAACTGGTTACTTATAGAGCAAATTTGAACCCTAAGCAAGAATATTCTGACCACACACAACACTGGATCCCAATTAGAAACCATGTTGTATTACACCCCTCTTCCACCAGGGGCGAGGGAACAAGCCCAGCTCACAGTAGGCAATCTGAAGGGGGACAACTCAAACTCAAACTCTAACTCTAACTCACTGCCATCAAATCAATTCCCACTCATAGTGACCCTGTAGGAGAGGGCAGTCCTGGCCCCTCTGCCCCTGTGGGTTTCTGAGGCAGTAACTCTTTATGGGAGCAGAAAGCTAGTGCAGCTTAACTGAGAGGGCCACTCAAGTGGGGAAGATTCCTAAATACTCAAAACTAAAACAGTCAGTTTTGGGAGAGGTTGGGGGAATCAGTAAAAGATTCAGAAAGCCTACCAATTGTACCAAGAGCCGCAATTTTTAATAGGTTTTTACAATGAAGTTAAATGATATATGCATCTTGCACCCAAACCAGCAGGATAAAGCCCAGCACCAGAAAAGTTACATGGGAACACTCACAGACTCCACAGTGGAGGTTGGAGTGAGGTATGGGTCGTCTTGAAATGCAGAGGGAACAGCTGTGGGGTCCTGTGGAGAAGGCAGAGTCTCTTTAGCTAAATAGTTATGAAGAAGAGCTTGTGAGTTTTGGTGATCAAAAATTCTACAAATCACGCTTTAATTACACATGTAAGATTCTATATAATTCTTATAAAGGGGAAAGCCCCGCGATCTGTCAATGTCACCGTCCCACAAACAGTTTGAAACCCCTGGTTTATGTCAGCATGTGAATACTCACATACACAGAGAAGGCATACACACGGATACGTACACCTTAGTCCTCTCAGCTCTCCAAGAAATGGCTATAATCACCCCAAACCAACAAAGGGTCGCCACCTATGACTGCTTCTAAGAAGGGAGACTAGCTAACACCAGGAACTGTTTTTAAACTGCAGGTGAGGAATACCTAGACGAGTGGTTTTCAGCTTGTGGGTCGCCACCCCTTTGGGAGTCGAACAACCCTTTCACAGGGGTCGCCTGATTCATGGCAGTAGCAAAATTAATTATGAAGTAACAACAGAAATAATGGTATGGTTGGGGGGGGGGGGGCACAACACCAGGAACTGTATTAAAGGGTCGGTTGAGAACCACTGCACTAGAACATGGTTTCCTTCAAAACGGGACCACTAGCTACACGTCAACTTCATCCGAGCAACTCCCCACCAGACAGACAGACAAGGGTACTACTCCCAGACCCCTGCCAGAGGCAGAGCAGCAGCAACTTCACCATGTCCTGCTGTCCACGGTTCCGTTAAAACATTTCTAGTGCCAGAGCGCTGAATAAAACCAACTCCAGCACCACGAAAGGCCCTATTTGGAACTGCCCCAAACCACTCCCTGTACCCTCTTTCCTGGGCTTTCTGGAATGCCTGTTCCCTTCTGTACCACGGCCAGTTGGCCTATTGGCCTGGCCTTTCCCGAGGGCAGTGACCTACAGCTCTCAAGAGAAGGCTGCTCACGCCTGGAGTTGGTATTCTGCTTGTCCTACTTTCCTGCTGCCACTCTCTAGCTCTGGCTCTTCCCACTTCCATACGAGGCTCATTTCCTCTTTGGCTGAGTGCTTGGACGTGAACCAGAAGGTTGGTAATTTGAATCTACCTTGCACCTCTGGGACAGACCTGGAGCGTGGGAAAGGTGAGAGGCAAGAAAATACTATGCGACGATCTTCCACCGTGGTCACTGAGTTAGAATCCACTTTACAGCACACAGTGACAACACACTGCTCTTTGCGGAGATGCAGAGTCTAGGCACAGACAGCAGCTCTGGACTACACTCTGAAAACAAGCCACCTGCCTCCAGCTCCAATTCTATCACACCCACACACCTATTTGGTCTCCCAGTAACTCTAGTTTTGGTGACATGCTGGATTAACTTACTGGATTTATTCTTCCCACCTCAGCCTCAATGATTTTCACTATGGTCTGGGAAACAACTTCTCCAGCCCGGCCCTGCAGTGCAAACACCCCAAACCAACTTGCCTGACAAAGCGACTCCCCCCGCTATCTTCTCCATCTCAACCAAGTGGCACTGGCCACTCTAAGTTCAACTCAAAGGTCACCACTTCCATTCAACTATTTTGGGTGGGTTCTCACCATTCCCAGCACTGGGGAGTGGTTGAGTGTGCCTCACCTGGAAAGGGTGGTTTACACTGGACGCCGGCTTTCCTTGGGGAAGCATGGCGTGGTCTTACGTGCTAGGCAGGGAGTTCTGCATGACTAAGCCAGTTGCTGCAAGTTGATTCCACTTCTGGCAGCTCTATGCATGCCACAGCACGAAGCTCCCCGGGCTTCTCAGTGGCCTTTCTTCTGAGGGGCCACTGGGTAGGGTCCAACTACTCACGCCTTCGGTAGGCACTGAAGTGCAGAAAACCATTTGCACTTCCTCCGGGCACCCTCCTACATGCCTAGCACCCAGTGACAACCCCGCACGCACCAAGTCTCCAGCAAGTTTGCCCTGTAGACATTTCAGTCACGGCTCAGTGCTAGAATTAGCTGTGCCCTGTGTGACTTCACTGGGCGATGGGCGATGGGCGAAGACCCGGGGAGGTTTTGCTTGGTTGCTCACTTCCCCCATGCACTTTTCCCTCTGCTACTGTTGCTTTCATGAATCTCAGCCACCACATGCTGAGTCCTCTGAGTTCTCCTAACTCTGCGACCCGGGAGGTCTTGGGGACGTGAGCACAGGCGTCTGCAGTAACAAGCAAAGGGTTTGCTAAAGGGAAGCATGAGGAAAAGACCAGCCAAACCACACCCCAGATTTAGGCCTGAGTAACTAGGAGGGAGTTGCGTTAATGTGACAGCAAAGGATGTAGGTCTGCAAGGGAAATGGGAAAATACGTTTACCTGACATATTTAAGTGAAAATAATTCCCACTCTCTTTTCTAAAAGCTGTGTCGGATAAATGCTTTTCTAAAAGCTTGTTAGATCAATGTTTAACCGCTTCGGGCTCCCCGTTATTTCCCAATGCCTAAATGCAGTATGAGAAGGTGTCTGTAATTTTGTGGAAAGATAGTGAATTTTTCTGTTAACTTTTTGCAGCTCCCACTTATGCTTACAATCCTTCAGAAGTCTGGACAAAACCAGAACTCTGTGTGGGATTCATGATCTTCCCTCCTCTTTCGCTTCCCACCTCTCCAAGCCTCAATTCCCACGGCGCCAAGCCAAGACTCACCCATGTGCCTGTGAGGAATGCGGTTTCCCGTGTCCCCTCCTGCTCCTCTGGTCAATCCGGTGGTAACTATTCTGGAATGTCCTTTCCCAATCTAGGTTAGCCATCCTTCTCAGTGTCTCCACAGCAGCTCAGGCTTGTTGCCATCGCCCTGCTACCAAGATCCTCAGTTTCCCTCTAGCCTCCCTCTCGAGGCTCTACCCAGGAACTGCATGTCTAATTTGACAATGCAGCACGACTTCTTGGTACACAACGCCCACACGAGGCCATCCTCATGAACACCGTGAGAACTACCTAGAGGCCCACTTCTCTAGTTCATACGTCAGGTCCTGAGTCGGGGTTCTCCCAAGAAGCAAAACCAGTGGAGCTCATTAAGCATGTACACACAGAGAGGCTTTCACACACATGCCTATTTACGGAGCGAACGTTCAAAATCGCAAAGCCTTGCAAGTCGGCAGATACAAACCCAAAATCAAACCCGCTGCCACCGAGTCAGTTCCGACTCATAGCAACGCTGCTCTTTAGAGTTCCCAAGACTGCACATCTTCTCGGGAACAGGAAGCCTCATTTTTCCCATGAGGGGAGAGATGCAGTCTCTTAAAACCCTTGCTCAGAAACTGCTCGGGTGTGTTGGTGCACCTTCTATCCAACATCCCATGCGCTTCTCACCTATTTGTGACAATGGCCTCAAGGAAGGTCAAAAACCATAGGTATGTGGCAGGAGAAAAGACTTGATTGCTTTGGACAATTTCCCCATAGCTGAAATTAAAAGTAGTTTCAAGTTAATGAAAAATATAACTAAAAAGTTACTGCGTTTTAGTTTCGCTACCAGACTCCAAACTTTAGTCATGAATAGCCAACAAAGCAGATGACTGAAAAATACAATCAATGAGAGGAGTAGAAATCATAAAAGAGCCAGCCTTTTCGGGCCTTTCCTTTGTGCCAGGGCCTGTCCTAAACCCTCTGACACACACGGACTCCTTTAGCGCTCACCCTCGCCCTGAGTTTGGTGCTATGAGGAGCCCTCCATCTGCAGCTTCGGAGACAGAATCGAGAGAGAAAGTTATTTGCCAAGATGACAGGCAAGCACTTAGTGATGAAACACAAAGCCTATTGCTCTGGGTCCCCCTTTCTGACTCTAAGCATTGTTTCTAGCAAGGCAGGTACTCTCTCTCCACAGTATCCTATGGATTTTTAGCCAGCACAACCCAACCCCCTGCCCCTCCACCCCAACACGCCCCTCAACCACCTCTACAGCTGATAACGTTTAAAGATAACTGGGACTAACCACAGTGAATTTGAGCAGAAAGTGACAAAAAGGCAGGGGCTCTTAAGCTAAAGCCAAAACTGTTTAAGAACTTGGTTTCCTCATTTACGTATCAAAGAACAGATTAGACCATTTCTGAGAAACTCTTTGGAGCCAGGACAGTTGAATTGTGATTTAATGAAGCAGTCCAACGTTAAGTGATTGTCTGTGTTAGATACAAACCCCTAAAGTGCCGACTTACCCTGTGTACTGTGGAGGCTAGGGCCTGGAGAACTGCCACCTTATCCCTAAGAATGAGAAGCACACATTAACCGCATGGTCCTTCACACGCTCCAAGTGACCCAGAGACTCTACTCTGAGAGACTGGCCACTTAAAAATACACGTCTCACAGCGAGGGCGAACTTCATCTCCCAAGATCAATGAGGACACTGTCTAGGTCTTGGGCCTACAAATAGTTTGAAATTGTTCCAAATATACATTTTACTGCTCCCCGTGGCTCCTGATGGTTGTTTTTTTTCACTCGAATGTCAGGTTTAATGTTTCATTTCCAAAAGAGAACTGTAGCAAATTTAACAAACCAAAGATAGTTTTTTACATAAAGCTTAACCTAACACAAAAATATGTCACCTGAAACAGGCAAATCTCCATGCAGGAAATGTTAATAACCTGTCAAAACTGAGGAATCACTAGATGTAGACATCCACGAGCCCGTTCATCCGTTGGGAAGTCACATTCATGTAATTCCAGCCAAGAGAGACTACGCTACGTACTCTCATTTCCCAGCATTCCGTAACTAAACTGGTTACACAACTATTGAACATTTGACCAGTAAAAACGAACGAGCAAGTGGTATCAGAGGACTGCAGCTCTTTTCTGGTTTAAGACACAATCCTGTGCTCCGCTGGCGGTCAAAGGCGTCTCGCACCAGGACGCCTCAGCTCGCCTCACCGAGGCGCTTCTAGATGGCTTCAGCTGCCAGCTTTTCTCCCAACATATAAGAAAGATTTTAATCTCAGTTTTCTCGGGCAGGCAAGTGTTTCCCTAGAATGGCTCACCATTCCCCAGGCACACTTAAAATTCTTATTCTTTCCAATTTCCCTCCAGTTGTTTCAGTTTATGGCACCATCAACAAATGCACATTGGTCCACTTTAATTTGCATTTCTTTTACAAGCCCAGTTTACTTATGGTTTGACCATATTTATGCACCCAGTCCTCCCTAAATTATGACACAATTTAGCTCAACCTGCTCCAGGCACTGCCAATACCATATGTTATTGATATGTGAAAACACGCTGTAATTTATTAGTCTTTGAGGAAACCTGTGTGACTGGGAAATCAGTCTTAAATATGCATTGTCTCTAAAATAAGGCAACAGGCCTCTATAGTCCCATGGCTTCCTCCAGGTCTACAAATACAGATTCCGGAGGCTAAAAATCAGCAGCTGACACACTTTTACAGTCTCTGCAAAGAAAATAAATATTCGAGGTTTGTAGGCCAGTGGGTCTTGGCAACTACTCAGCTCTGCCACTGCAGCACACAGCGACTCAGACAAACAAGAGGAGCTGAGTTCGAATCACATCCTAATTGATCCAGGAATCCAAATTCCTTATAATTCTCATGTCCAAATATTATTTTGATAAAAAAAACACTACATAAAACCCTAAAAACAGCCTTGCCTTAAAGACGTATATAAACAGACCTTAGTTTGTTGACCTAGACTGTGCACCATCTACCTTGATTTCCCCTATTCTAACACAACATTCTTCCCAGGCCTCCAACTCCCACCATCATGATCGTGACCTTAGTCTATGTAATTGTGGCTCTACACTTCACAGGTTCACAAGAATTACCTACAGGAATAGGCACGCTTAATAAAACCCTCAGGTGCATCCAATGCCAATAAAACAATCGTAGTATTTTAAAGGTATAACTAAATTCCAACAAAATGCACCTTTATTCATTCATTCACTCACTGCTGTCACGTCAGTGTCCATTCTAGGACAGGCAGAACTACTCCTGTGAGTTTTTGACACTTTTTTTTTAAGCTAATACATATATAACTCTTTACGGAAGTAGAAAGACTGGGCTGCAGAAAGACATGGAGTGGCTGGTAATTTTCAACTGCCAACCTTGCATTAGTGGCCCGATTCTTAATCACTACACTATCGGTGCCCCTTCACTTTCATTCGTGGATTACAACCCCTCCCACTTGTGCCTATCACACCCTGAGTTCCTACTAGTCAGTATGCTATTTTGTGTATGTGGGGCAGGAATGTAAGATTACGTATATCTGTGACCCACTTGCTAAATGATACAAGTTACCTGAGGCCATATGCTGCAAAATGCTTCTTTTGCATTCGCTGTAATGCTTTCTCGAGTGACAAAGGCAGAGTGGGTTGATAAAGCACTCTGTGTACTGTTACAAGTGCTCAGTTAACTTACAGAGATACAGCGTTGTCGCTACCTCCCTGACGATGGCATAGAAAGACCAATCAATCAGCCTCTGGGTGGTGGGCTTGCTGAAAACGGTTTCCTTTTAGCAGGCTAGGTACACTACCCCATCTTCCACTCAGTACTAGTCATTACTTTCATAACTTAAGAATGTCGTTGGTTTAAACACTGACCGAGCCTTCAGGTCATACTCACAAAGACCTGGCCTTCTGCCGGGGCCTTCAAGTCCATGCCAAAATGCAGCACTGCAGTCGCTTTTGAGGTGAAGTTTTAAGTCTTACATATTCACCAAATGCTGAATAAATGAGACCAGGTGATTTGTTTACGGCTACAGCGAATAAAAAAGCTAAGTTTGCAGCGCAGACCATAATGACCTCAAATTTGTCTTATTTCCCATGTCATGTGAGGTAACTTCCTTAGGAAATTAGTCTAACAGTGATGTTCATGAGTTAACTCCTAAGTAAACATTAATCCATATAGCGGGTCTTTTAACTTTTCATCTAAGTAAAGCTCATTCCCCTTCATTCACAAATCTCCATCTACTTCCTTTCCATTCTGAGTTACAAAGTTTCCCCTACCTCAGCCATTCCCTTTCCTACAAGCTCTCCCACTGCTTTCCGCATCACTGGCTCTTCACCTAACCCTTCATGCCTGGTCCCGTCTTCTGTCTATATCACATATCGATACCCAGACTTTTCATTATTTGTTGGCTCCACCAGCCCCTCGTACTAGGATCAAAATGCCTTAAAAGAAGGACTTTAGTGGAGCTGATACCAAAGGCTCAAGTAGATAGAAAAAGGTTTTGAAAATGATGATGGCAACATTACGTACAAATATGCTTGACAGGATTGATATAAGAGCTGTAAGGGCCTCCAATAAAATAATCTTAAAAAAAAAAAGGACTTGGTCTGATTTATTGACCCTCATTACCCCCATCCCTAACATGTACAATCATGCTCCCTCACAGTAAGTACATTTGTTAAGATCACCGAATACTCACCAAGTTTTCTTTCTTGGAATGACCACTTCTTCAACACCTTAATGTGAAAAATGAAGCAAAGTTTATCAAAGTTGCCCAACAGTACTAGTATACAATATGCTGATCCCCAAACAGAGTGATTTCAGCAGATTTTTACATACTTGTTACATCAGCTCCTTGAACATTTAGGAGGGTTTCACTTCCAGAAGAAAGCCTGTAAAAAAACAAAGATACTAAAGCTAATGTTAACTAATGATGTTCTTAGCTCACCTTTACTTTACGAGTCCAAATTTCTGAGTCAACACCATTGATGGAACAAAATGAATATTTATGTCAATGTGTGAATACCTTCCTCTGGTGGGGGAATTTCAGAAAGGGATCAATCATTTCAAATGATATTTGCTTCTCATGACATTAGGGCAAAATACTGCAACTTGAAGCTGAATGCTGAGTTAGAGAAGTTGCTCTCAGGCAAAGAGAATGGTTAAATGACAACACCAGACACTAACACAGAAGCCCCAGTGACCTATAGGTTATGCGCTGGGCTGCTTATCACAAGGTCAGCTGTTTGAAACCATCAGTTGCTCCAAGGGAGAAAGATGTTGCTTTCTACTCCCGGAAAGAGTTACAGTCTCAGAAACCCATAGGAGCAACTCTACCCTGTCCTATAAGTTTGTTGTGAGCTGGAATCAATTTGACAGCAGTGAGAAATCCTAGCTGGAAAAAGAGGACCAGAAAAATGGAGGACAGTGATGACTCGAGTGGAGTCACATTAAGTCTTCTGCAGGACCAAGCAGATACTTTCTCCTGTGCAAGGCATTGAAGGAGGTTTTTAGACAGGTAATATAAAAGTGAACGTAGTGTTTTTTTCAATACTAGTTCGAAGGAGGTCTGATGGTGCAGCGGTTAACCGTTGGTTGCCCACAGAAAGGTTGGTGGTTGAAACCCACCTGCAGCTCTTTGGGAAAAGATATGGCAGTCGGTTTCTGTAAAGAAGCCTTGGAAACCCGCTGGGGCAGCTCTACTCTGTCCTACAGGATTGCTGAATGGACACAGATGACAGCAGTGGGATGACTGTTTTATTTATTTTTAATATTCTAATCTGACTATAAAACCAAACACTGCCATCGAGTTGATGACTTGTGGCGACCCTGTCGGACAGTACAGAAACTGCCCCTGTGAGCTTCCCAGACTAACTCTTTACCAGAGCACAAACCTTCATCTCTCTCCCCAAGAGTGGCCCAAGGTGGTTTCGAACTGCTGACTTTGTGGTTAGAGTTCAATTTGTAACCACTTGACCACCAGGATCCTTCTATCAGTGACGAAAAAACTGTTTGCTGCTATCCAACTAAGGAAGCAAATCCTGAATTTAGTTGTTTTCCCTTGACTTTTTACTACAAGTTACTGTTTCATATTTTCACAAAGCTATTTTTTGCATAATGTTCCAAACTGAGGCAAGCACAGCATTCCATAATATGAACGGACATCTGATCCTGCTTATCCAATAAATTATTGATTTATATGCTCAAATATCCGCTCTTGCAAAGGCTAATTAACACTCGCAAATGGTCTTTTAATTTGGTAGACACGAGTTCTTCCCAGTGGGCAGATGATATTTTCGAAATGTAAGGTGCGGTTGCTAGTGGCCGCGCACTACAATGGAAGCGCTACAGAAGTGGGGTCGCCCTTTTGTTAACAATGCTAATTCTTGAGTTCTGCACAAATTCACCAGCCCCCAAGTAAATCAATGATTCTTAAAGCCTGGTTCAAGGCCGTGGGCTGGACGGCCCGCGGCCCGCGGGAGCCGACAAAGCACATGCGCACAAGTAGTCCTTCGTTGCACTTTCCACAGCACACTTGAGGAAACCAGAATAAGGGCTCTGACGACGCTGGGCGTCTTTCTGGGGCCCTCGCGTCCTCCACGTCTCTCTTACCTGCAGTTTGGGGCCCGTCCGCACGGACCTGCCCTCCAGACAGTCGGCAGGAAAGGCCTGCAGCGGCCCCGCAAGGAGCAAATGGGCCTGATCGCCGCCATGCTTCACTCCCGCGGAGCATCTTGGGAAGCCGCGCGCGGGGCGTTCTGGGAGCGAGGGATCCGGTAGGCGGGGAAGAGCCCGCGATTGGCCGGGACGAAACCAAATGAAAGCAGTGGTGAATTGAGACCAAGCCTGTGACCTAAAAGCCTTAATTACTAAAGTTTTCTACTTCATGTGCTTCATTTGCCTTGTAGAAGGTTTTCGAATCTATGACTTTAAGGTTTGATGCATCTTTGGTTGTTTTCAAGGTAAGAAAGTGAGTCGTGGGAATAGTCTCTCCCCCTACAATGGAGGTGGCCTCGCCCGTGTCGATCTCTTGCCAGCCAGCGTTTCTCCCTGCGCAAGCGCACCTTGAATCACGTGGTTGCGAGCTGAAAGCTGAGTGAAGCACTGACCAGGAGCAATTTGGAACATCTCTCTTTGGTTGTCGGAACATTTAGCTGACGGGCAAGATGTTGGGCTCCAAGAACGTGCCCTGGCGGCGGCTGCAGGGCATTTCCTTCGGGATGTATTCGGCTGAAGAGCTCAAGTAAGGAGTTGGTGGGAAGCAGGCGCACGCAGCCGCGCTGGAGGTGTTGGCCTACTACTATTCCCAGAAAGACTTGGGCAACCGTCTCCTCGGAGTCTGCGGGCGTTTGGCGCATGGGCTGTTGGGATCCGTAGTTCAGGAACGCTCCTGCGCCAGCGTGCGCTGCCTGGAAGCCTGTGGGGCTAAGTGGCTGAGGAGCGGCCGAGCCGCGTGGAGATGGAGTAGTTCCGAATTGCATCGTTATTTGACCTCGTTAATTGAGCGATTGTGGAGTTACTATAGTGGCCTTTATGCGACTAATTAAACACGTAATCAGTCTTGTCTATAAAAGAATTACCCTTCAAGATTCGCTACAGCCCTCCTCTCCTAAGTCTAGGGCACTCTAGTATTCATTTTGATCACGGTTGCATCGCAACTTTCAGCCACTACTAGTACCACATTATCTTAAGGTTCTCCTTACGTTAAACACCTCCGTTACTTCAGAGATCATCCTGCCACCTTTTGTACTCAGTGGGAATGTTGGACGAAAATCTGTTTCTAAATCATTTTGCCCCTCTTTTACTGACAGATATTTGTGGAGTGACTTCTGCGTGCAGGCTCGACATTACATTTGGGGGCACACCGTTGCTCCAGCAGACTTGGATTCTCTCTGCCCTAGGACCCCTCTGTGTATCCGAGGACACTAGTGTTAAACAAATGATCGCTTTGTTTTCTAATTGTCCAAAAAAAAAAAAGAACTTCCGAGAAGCTGGTAATCACAGTTTTTCCTTGGTCTTTTCTCTTTTTTTGCCTCTCTAGGAAATTAAGTGTTAAGTCCATTACAAACCCTCGGTACTTGGATAGCCTGGGGAACCCATCGGCGAATGGCCTGTATGATCTAGCGCTGGGCCCTGCAGATGCCAAGGAGGTGTGCTCCACCTGTGTGCAGGATTTCAACAACTGTTCTGGTCACCTGGGCCACATTGATCTCCCACTCACGGTGTACAACCCTCTCCTTTTCGATGTACGTGCTGCCTTGGGCTGACCTGGATGCCGTTTGTCTTAGGGACGCTGGTTGGCTTTGTGAGTGCCACCTCTCTCCCCCTAAGAGGTGCTGGTGACAAGGTTAATCTCCAGATACATTGGTGTTAAGGGATTCTCTTGCATGAGATTTAAAGCCTAGAGGGGCCAAATCGGGTCAGTTCTGCTTGGTGACAACTCCCTGGCCATGGAGGAACCTTTGGTATTCTCTAGGCCTACCAAGTGTTTGACTTGGTGGCAGGGACAGCAAAGCCCCAGGTCAGACAGTGAAGTAAGAATGAAATTGCTGTTCAGATGCCTGCTGGTACATTTTCAGCTACCAGATTAGACAGATGATGGAGTAAACATACGATTTAACTATTAATCATACTAAGAAAATTGTCGTAATGGAAACACTTTGAATGAAATAAAGGTAGTTTCCAAAAAAAATATTTTGCCTACCAAAAGTATTTCTCAAATTTTAGTGAATTCAAATGAAACCCAGTGAGAGAATACACCCAAAAAAACCCTCTTACTGTCAGATAGTCAATGCTGACTGTTAACTGTTTATAAGAGTAGAAAGAAAGCCCAGTCTTTCTCCTGGGGAGCTGCTGGTGGTTTCAAACTCCCAACCATATGGATCGCAGCCCAGCTTGGAACCACTGCACCACCAGAGCTCCCCATGAGAGAAAATAGGAGAATGCTTATCTAATGCTTGAGTCCAAGAAGCCCTTTTAAAGTATAGGCTGAAAGGAAATTCTTAAGACTCGTTTCAAGAACATAAAAATGAAAGTTTTAAGAACATTTTAAATCGCCATGATTTTTATGTTTCATTCTAATATTGTTTTCTCTTTATTTTTAAACCCCAACCACAGAAACTCTACTTGCTGCTCCGTGGCTCCTGTTTAAACTGTCACATGCTCACCTGCCCCCGGGCTGTGATTCACCTCTTAGTCTCTCAGCTGAAAGTTCTGGAAGTTGGGGTCCTGCAAGCAGTCTACGAGCTGGAGCACATCCTGAGCAGGGTAAGGGGGTAGTGGCAGTCAGGAAAATCGTAATGGAGGAAGATGAGATAATCATATGCTGTCCATAAGAATTGCCATTGGAATGGTTTGGTCCTTCTATCTTGTGACTGGTTGGCTGCCAATAACTGGGTGAGATAGTTTATTGTGCCAGCCTGGCCGATAAACACAAGTGGGATTAACTGAAGGGCGGAGGGATAAATGGCTCGGTGAGCCTCACCTTTCTTGTTTTTCACTCTTTGGTCATCGGACCAGTGTGCGGCTGCCTTGCTTGTCTGTGCCTCAATTTAAAGGCTACACTACCTGTGGGACGCCTAGCCTGTGGACTGTGTCGCTGTAAGTTGAGGTCCCTTTAAGACATCTCTGGAGCTGGGGACTGGTGGTTGGTGACCTAGTTGACAGTTGGTGACCTGCCTTGTGATTGGCTACTGTGCTGAGATACCCTAGCTTGCTCTATATATAGAGGAAGACCTGGCAGTAGACTAGACTTGAAGGACTGCTAGTGTCTCACAACTCTGTCACGGGAGTGAGTTGCAGTGAGCCATTTGTAGTGCTTTATAATTTAACTGTTCATTTCTTGTATTATATATTTATCTGTATATGATTTAACAGTTCATTTCTTGTGTTATATATCTAATTATCTTTATAAATAAATATATTAAATTATCAGCAATTTGTTTTTATCTCTCTAGAGAACCCTGTCTAACACACTAGGTGTGCTACCATGAAGTCAGAAAAGTAGTGGGGAAATGTTACTGAGAACAACACTGTAATACCGTTTTACCCCTCAGTTGTTTTATTCTATTTGGACCTGGCTTCCGATCAAACTTCATGCATTGCTTTTGATTATTGCAGCTCTTTGCACTCAGTTAATCTACAATGGTTTCTCCTCTTTCTCTTTTGACAATTTAGTGCCCCTTGTAAGATTTCTCAAATTTTGGCTTTCTCTGTGTGTTCACATATATTGGGATAAGGAAAGCCTAGAAGATGTCAGCTGTTCTTAGATGCCGTTGAGTTGGCTCTGATTCATAGTGACCCTGAGGACAGATTGCATTAAAAACAATGATTTTCCCACAAGCCTTTGGAAATCTCCTTGTATTCCAGGATAGAATTCTGTGCCCTCCTCACAATCATTGCTGCATGGGAGCCTGTTATTATAGCTGCTGTCAATCCATCTCCTCCAGGGTCTCCTTCTTTTGCTGTTTTCCCAGCATGGTGTCTTTTTCCATTGGTGCCCCCTAATGACAGCCCCAAAGTAAGCAGAGGGATGTCTTGTTACCCCTGTTTCTAAGGAGCATCCTCGCGCTCCGCCTTCCAGGTCAGATGTTTTGGTTCTGGCAGTCCACGGTACGTTGGATATTTCCTGTCAGCACCACAGTTCAAGCGTCATGGTTCTTCAGCCTTCACTTCTCATGGTCCAACTTTCACAGTCTACTAAAATTAATCGTGCTTGGGTCAGGCACAGCTTAGTCATCAAATTGACATCGTTGCTTTTAAACATTTGAAAGAATTATTTTGCAGCTGATTTTCAACACCTTGTTTGATATCTTGGTCGCTGTCCCATGGACATTGGCTGTGAATTCAAGAAGAATGAAACCCTTGATAACTTTGGTTTGTTCTCCATTTATCGTGACCGTTATTGGGCCACTTGAAAGGTGTTCTGGTTCTGGTTCGGCACATACTCGAGACTGCAGTACTTTGCATTCACCAGGTGTTGCTTCAGAGCTTGTTCACTTTCAGTCAGCCACGTGCCACCTGCACAGTCAGGGTTGTTACTGAGGGCCCTGATGTGGTGTTCTTATTTACTCCAGTTTCTCAAAGGGTTTGTGTATCAGATCAAAGAAAGTGAAATAATACAGCCATGCTGAATACTTTAAACCATGCAGTGTCTCCTTGTTGTATTCAAATGCTCGCCTCTTCTTGATCATTGTGCGGGTTCTGCATGAGCACAATTTTAAGTGTTCTGGAAGTCTCGTGATTTGCAACATTATCCGTGATCTTTTATGATCCATGCAGTGGAAGGCTTTCATGTAGTTGATCAAACACAGGTAAACGTCTTTCTGATACTTGCTCCTTGGGCCAAGACCCATCTGACAATGGCATTGCTACCCTTGTCCTCTTCTGAAGCTACCTCTTAATTACTGACACAGTTCCCCTTTGATGTCTACAACAAAATTTTGCTAGCATGTAGTTTCATGATATTGTTTGATAATTTCTGGATTCCATTGCGTTGTCTTTGTTTGGATTGGCCACTACTCCATTTGGTTGTCTTCTCAATTTCTTGACCTAGATGAGTAAGCTCCCAGTGTTGCATCTGTTAAAAGCATTTCAGTTGGTATTCCATCAGTCTTTGTTTTTCACCAGTACCTTTAATGTGCTTATACTCTTCCATCAGTAACACCGGTACCTGAGTATATGCCGCTGCTTGAAATGTTTGAACATTAGCCAATTCTTCTTTGTACGGGGACTCTTATTTCTTCCATTTTTAAAAAAAATAGTACTCTTTTAGATGAAAATGTACACAGTTAGGTTCTCCTTTAATGGTTTTTGTACAAATTGTTCTGCATTGTCCCTTGGTGAGCACTGCGTTTTTTTCCCATCTTTTTGCATGTTAATACAAGCCTTTGATTTCCTTCCTTCTTTAGCATCAGTACGAGTAGAGAGACACGGTTGTATCTTGGATGACCGCTCACAAACTCTTTGAAGACTAAATGCTTCTCACCAAACTAGGATGTAAAACATTACTTTGTATCTCATGCCAACGGACTAAGTTGTCCCCTGAGACCAGTCAACCCATCCAGCTAATTGTTTGGCTATGTCTAGGAAGTCTCGAATCTGCTGCCCCATGTGCACTGCTAGGTCTGCAGCACACAGCGCACACTGTACACACGCCTACAGACTCATCTTTGTGGGCATGCATTCATTCACATATGCTTTCCTGGACACATACATGCCTCTGTATCTGCCTATGTACCAGTGCACATATTTTTGGTGGTTTTATTGTTAAAACGTTATATATTATTAGAGCATTTACTGAATGTGTCCCCTTTTCTCATGTTGTTCTTAGTGACTTTATTTACCTTGACCGAGGTGTACTAACTTCACCCATATTTGGTTTTACCTTTGCCGTCACCAAAAGTAACAAATGCCGTCTATCTAGAAAGTAGCTTCCTTCTTCCTTTCCCTCCTATCTCAGGTGCCCATTAAAGAACTTTGTGTTTATAGATCTATGCTTCTTATGTTTTGGAATTGGCTTATTTTACTCAGCATAACATCATCTAGACTCAAGGACTCCTCATTCTTTATCATTGCATAGAATTCCATTGTCTGGAGGTACCACAATTTGCTTATCCGTTCATCCCTTGGCGAGCACTGAGGCTTTTTCCATCTTTTTGCTATGTTGATACGGCACTGAACATAGATGGGCTTATGTCTGTTCATCACTGCTTTCATAGCCTTTAGGATATATACCTAGGAGTGGGATTGCTGATCAAAAGATGGTTCTATCTTAAGTTTTTTGAGGAAGCCCCAACCTGTTTCCTGTAGTGGTTGTTCTATTTTACAATCCCACCAGCAATGTACGAACATTCCAGCACCCCCCAATCTCACCAGCATTTGCATCATTGCCTTTTGCAGGAGTGAGATAGTACCTCTATATAGTTTGGATTTGCATCTCACTGGTGGCTAATAACCCTGAGCATATTTTCACATATTGATGAAGTGTGGGTCCATGCCCTTGGCCCATGTTTTGATTGAATTGTGTATGATTTTGCTCTTGAGTTGTTGAAGTCTTGTATGGGTTTTAGAAATTAGACCCCTAGCGACTTCGTCGTCATCAAAGGTTTATTCCCCCAGTCTGTACATTCTCTTCACTCTCACGGTGACGTCTGGGATGAGCATGAGTGTTTCATTTGTAGGAAGCCTCCGTTATCTCTGTTGTTCATGTGCTTTTCGGTTTATTTGATAGGCTATTTGTTGCAAAAATCAGGTCCCCTGGTTTTACTCAGTTGCATCTTCTGTAAGCTGTAGTTTGACCTTTAACATAACTCTTTGATCCATTTTGAGTTAGGTTTTTTTGGATAGTGTAAGTTAGGGATTCTGATTTGTTTTTCTGCTTGTGGATATTCAGTTTTTCCAGTATCATTTCTTTTTTTAAATTATTTTATTGATACAACTTATCACAATCATCCACCAGTATCATTTCTTAAAGAGATGTTTTCCCCCCCATGGAATGGTCTTTGACACTTTGTCAAAGATCAGCTGTCTACATAGGTGAATGAGTTTACCTCGGGGTTCTCACGTCTGTTCCAATGGTCTGTGTGCCCATCGCTGGATCCGTGCTGAGTTGTTTTGCTTACCATGGCTGCACAGTCCGTTTGAGACAGACGTGAGGCCGCCTCCTCTGATCCTCTTTGGACCTTCTTTCTTTCCATATAAAGTTCAACATTCGTTTTCCTATTTCGTTGAAAGATGTTGTTGAGATTTGGATCTGGATTTCATATATCCATACCTTGCTTTTAGTGATATGGATACTTTCATGATGTTGAGTCTTCAAATCTGTGGACATGGGATGTTGTTTGGTCGCACAGGTCTGCCAGTTCATTGCAGTAATGTTCTGTAGGTTTCCATGTAGGTCTTCCGGGCCCCTAGTTAGGTTGTCCCTAGGTATTTCATCCATTTGGGAGCTACTGTAAATAGTATTGATTTCTTGGCTTCCTTTTCATAGTCCTCTTTGTTAACTTACACTGGGTGGTTTTTGTGTGCTGGTCTTGTACCCTGCCACTACTGAACTCTCTCATTAGTTCCCTTAACTCTCTTAGGGAGGCTCCTGGGATTTTCTGTGTGTAGAACCATGTCACCTGAGAATAAGGATCGTTTACTTCTTCCTCTCCAATTTGGATGCCATGTATTTCCCTTTCATACCTTGCTGCTCTAGCTAGAACTTCTAGTACAAGACTGAATAAGAGTGGTGGTTGAGAACATCCTTGGCTTGTTTCTGTTTTCCGTGGGAATGCTTTCAATTTGACTCCATTGAGAAAAATAATTGGTGGTTGGTTTTGCATATTTGTTGATGACTTTCCATTTTATTTCTATTTTGACAGTTTTTAATCAGGGAAAGGTGTTGGGTTTTATCAAATGCATTTTCTGCATTGCTTGAGATGATCCTGTGTTTTTAAATTTACGTGGTAAATTATGTGGATTGATTTTCTAATGTAATCTATCTTTGTTTCCCTGTTATGAATCCCATAATGTATTAGCAGTATTAACTTTTTATATATATGATTCTGTTAAATTCTCTTGGCTAGAATTTCACTTGAGAATTTTTGCATCTGTGTTCAGAAGATATATTGGACTACAATTTTCTCTCTTTTAGTGGTATCTTTTCTTGCTTTACTATTGCATGCTACTTCATATAATAAATTAGGGAATATGTCTTTGTTCTGGGATGGTTCAGGTAGTATTGATTTCAGCGCTTTTCTGAATAGTTGGTAGAATTCTCCAGAGAGGCTGCGTATGCAAGGCTGTATATTGTTGGGAATTTTTTTTTTTAAAGTGGCATCTTAAATTCTTTTTATGGTTCTGCTAAAAATTTTTACCTTGGTTTTTGTTAATTTAGGTAGGTAGTGGTTTCTAGAAATTTATCCATTTCTTCTAGGTTTCAAAGTTCCTGGAGTATAATTTGTTACCATCTTCCTCTTTGATTCTATGTATCTCAGCTTGGCCTGCAGTGGGGTCACCATCTCATTTCTGGTTTGGGTAATTTGTATCTTCTCATTCCTTTTTCCTTGGCAATTTTATCGATCCCCTGAAAGAACCAACCTCTAGTCTTGTAGATTCTTGGTTCTTTTCTGTTTTCTGCTCCATTTGTTTTTCTTCCTTGACCCTTGTGACTTCCTTTCTTGGTGTCTTCCATCTTTTCTCGATGCTTCCTGTGTCTTTGAGTTCTCTGCCCTTCGAATCCTCCGATGTTGCCTCTCGAGGTGTGAAGTTGCCCTGCAGGTCTGGAGAAATACCTGCTGTGCTCTTCCCTTTTGGCTCCTAACTTCCGCCCCTTGCACAGTTTGCCAAGCCCTCTATGCCGCCTTCCCTTTAGTTCCAGGGCTGCCCACCGCCTGCCCGGACACCCCTCCCACGGGATGGCTTCCTTCTCCATGTGACACTGCCCCGGGCTCCCTCGAGTCAGCATCGACTCGCTGGCGGGAGTCTGGAGCGTTTGGAGTAGAGTTGCTAATCAATCAGACGTTAAGTAATAGTTTTTCTTTTTTGCCTTTCAGTTTCTAGAAGAAAACCCTGGTGCTTCTGCCTTTGAAATTCAGGAAGAGTTAGAACAATACACAACCCAGACCGTACAGAACAACCTGTTGGGGTCCCAGGGAGCACATGTGAGTGGCCTCCTCTCTGAGCACCGTCATCACCCTTCCCTGGGCACTGTCCTCTGTGCTAACCTGTGGCTTCTCGAGGTAGATCTGAGTGCTGCAGACTCTGACGGGACCTGTGAGCCCCCCCTCCCCGCCTCTCTGGCTCCTGGCTGCAGGACCAGTGCGGGGTGAGGTGAAGCACGGAATGTAGGCTTAGCAGCCAGCAAGGTCCTGGCAGGGAGACCCTCCTTCCTTTCTCCACACTAAACCGTTGGCCTCACGCCCCTTCCTCATCGTGTGTGTGTGTGTGTGTGTGTGTGTGTGTGTGTGTGTGTGTGTTGATGAGTCAGTGCTGTGGGCCGGCAGCTGTTGTCATTAGCCGCCCTGACGCAGGACCAGAGTCGGCCTGCTTCGTGGGGTTTGTGCCTGGAGTGTTTCTGGAAGCGGCTGGCCAGGCTGTGTTCTTCATGCAGCCCGCACTTGACTTAGGTCCGAGCCACCAGCCTTTCAGTTAGCAGCTGATTGCAAACCACTGGTGACACCCAGGCACCTCTCCACCCCGAAGCTATCTTGAAATTTCTGGTCCGAGTGTGACATCAGCGATTCTGATGTGATGAGTCTGGGTTAGGTCTGGGTTGGTGGCACTCAGCACACAAGAACTCACGGGCAGGTACAGGTGCTTCCCAGGTGGTCGTCCTTCACACATGTCTGCAGGAACCCACATCCGCATGTTCACTTGGGGGGGGGTGTCTGTGAGGCCCCCCCCCAACTTCATCCAGAGAGATTGGCTTTCAACAAAAGGAAACTGCATTTTTTGTGTGCTCAGTGTATACCAGGGAGCCCTGGTAGTGCAGAGCTACCCACAAAGTCAGTAGTTCGAAACCACCATCTGCTCCTCAGGAGAAAGATGAGGCTCTCTGCTCCAGTGAGAAGTGAGTCTCAAAATGGGTGCAAATGTGGCGAAGAAAGCTGATGGTGACCGACTGTCAGAAGATACAGCATCTGGGGTCTTAAAGGTTGGAAGATAAACAAGCGGCCATCTAGCTCAGAAGGAACAAAGCCCACATGAAAGAAGCACACCAGCCTGTGTGATGATGAAGTGCCGAAGGGATGAGGTATCAGGCTTCAAAGAACAAAAAATCATATCGTTGTGAATGAGGGGGAGTGTAGACTGGAGACCCAAAGTTCATCTGTAGGCAACTGGACATCCCCTTATAGAAGGGTCTTGGGGAGGAGACGAGTCAGTCAGGGTGCAGGGGGGCAATGATGAAGCATACAACTTTCCTCTAGTTCTTTAATGCTTTCTCTACAACCCCCACACACACACTATCATGACTCCAATTCTACCTTACAAATCCGGCTAGACCAGAGCTGGAGACACAGGGAATCCAGGACAGATAAACGTCTCAGGACCAGTAACGAGAGTAGCAATACCAAAAGGGTAAGGGGGAGATAGGGGGAACTGATCACAAGGATCTACATATAACCTCCTTCCTGGGGGATGGGCAACAGAAAAGTTGGTGAAGGGAGACATTGGACAGTGTAAGACATGAAAAAAATAAATAACTTAGAAGGAGAGAGGGGGGAAATTAGTTGATACCAAGGGCTCACGTAGAAAGAAAATGTTTTGAGAATGATGATGGCAACAAACATACAAATGTGCTTGACACAATGAATGTATGGATGGATTGTGATGAATTGTATGAGCCCACAGTAAAATGATTTTAAAAAAAATTTTTTTTAAGTGAGTCTTGGAGACCCACAGGGGCAGTTCTACTCAGGCCTGTAAGGTTGCTGTGAGTCTGAATTGACCGGATGGCAGTGAGTGTGGGATTGGTGTGTCCCTGGGCCCCACCATCTCTCTGTCACCTTCACAGAGCGCTTACTAGTCTCCTCCCCCTCTGAATTCAGCAATGTCCCTTTGGAAGAGGTGCAGGTACCTGGCAGCGCTGGGCTCTCTCAGGGTCGTGTTTAAAATCCCAGGGCCAGAACACAGAAAGGCAGGCAACCAAGAGAGAAGACATGCTGACTTCGTTATACAGGGGCCTCGGGGGTCTCGTGATCTTCTTTTCCACACAGGTGAAGAATGTGTGTGAGAGCAGGAGCCAGCTCATCGCGTCCTTCTGGAAGGCGCACATGAGCGCTAAGCGATGCCCCCACTGCAAGTGAGTGCGCCGCGTGCCTTTTCCCTGGACGGGCAGTCTGGCCGGCGTCCCTCAGCTGCTGGGGCCGTTTGCTGTGTTCTTCTCCTCAATCACGACTGCTCTCGCGTGTAGGACTGGGCGCTCCGTCATCCGCAAGGAGCACAACAGCAAACTGACCGTCACGTATCCAGCCGTGGTGCACAAGAAGAGCGGCCAGGAGAGCACCAAGACCCCGGGTAAGCAGGCCGGGCCCAGGGTAGGACCCTTCCGCCGTGGCTGTGTCCCACTCTGGAAGTGCTGTCCCTCTTGATGACCCCTTTCTCCGCCAGGCATCTGTGGCCCCACTTGTCTGGAGGGGGTTCTCTTGCGTGCCCTGCCCAGGCCACCCTGACAAGAGGGCTCCTGTACTGGGGTGTGTTAGCCTCTGCCAGCCGGGAAGGGCCACTTCCCTCAAGCGGTAGGTAGTTTGCCTGAAAGATTCCTGCAGAAGCTGGCCACTATTTAAGAACACTGTGCTGTGCGGCCTGCATTGTCTTCATTCACGTCCACTGTTTGACCTCTCTGGCTTCTAATCTTCACTGCAGTGGCTACACAGAACTCAGGCAAAACGCATGATCAGAGGGGTTTATTAAGGACGTTAACAAGTTATCAAGCCAGTGATAAATACTCAGGGTTGAGTTGTTTAGGCAGCCACGTTGCAAAGATCTGTCTATTCCACTTATAAATCCCCAAGGGGCATACCACTTGCTGTAAGCCTCAACCCAAAGGCAATCCAGCTCAGGCTCCCAAGGGTTGGCAAACCCAGCTCCCTGAATAAGTGCCCAGAGGCACTCGGCTCCACTTCCGTGGGCTAGCAAGTCCAGCTTCCCCAAACTTCCCCAGTCAAGTGCCCAGGACACCCAGGCCTGCACAGCAGCACCCAGCTCTTCTTGCTCCTTGGGTGGGGATGTCCATCACTCAGATCCATGCTGTAGCCCCTGGTTCTCCTGCTGCCCCTCTGATGGTGTAGCTGTGTTCTGGATCCAGGAGGTTTAATGAGTAGGGATCTTGGGTCCCGAGGACACACCCCACTCCTGGCTCTTGCTGGTAATGAGATCCCTCCTCCTGCTTCTCAGAGGCTCCTTTGATACACAGCAGGATGACACTCCAGGGAATCCTGTTGAATCCATTTACACAAATAAAATGCTGTCCGTATCTCCCCCGCTTTCTTCTCAGAGTCAGGTAGGAAAGATCGTTTAGTGGGATCAGAAAGTACATGAAATAATTCACTGTCCCTGCAAAACACATGGATTTCTTTTGGGAAAAAATGTAGGTGAAGTTTTAAGAAAACCCGAATTCAAAGACTTGGGGACCCCTGTACCATATGGTGGATTCTTCGCTCGGCTCTGCCCTAGCGGGGGAAACATTTCAAAGAACTGACCTGGTTCCTCCCACTTACTCTGTAGTTGTGTGCGCATTTAAAGTAGCGTTTTCTTTTTAAATGTTCAGTGGTGAGCACTGGATGGGTATTGTGTGTTGAGTGCCGAGTCCAGTGCCTGCTCTGTAGATCTGGACTGTCCATTGTTTGTTTTGTAGCCCAGGATCGAAATGGCACAACTGGGGTAGACACCTGGCTCTGCTTCTTACTCTGAGTGCCTCCGATAAGGCCACTTCTTCAGGCTTCCGTTTCGCGCTCTCTAGAGGGAGCGTGCCAGAACCTACAGGGTTGCCGTGAGTCGGCATCAACTGGAAGGCAGTGAGAGAGATTGTCCAGAGTGGAGAAAACTTACACATGTGCAAGTCTAAAACATGAATATTACCAAAAACTCAGTCTAGATTCTGGGTCGAGTGGCGGGCGAATCCGTTTCCTGCCTGGGGAGAACGTATCCAGTTGAAGACTCTGGGCAGGCCTGCAGCAAAGAGGCCTCTGGGTTGTACCACTTCTGAAGTGTGCCTTTCGTTTGGAGTGAGTGCAGGTTGATGAACTAAAGTGTCGGAAAGCCAGTGCAGAGTGTCCACGTAATCTCAGTTTGCTCCGACCTCGCGTCCCGCCATTCTCTCAGTGCCTTGGTCAAAACTAAGAGATGAACTTGGACCTGAGACTGTAATCAGCTGCAGGCTCTAGTTGAGTTTTCACCAGTGTTTTCAATGTAATGCCTCTTTTTATGCTCTAGGTCAGCGGTTCTCAACCTGTGGGTCGCGTCCCCTTTGGGGTGCGCCCGATTCATGACAGTAGCAAAATGACAGTGATGAAATAGCAACGAAAATCATGTTATGGTTGGGGGCCACCACAACATGAGGCACTGTATGAAAGGGTCTCAGCAGTAGGAAGGTCGAGAACCACTGCTCTAGGCGCTGTCCCAGGATTCCACGCTGCATTTAGGGAACCTGCTGCATTTCTGCTTATCAATGCTTCACCGTTAAGCTAAGTAAAAGGTAGAGTGTCCTACTCCTGCTGCCCCCCAAAACCAACCAACCAGCCTGTGCCCATCGCGTTGATTCCAGCTCTCACCCTTTGTGTGCAGCGCAGAGCGGCCCCAGGTTTTTCTGGGTTCTCACTTTTGCACAGTGGATTCCCAGACCTCTCTCCTGACCCGGCTGGGCAGGTGTGAGCTGACAGCCTTTGCTGTAGGTTAGCAGTTGATCACCAACCATTTGCACCATGGCTTTTCCTGTGCTCTTAGCAGGTTGATCACCAACCAGGGCCCTGGATTTTCCTGGCTTTTCCTGTGCTCTCTGAGTAACATCCCTTAAAGCAATTGTTCCCTGGATGCCTGTTTGCTCTAGCTCTTAGGATGCCTCAAATTGAGGGCAAATGCGGTCAAACTTTGGACATTGTAACTCTCTTTGCGGTGAGCCTTTTCAGTGTTTTTGCCCAAATTACTCTTCTCTGGTCATCTTGGGATCAGCCCTAGGAACAGTCGGCAACAAGGCAAGACGGAGGGATGATGGGAGGCTGAGGCCCTCCAGGGTCCCAGGCCTGGGTTTTTAAGAACTTAGCAAACATTGTGTGTTGGGTACTCACTCCAGGATGCCAAGCACGGTGCCAGGATGGAGACCAGACTCCAGGGGGTAGGTGAGCACTCTGAATGTGGGTACTACATGTTCCCCAGAGACTGGTGAACCCAGCAGCAGAGCCTGGAGCACGTGGAGTGCTGTATGGGTGCACCCAGGGTGCTCTTGGAACCCAGATTGCATTAGCATTTGAACAGACAGTGAGGCTCCTTTTAGCCAGGCCACTCGCACCCACTGTAGTCCAGCCTTCCCTAAGTTACCATCACTTGAGCTCCAAACCCTTTTCCCAAATGGCAGCTTTTTACCAGCGTGTAAAGTCCCGTCCGAGAGATGCCACTGTATAGGTTGCTGGGAAGGATGCAGCCACAAGGGAAGGTGGCCTCCCTCAGACCTCTACTGACCCCAACATCTGCTTCTGTGATTAAACTGCGTCAGGAAAGCACTTCCTGGCAGCTGGTGGCGACAGTGCCAGAGCCAGCCAGTCCTCCGGAACCCTTCAGTACTTTTCTCTAAACAGTTTTATTAGCCCGTTATCTGCTTGTTATACAATTCAGGAATTCCGTCATATCAAGAAGAGTTGTACAGTTGTCACCACATTCAATTCTAGAACATTTTCCTCCTTGTACTCATTGTTATTTGTGTAGTTACTTTTTTTCTAGTGGTGGCAAAAATATACGCAACAGTCTCCGATTCCACAAGTTCTACATGTATAAATTCAGTGCCATTGATGTTGCTCTCTGTGCTGTACAGCCATTATTGACACCCTTTTCCAAATTATGCCCCACCTCCGTGAACATGGACTCAATGGCCCTCAGCAACAGCTCTTCCTCCTTTACCCATGGCCGGGTTTGGTTTCTTTTTTATTTGTTTTTAGTGGTTTTCTTGATACAGTATTCACATATCACGCAGTTCCGTGGTCAAATGGCTTTTTAAGTGAGTTATATATACATCATCACAATCCCTTCTAGTGCTCCTTCCCGGAGCATCAGACTTACTTGTTACAAGAGATATTTCGTCTTTCTCTTATTTCATTATTAAGTTCAGATACTTATTTCCAGAATAACCCCACATGGTTCTGTAGGTTAGTGGGGTCTGTTTTTCCCACTGAGCATGCGTAGCTTTCTTATATGCTGGGCCTCCCTGAAGGTTAACGGGAAATTTCATTGAGCCCTGGTTGCCTTCTGTATTTTATAAAATAAGATATGACTTGAATGCCTGTCAATAGAGAATAGGTAAAAATGAAAGCAGAAGTTTAACCTGGCCCCCTGCAAACAGAAAGATTGGTGGTTTGAGCCTATCCTGAAGTACCTCAGAAGAGAGGCCTGGTGATCTACTTCTGAAAGGTCAGAAACTGAACACCTTACGGAGTACAGGCCTACTCTTGATGCGGGGTGGGAGTGGGTACCAGATGTTGGGGTCAGCTGTTCTCAGCAGCAAGAATGGCGATAGTTAAATGAATTTTGGTCCATCTGTGGTTATCCAAGTTATGTTGTTTTTGTTAAGTGCCACCTAATCGGCCCTAACCCACACACTGCCCTCTCCTGTGGCACCCTCTCTGTTGTTCCTGTGCCTGAGCCCATTGATGCAGCCACTGCGTCCGTCTTATCTGATCGAGGACCTTCCTCCTTTTCACCGCCCTCCACTTTACCAAAGAGGATGTCCTTCTCCAGGGACTGGTCTTTCCTGACAACATGTCCAAAGTAGGCGAGACAAAGTCTTGCCATCCTTGACTCTAAAGGAGAACTCTGGCCTTACTTCTTCCAACACAGATCTGTTTGTCCTTTGAGTCCATGGTACTTTCACTATTCTCCAGCTTCACAATTCAAGTGCATCAAAACGTCTGTGGTCTTCCTTCTTCAGTGTCCAACTTTCCCATGCATGTGAGGCAATGGAGAAGACCATGGCTTGGGCTAGGCGCACCTTCGTCCTCAGTCACATCCTTGCTCTCTAGTACTCTAAAGAAGTGTTGTGCAGCAGATTGGCCTAGGGCAGTACGTCTTCTGATCTCATGACGGCTGCTTCCATGAACACTGAGGAGGATCCAAGTAAGGAGCAATCCTTGACAACTTCAACCTTTTCTCCATTTATCATGATGTCAGCTATTGGTCCAGTTGTGAGGATTTTGGTCTTCCTCACATTGAGTTGTCGTCCATACTGAAGGCTACAATCCTTGATCTTCATCAGCAAGCACTTGAATTCCTCCTCACTTTCAGCAAGCAAGGTTGTGTCCCCTGCATATCCGAGGTTGTTAAAAAGCCTTCCTCCAATACTGATGCCACACTCATGTTCATATAATCTAGCTTCTCTGATGATTTGCTCCGCATGCAGATTGAACAAGTGTGGTGAGAAGACGCAACCCTGATGTCCACCTTTCCTGATTGTAAACCATGCAGTGTTCTCATGGTCTGTTCGCACAACTTCCCTCTTATCCCGTGGACAAGTTCCACACGAGCACAATGAAGGGTTGTGGAATTCTCAAGTTCATCCAGTGTATTATGGTCCACACAGTCAAACGCCTTTGCATAGTCAATGACACACAAGTAGACATCTTTCTAGTATTCTTTCCTTTGAGCCAAGCTCCATCTGACATCGGCAGTGATATCCCTTGTTGCATGTCCTCCTAATCGGGCCTGGTGCTCTAGCGGTTCGGTGTCAGTGTACTGCAGCAGCCGTTGTTGGGTGATCTTACACACTTGACTGATCCAAGTTAGATATCAGTGAAGACACGAAGTGACATATCTTCTGCAGACCAAAAAGAAACTAATTGGATTAGAAGTTTTAGAAGTGCAGGGGAAAAAGACAAGAATGGGATTTTTAAGGCAAACCGACCTTAGGCTATTATAAGCATCCACAGTGGAGCATGTGAATATTTAGTTAAAATCTATTGTGTGCTAGACACTCAAGCACTAGGAGTGCAGACAAGGTATAGTCCTTCCCTGATGAATACGTAAAGAGGGGGATTGTTCCACTCTGCATTATAGGGAGTGCATCCCAGAAAAGACTGAGAGTTTTGAAATAGAGTGTTCGACTATTTATTTACTTGGCCTTTTAAAATCATCAAAGTGCCCAGAGCCCTGCCTTCTGAATGGGAACCCTATGATCTTCTGACTCACTTGAGATCTTCTGTCCAATGTGATCCTTGTCAAAGGCATGGGATGTACACTTAGCCGTGTGTGTGTGTGTGTGTGTGTGTGTGTGTGTGTGTCCATGCTCCTTAATTCGTAACGCCGCATGCGTGGGGCACGCATCTAGAATAAGGCGCATCCTAAAGATGCTTTGAATAAGACGGTGTAATCGGCCCAGACGTCCAGCCATACATCCCCGTGTGAGTATTCTGCAGCCCTCGGGAACGCTGGTCAGGGAAGGAGCAGAAACGCTCCCAAGGCAATGCCGAACATGGAGCCAAGCGCAGGCTGGAGTGAATCCACGCTTCGGCTACTAAATTATGCAGAAATGCACTTTTCTCAACCAGAGAGTGGGAAAGAACGTATAAAAGTGATCGTCGTTATGTTAAATGCAGTGGTGTCGTGTTTCTGCTGCCCCCGCTCCCCCTTGGGCCCTACTTTTTCTGTTGTGCACTAGCCATACTACTTCAGTTATTTGAGAAATCAGGTCAAAGCACCCGTGAGGGAACCGGGCTGGGAACGTGCTGTCCCAGAGTTGGGTCTCTGGTCAGATGACAGGCTGGGGCTGGTCACGGGGAGGGGAAGGGAAGGAAGGGCCCACCCGCTAATGGCTGTGCTGTGCTGTGCTTCCCTCCTCCAGAGATCGAGGAGGCTCAGCTGGGAAAGCGAGGGTACCTGACGCCCAACAGCGCCCGAGAACACCTCACCGCACTCTGGGAGAACGAAGGTGCTGTGTTGTCCTGCACCGCCAGCTCTCTGCCTTCTCCCGCTTCCCGAGAACACCTTCTTCTCCAGAAGAGGGGCTGGCGCGCTCCTGCAACCAGCCCATTGCTTTGGGGCCGACTTGGTGTCTCTAGAAGGGGCGTGTACCCACCTCTGAGCATGCGACCCTGTGCCTGAGCCGGGTCATTATGCTGCAGCTTCTGCAGGCCTTGCTTCAGCACTTGGCCGTATTTCTGGAGGGCTCAGGGTAAAAGCCCACAATTTTAAATGTCCACCCGGAAAAGATCTTTTTCTAGGTTTTAACAGTGAATTCTTTCATGGATCAAGGAGTGAACATTCATTTGTCCTTGAAAAACATGTTTTCTTAGGAATTGGGATTTTCAGATATTTCCATTCCCTAAAAAGAAAGGAAGGTCGCCACCCTGCCTTGTGAACGTGCAACAAAACTGCGTAGAATACCCAAGCCCTCAGGGCACTTACCTTCTGGGTGCGGGTGTGGGTGAGAGCTGGGGCTGGGTGGGCACACAGGACTGGACCGTCCTCGGAGGCACGTGCATTAGTGTGGCCGGCCTCAGCACGGTCCATTCATTCACCAGAAATGGAAAACTTCCCTTTGATTCGGAAAGGATTCCCTCTTGGGCAGCACCCCTGTGAAGGGCCAGGTTTGTTTTTTTAAGGCTGGTTATTTTCCCTTGACTTCACATATATGTGAAAATAGGAAGCAAGTGTGAGGGTGTTCTCCTCTCCCTGGCCTGCAGGGGTCGCTGGGGGGGCATCCACTCGCTGGCAGTGAGGTTGGATGTTTTGGGTTGCCGATCACAGATGATTAATTAGCCTGTTTTTATTCTGTTTTATTTGGGGAGGGTATTTATTTTTTATTAATTTATTGGGAGCTCTCACAGATATTACAACAACCTATAATTCAGTGAGATAAAACAATTTTATAAGCATAATTGCTGCCACCATCCGTTTTGGAACCTTTTCTTTGTTCTTGAACTCTCTGATAGCACCTCCCCTTTATCCCATCTCTCCCTGCCCCGCCCCAGAACCCTTATTCTTTTTTTGTTGTTCTTTTTTTGCCGTGTCTCACACCGTCTAACGCATCCATCACCTGCGGTTCGGTTACTGGTCCCCCTCCAGTGGGGCTCTGCAGTCATCGTTGCTGTCAGCTCCCCCGTAGTGCCTGTGTTAAGAAGCCCGCTGCTCACCTGCACGAACACGCTCCCACGTGCAGGGACTGCTCCGGGTGGTGTCATTCTTCACGGACAGTGACATCTTGTTCTTCAGATGATTTTGCGCTGTTTTATCTCCACGCCAGGATTTGTGGGGGCACCACCCCCCCCCAATGCCCTGAAACAGAAAGCTGAGTGGTCTTGCGGGTGTGTTTCTTCACTTTGAACACAGGGTTCTTCCTGAACTACCTCTTCTGGGGACTGGAGGACATTGGCATGGAGTCCAGATTCAATCCCAGCACGTTCTTTCTGGATTTCCTGGTGGTGCCGCCCTCCAGGTAAGGCCCTCAGTGAGCTTCTCCTGACAGGCGGATGGAGTTACTGCTGATGACCTGAGGAGGGGGTGGCGGGACACTGAGCAGTGGAGCCAAGAAGGCACCTCCCTCCACAGAGTCCCGGGGAGCAGTGGGGCGCTCCCCTCTCCGGACTGCCCTGAGTGGGATGAGAGTGCTGGCCCTGGAGGTGGGTGAGGGCGGGAAGAGCAGGGCCCGCCCTTGGTGAGGGTTTCCTAATGACACCTCCACCTGCAGGTACCGCCCTGTCAACCGCCTGGGGGACCAGATGTTTACCAACGGCCAGACGGTGAACCTGCAGGCTGTCATGAAGGACATTGTTCTGATCCGGAAGCTTCTGGCACTGATGGCCCAAGACCAGAAGCTGCCGTGCGAGGTGGCTGCACCATGCGAGGAGGTCAGGGTTGGCTTGGTGCTTATGTCCTGGCTTCAGCACACACTTTGAGTTCTGACCCTGGGCAGTGGGCTGGACAGAACACTCGGGGTGGGGGCCAGCGCCTGAAATGTGCCTTTCAGCTGGCAGAGCCGTGGGAGGGTGGGGGCCTTCAAGGGAGCCCACACGTGGGTTCCCACTCAGTGCACCTTAAGCACATTCGCGGCCCTTCTGACAGTGGAAGTTGGTGGCTTCTGTGTTGCTGGATAGATTCTGGGGGAGCTTCTGGTCTGAGGCCTGGCTATTTCTTCTGAAAATCAGCCACTGAAAACCCTGATCACAGTCGTCTGAGCCCACTGCACGGGCTCCAGTACTGTGCTTACGGAAAGCATGGACCCCGCCCCTGAGAACTGCCCACTGTGCTAGTGACCCTGGGTAGATCATTGCAGCTCCTTGGACTAAGCTGTAATGTGGGCCACCTGCCCTCACTGCCTGTTGTTGGCAGCTCGAGGAAGCTCTGCGTGCTCCCCACAGCCTGGGCCGCGGTGCCAGAGCCCGTGCTGCTCCCGCTCTCCGGGTTCGGCTGCAGCAGTGGGGTCAGTGCCATGCAGGGGGGTTTCTCAGAGGGGTGTGTCCGCTTTCTCCCTTGTAAAGTGGTGCGCTCGGACATTTCCCGTGTGCTGGGTGAGCTGTGTCCACGGTGTGTCCTTAGTGGGAGAAGAGTTGAATCAGGCACTCAGAAAACTTGCTGGCATTGCGACACTCTAGAACGCTTTTGGGGTGCAAATGGGAAGGACTTTGGAGAGTCACCATCTTGGAGACCCAAGGGGAGAGTTCGGCCCTATCCTGTAGCGTTGGCTAGTTTGGGTTTGATCTTCTGCCGTCTGGGCCATCCCGCTGTGAGCCAGGCCCCTCACCAGGGGGCGCACTCTGCCTCCAGGGTTGCCCATGCTCTCCTGGGAGTGCCCTTTGGCTTTGCCCAAATCCCTGCTTGGGTGGGATAAAAGCGGCACAGCGCTCTCCACATGAGAGAAATCGGTTCAGGCTGTGAGGAGGCCTGTAAACAGGCCAGCCTTGGTCAACAGAGCGTCCTTTCTGATTCTCAGGGCCCTCCCTGCCAGCATCCCCATGCCCCTTTCCCTCCAATCAACGGGACATGGTCAGTTTTTTCCCCGTTGGCGCCCCACAGTTCATTCCGGTGGCAGCCCTGCAGTGAGCAGGTCCCAAGGGGGACTCTTTCCACCAGTCATAACGTGGCCGTAGTGGTCACCGGGGACCCTCCCTGCCATCAGGTGGCTTCTCCCTGCGAAGCTCCGCCAGCAAAGGGTGCCCCTAAACACGCCCTGCAGAGACTGCTCCTCCTCCTCTCTCCCTAAGGAAGGCCCTCAGGACTGGACCAAGCTCACATTGTCACCAAGGGGGTCCTGCAGCCCCGTCACTAGCTCTCCAGCCACCTCAGCCTGCAGAGCCACGGCCAGTGGTTGACACTCAAGGCAGCCTGGGCTGTGTCTTTCTCCTGAGCTGGGAAAGGGGGACAGCCAGGGTCCAAAGTCCAGGGAGGTGCGAATACCAGCCTGCTTGAGGATCCGCATTTTAACCTTAACAGCGTGTGTTAGGGTTCTCTAGAGAGATAAAACCAGATTGCTGATAGTTTTATATATATATCTTTATAAAGATAGATACCTGTGGGACGCCTAGCCTGTGGACTGTGTCGCTGTAAGTTGAGGTCCCTTTAAGACCACGCGATTGAAATTTACATCTCTGGAGCTGAGGACTGACAGTTGGTGACCTGGCTGACAGTTGGTGACCTGCCTGGCTGTTTTGTTGCTTGTGCTGGAATAGCCTTGGGCTGTCTCTCTACAGAGGACGACCGGACGGCCCTCAAGACTGGAAGGACTGCTAGTGTCTCACAACTCTCTCATGGGAGTGAGTTGCACTGAGCCATTTGTAGTTTCACTGTACCGGCCATGCGTACTTAGACATGCATGACTTAATCTTTGAGACAAGCATGTTACTGGCAGGATCAACCAGGTAGTGTAGCCTGTAAATGGAGGCACAGAACAAGCAAGGCAGCCGCACACTGGTCCGATGATCAAAGATCGAGAGACAAGAAAGGCGAGGCTCACCGAGCCATTTATCTCTCCGCCATTCAATTAATCCTACTTGTGTTTATCGGGCAGGCTGGCGCAATAAACTATCTCACAGCAGATGGATGTCATCTGAGAAATCCTTTCCATTTAAAGAAGTTGTTCCGCTTGCCTTTAATTGGTGCTTTGGTTCAAGTTTTGTGAGACTGTAAATCTGAAATTCCTTGGGAGACACGGTGACCTGGCAGGTTTTGTAATGTAAGAGCTGGCTGTGGGAGGGCTTCTAGGGCTGCCTAGGGAACAGCCAGGTAGGGGGCTTCGGCAGGAGCCTTCACAAAGGAGCCTGCTTATCTACGTGAGTTCCTTTTACTGCCAGAACGGGCCAGGCTGGCGACTGCGTGTGGGAGCACGTGATTTGTTGACACCTCACTAGGAGATGGTTTTCTTTGCGCTGTGGAGAGCTCCGGAGCTCTCCCATTGTCCGAGCTGCCTGAGCGAGATGACATCTCCTCTCTGTCCCTTCCCAGGACAAAGACTCCTCGGCGCCTGTGGACCGCTCCTTTCTAAGCACACTTCCGGGCCAGACGCTCACAGACAAGCTGTACAACATCTGGATCCGCCTTCAGAGCCACGTCAACATTGTGTTTGATAGCGAGATGGACAAGTTAATGATGGAGAAGTACCCTGGCATCCGACAGGTGAGCGTCAGGTTGCTTTCCAGTCTGGCTGAAGGGCGTCAAAGGAGAAAGGGGTAATCACCTGGGTCCCTTTTATTGTTTCCGTTTGTTTCATGTGGATCCCTCCGTCCCCAAAAGATCTTGGAGAAGAAGGACGGCCTCTTCCGGAAGCACATGATGGGGAAGCGCGTGGACTACGCAGCCCGCTCGGTCATCTGCCCGGACATGTACATCAGCACCAACGAGATTGGGATTCCCATGGTGCGTGAAGGGGCGTGCCCAGGGGGCAGGGCGGAAGATTGGGGGCTGACACTACCTGCTCCTCCTAAGCCAGCCACATGGATGGGGTTCTAGCCGTGTGGGGGCCTTGCTTACTTGCCAGGCAGACAGTCACGGAAGAAGACCCACATCTCCTGGCCTAGGGGAGCTGAGTGGAGGGTGTTCTAGACCCCTGCCTGCAGGTCTTCCTCCTGCCTGTCTCTGCTTGGTCTGTGCACCTTTGTAGTCAAAGGGACTTTATGAAAGGAGCAGGGAAAGGGGACACAGGCTGTCGGAGACGAAGGGGTGAGCCCCTCCAGGGGAGGCCAGCACCTGTCACCCCACCCCCTTCACCCACTTGTGCTGCCCTCAGGGCCAGCTTCTTTCTCTCCTCCCCGCCACTCCGAGTCTCGGCGCTCATTTGCAGCAGCCCTTTCATGGGCTCCAGGGTCAGTAACGGACAGCTGTTTTAATTCCCTCTGGCGGTGTCTTCCTGGAGGAGGGCCACAATGAGCCAGCTGCCCGTCCCTCCTGGCGTGCTCATGGACAAGCGTTGGTCAGAGGCCTTAGTTAGACCGTGCATCTGCCTCCTGGGTGCCGTGAGTCATTGCATGAGAAAGTTGGGTCACATGGCCGGTGAAGTGGTGAGTCGGAGCTGCTGCCCTTGTTGACTTGCCTGGTGTGGCCCCCTCTCAGGGAAAGGCATTTGGTGTCGCTGCCTCGTTTCACTTTCAGGGGGTGCGGGGCACCTCTTCCTTGAACCGGGGCTCATCATACCGATGGCTGATCACCCCGATGAAGGGCTCTGATGACACACCTGCCCCAGCTCCCAGGGCCATGGCTGCCTGGGAACACCAGAGCAGGGTTTAGAAAACTGCTCCTCGGTCCCTCTTAGCATGTCCTGCACGTATAAACCCCGAGGGTAGATGTTCCAGAAGCAAAAGAGGCCCAGGAAGTGAGAGGCCCAGCCATGAATCAGGGAGACGGGATCCCCCCTGAGAGGCTTCTACTGCAGGGGGACCACGGAAGCGCGCACCAGCAGTGCTTGCTGAAGATGACGAGGCTCAGTGGAAAGTAGGTCCAGCTAAGGGACCCCTGGGGGCCTTCCCAGGGCTAGTGTGTCCAGGGGAGGAGTCTCCTAAAGTGCCTGCTGAGCAGAGACGCCAACAGAACTGTGAAGGGCTTCTCGGCCTCGGGGCACTTTACGATACTCAGCAGTCCAGGACTCGTGTAACCAGTGGGCCCGGGTCTGCAGCTCGATGGAGCGAATTTCCCTCCGATGCTTCGGGAGAGCAAATCAGTCACACCCTGAGTTACCACTCCAATTGTGGCAGCTGCCGGAATGGAATGGCTGAGATACTCTGACGCCATGTCTGGGCTTTGGGGAAAATGCCACTACAGATTAGTGATGTCTGCTGGGGCGAGGAGTGTGGGAGTGTCTGAGCGCAGGCTGGTGGCCGGTGTTGTGTTTCCCGTGTTGAGATATTGAGTTTGCCAGCCAATGAGACAATAATGACATTTTAGAAGGGGGTTTAAGAAAAAAAAAAGCTGATGTGTAAACGACAACACTTTACTGACTCTCCATGGACTGGTTCTGCTAGGAGAGGAGACTCAACTTCTTTTCCGTGGAGGGAGTGGGTCTGGGCAGATGGCTCTGTGCGCCGGGGAAGATGCTAGGTGGCAGGGGGCTGATGGCCTCACTGGAGGGCCTTGTGGGCTCCATCCGCTGCTCAGTGTCTTAGGGCAGCATCACGCAGCCTGCCAGGTCAGACTTGGGGTCCACAGCCCTGACTCTGCCCACTCAAATTGTCACACTCCTTCCTTGTTTCCAGGTGTTTGCCACAAAACTGACCTACCCACAGCCAGTGACCCCATGGAACGTGCAGGAACTGAGGCAGGCGGTCATCAATGGCCCCAACGTGCACCCAGGGGCCTCCATGGTGGTCAACGAGGACGGCAGCCGCACTGCCCTGAGTGCCTCCGACCTCAGCCAGCGAGAAGCCGTGGCCAAGCAGCTCCTGACACCTGCCACGGGGGCGCCGAAGCCCCAGGGGACGAAAATTGTGAGTGGAGGGCAGTCTGGTCATGGGCTCGGGCAGCCCCTCCGGGCTCCCTCATGTCTGCCGGCCACTGGCTGTTGCCCCAGCCATGCTGGCGCGGGAGGGAAGTGAGCTGGCGGTCTAGCCCAAGGAAGGAGGGACTTGCCCACCCGTGGGTGTTCTGCAGCTGCCCCTGCTGGACCCTGAGCTCCGGGCACTTCTGGGCCCATCCAGGCCATGCAGCAGGGTGCTGGGCGCACACTTGGAGCTCTAGAATCACGGCAGGTGAAGGGATGCCCGGAGTGGGGTCGGGGGTCCCCTGTGGGAGTGGCCCGGTGGCCTGTGTCTTCAGCTCCGCAGGGGTTTCTGTGTGTGCTGTTTGAGGAGAGCAGCCCCCCACCAAGGGAGCCAGTGCTGGGTGTCGGGTCTCAAGCTGCCGCCAGCTCCGGGTGGTTCTGGTGCCGGGGCTGTGTGAGGGCTCCTGGTTCTCTGCCTGGGCTCAGCCAACAAGTCCGTCGCGGCATGAGCGTGCTGCTGCTAAAGCCAGCCAGGCCTCGGGGGTGGGGGCTGCCGAGCAGAGCGGATCCCACTGAGAGGTTGTAGGGTGCTGCCCAGAGTCAGGGGGGCCGTGTGACTGTTAGAGCTCTGTCAGATCTGACCCCGGAGCCCATGAAGGAGGAACCCGATTAAAGGTCTGCTGCTCGTGAGCGCTGCTGTGTGGAGTGACGGGGCAGTGAGAGGGAGAAGCTGCTCCCGGGGATGCGTGACTGGGGAGTCAGGGGTGACACTGACCACCAGGGTACCCATTCCTGATGCAGAAACCCCCGTCTCTGTCCTTTACATGTATTCCTTTGAGTAAAAACAGCCAAAAACTAGACAGATGCCCTGCCAGTGATACAGGACAGGGTCGAACTGCCCCTGTGGGTTTCTGAGACTGGAGCTCTCTGCGGGATGGAAAGCCCCACCTTTTTCCCGAGGAGCAGCTCGTGAATCTCCAACTGCTGGCTTGGCTGTGCGGTGTGGAGCCCACCGAGTCACCCCTGTGCCGGCAGGCCCTCTGGCAGAGACAGGCGGGCGCCGAGTGTGGGTGTCACGGTGCCATCAGGTTGGAGGAGGGGGGAGAGTGCTGCGGGCAGGACAGGTTGCCCCATCAGTCTCTGTCTAGCGTGGCAATGCTTTCGCCCGTCCTCGGGGCCCTCTTGGGGGAGAGCGGTCACGTGGAGGTAGGGGGCATCTGCAGACAGAAGCCACCATGTCAGGTTCACAAGGTTCCAGGCTCGTCGCCCTCCCTTGGCGGCTACAGTGGCAACCAGGGGGATCGGCAGGGCCTTCCTAAGGGAGTACCTGGGCGGGAGATGGACCTGAACCCTGGAGAACCTGGCGTGATGGCAGGACACGGAGACCGTCTCCCGAAGCAGGAGGGATGTGGGGCTCAGGTTAAGGAGCCGCCGTAGAGGTCAGACATGACACTTTGTGTGTGTGTGTGTGTGTGTGTGTGTGTGTGTGTGTGTGTGTGTCCAAACCTTTGTGCACAGAAGCAGAAGTCAATGAAGAGCTGTAGAGGGAAAGTGGTGGGCACGGGGGAGACAGGAATGTGGGGAAAGCAGGGGGAAAGCAGCCCAGCCTTGGGAAGTGAGGGGCAGAGAGGCACAGGACTGTGCTCATCCCTGGACCTGTGTGCAGGTTGCCTCCCCCGGGGCTGTACGGAGGACACGGCAGGCCTGTCCAGACAAAAGCCATTCACCTGGAACCCAGGGGAGCAGCTGGAGCAGAGTGGAAAGAACTGGTTCTCAGAGACGTCTGTGCTGTGGAAGGGAGTGAAAGGAAAACCCCGAAGGATCTGGGGGTTCCGGACATGGGGGTGTGAGGATGAGGCAAGCATAGAAAGGGACTTCCTTCACGGGGCCTCCCCGCTGGGTGCTAGCACGTTCCCCGGGAAGGAAATGCGGGAGTCTTGGGGAGTGGTGAGGTTGGGGTCTCACGAGTCTTTGTACTGTGCCGCCCACCTCACCTCCACCCAGCCATCGCCTGCTCTGCCCAGCCAATACCCACCAGGCCTTTGCACCGGCGTGCGTCGCTCACTGGACGTCTTTGCTCCGGTGATCGCCTGGCTAGTGCTGTGCTTCCTCGCGGCCATTCCTCTAGCCCTGCTTCCCAGAATGGGCGCCACCGCCCCGGTGAGCGCTGGATTATGGGCTGTTGTACAAATGCTTTCATTGCCAGGGGGTGGGAACGGACTTATCTTTGTTCTGAAAGGGGGCTGGGAACCCCTGCTCTAGGGGGACGATTGGGAAATGTCATCAAGGACCAAACTCAAACTCAATGCCACTGAGCAGATTCTGACTCCTAGTGACCCTGTAGGACAGAGCAGAACCGCCCCTGTGAGTTTCCAAAGCTATCACTCTATGGGAGTAGAAAGCCTCACCTTTCTCCCAAGGAGCAGCTGGTGGTTTCAAACTGCTGACCCTGTGGTTAGCAGCCCAACACATAACCACTACTCCATCAAGATCAATAGTGTAGGCTTTGCAGAATGACAGCCTCTGTGGCAGCTACTCAACGCTGCTCTAGCACTGCCCGAGCAGACCTCAGGGACGAGGCGTGACTGCGTTCTAAGGTGGCTAGCTCCTGCTCCAGGGAGCCGCTTCCCAAGCCTGTGTTGGTGTCCCCATGGGTCTCCCCGCACCAAGTCTTCCCTGCTCACTCAGTACCCATCCCCACCCTGCTGTTGTAACTTTTCACCGTGTTGTGTGGCCACTGTATGTCCCTGAGTTCCTGCGTCCTGTGACCAGGCCAGCGTGCTCTCCATCCACTCATTCCGCTGCCCCCAGCAGCTACTCGGCTTTTGTCAGCAGCCTTTGTGAAACCCGTGAGGTGTGAATCGATTTCACTTGGGCCCTGGGAGAGTAGTGAGCCTGGAGTTGAGGTGCAGGAGCCTCCGGGGCATGAGGGAAGACTGGACCCGAGGACAAAACCAGGCCTGGCTGTCTTCCTTATCCAGGATCTCAGTAATGCTGTGCACGCATGCACCGCGCGGCTCTTAGTAAAGCTGCACACGACTGTCGTGTTCATGTTACCTCAGCGCCTGGCGATCCCTCGTTCTGCAGAACAGATGCTGTCCCTGCACCACCCTTACAGCCAGACCCACAGGTTTGGTTCTGTGTTTTAAATCATCTTATTGGGGCTCGTACAACACTTACCACAATCCATACAGACATCTACTGTGTCAAGCACATTTGTACATTTGTTGCCATCATCATTCTCAAAACATTTGCTTTCTACTTGAGCCCTTGGTATCGGCTCCACATTGTTCCCCTCCCTTCTCACCCCCCCCTCCTTTATGAACCCTTGATAAAGTATTATTATTTTGTCATATCTTACACTGTCTGTCTCTCTTTACCCACTTTTCTGTTGTCTGTTCCCCAGGGAGGAGGTTATATGTAGATCCTTGTAATCGGTTCCCCCTTTCCACCCCACCATCCCTCCATCCTCCCAGTATCACCACTGGTCCTGAAGGGATTATCTGTCCTGGATTCCCTGTATTTCCAGTTCCTATCTGTACCAGTGTATATCCTCCGGTCTAGCCATATTTGTTAGGTAGAATTGGGATCATGATAGTCGGGGGAGGAAGCATTTAGGAACTACAGGAAAGTTGTCTGTTTCATCATTGCTACACTGCACCCTGACTCGCTCGTCTCCTCCCTTAGACCCTTCTGTAAGGGGATGTCCAGTTGCCTACAGATGGGTCTTGGGTCCCCAATCTGCACTCCCCCTCATTCACAGTGATTTGATTTTTTGTTCTTTTATGCCTGATACTTGATCCCTTCGACACCTCGTGATCACACAGGCTGGTGTGCTTCTTCAATGTGGGCTTTGTTGCTTCTCAGCTAGATGGCTGCTTGTTTACCTTCAAGCCTTTAAGACCCTAGAGACTAGTCTTTTGACAGCCAGGCTCCATCAACTTTCTTCACTACATTTGCTTATGCACCCACTTTGTCTTCAGCGATAGTGTCAGGAAGGTGAGCATAATGGAATGTCAGTTTAATAGAACCAAGTGTTCTTGCATTGAGGGAGGACTTGAGTAGAGGCCCAGTGTCCATCTGCTACTTTAATACTAAACCTATAAATACATGTACATAGATCTATTTCCCTATCCTCATATATAAATATATTTACATATGTACATGCCTTTATTTAGACCTCTATAAATGCCCTTTGCCTCCTAGTTCTTTCCTCTATTTCCTTTGACTTTTCTCTTGTCCCACTATCATGCTCAGCCTGCATTTGTGTTTCAGTATTTCCTCTTGGTTTGCACGTGAGGGCGATCTGGCTGCGACATCTGTCACCCCATTGATCGCCAGGGTTGATTCTGCTGATCTGGCTGGCTAGGCGGGTGACCCCTTCCTCCCTCGCCACTCCATGTGCATCCTTCCCGAAAGCTGCGTGCTCGGTTGAAGAGGACAACCTTCCCAGATAGAAGGACGACTGTCCTTCGGTCAAGGGTATACGAGTAGCTGTGCTCCCCTGCTGGACCCTCCAAACAAGTCTCAAAAGATCCATAGGTTTTTAACCGGCACATTTTGGGAAGGAGATGGCCAGGCCTTTCTGCCGAGCCTGCCCTGCTCTGGGAGCTCCACTGAAGCCGGTCTTTGCGATGCCAGGGGCAGAGCGTCCAGGGGCACAGCCATCCACCTGCCAGCATCGGCCTAGCAGTTAGCAGATGTTTTATGTTTACAAGTAAAGAAGTGGACGTGTGCTTTCACTCTGGACAGTTCTAAAGGTTGTGGTGAACGCGTCCCACATAGACCAGGGAAGTCTGGAGGTCAGGTGACTTGAGAGAGGAAAGAGGAGAGGGTTGAGGGGCAGGTCAGGATCCTCCAAGATTAGTTGATGAGGGAAAGGGATGGCCACTCCCGCCTCTCCTCCTAGGTCCAGGGTATGAAGGCAGCGGCCAACACCATGTCCCCGCCTGCTTAGCAGTCTGCCACAGCCGGCCTCTGGCTCTGCCGCCACCACCGTCCGCTCTG